ATTAACTCATAAGTGGCTCTTTCTTGTTACTACGAGGGTATCCCATATCAAACTGGCCTATGGAGTAGATATCTTCAACCAAGCTTCTCCTCTCTCCATATCATTGTCCCATAGATGGTCAAAGTCTAAGTGATACCCCAACATTTCTCGGCCTGGAATCTAAAGCTCAAGCATAGAGATTAAGGATAATTGCCTACTACTGGATATTCACAATTTACTAAGTATGTTTTTCAGAGGAAAAATAAATCCTAAAAATAGTTCTCTACCGTTGAGCAGTCGTTAGTGGTAACTGCCCAATTCAGGTTGAAAGTTTAAATAAACCTCCGGAAAATATTAGGCCCGAATATCTATCAAAAATGGCCCGTGCAGTATTCTTTTCTTTCGATCAGCGGGTCAGGTCACAACGACACGGAGGACGACGAAGGAGGGAGGGTTTATATTCATTCATTACCGCTCTATACGCTCATTAGGATCCACTCATCTGTACTAAACTGATATCCATATCCGCATTGAAGATGTCGAAAGCAACCTTCGCTATCATCGCAGCCGCTGGTGTAGCTACAGGTGCCGGTGTCACTGCTCTGCTCTACTCCTCCAGCTCGTCTCGCCGCCAGCCTCATGAACCTCTGCCAGCTGCTCGGCCACCCCCTCCACCTTCCGCAACCTCTCCTGTCGCCGCCGCCGCCCGTGTCCCACCCCCAGCTCTCCCAACCTCTCGCTATCCAGTCGATCCTAGCGGACTATTCCAATATGGTTTCCCTGGACCAATCTCCGATGTGATCGATAGTCCTTCCCTAACAGCCGGATTCGACCGTCGAACCCGTAATCCAGCCTGGGTCGTCGAGCATATAACTTCTGAATCCGTGGCTCAGCGAGATGGAGACCGATCTCACAGCCAATTCTACGAAGAAGAGTCCATCCCATCCGCTTTCCGCGCACGCCTGAGCGATTATTACCGCTCAGGATATGATAGAGGGCACCAAGTACCTGCTGCAGACGCAAAATGGAGCCAGGAAGCAATGGATGCCACTTTCTCGTTGGCAAACATGTGCCCCCAGGTCGGAGAGGGGTTCAACCGCGACTACTGGGCTCACTTTGAGGATTTCTGTCGCAGGTTGACGCAGAAATACCCATCTGTTCGCATTGTTACTGGCCCACTCTACCTACCAAAGCGTGATCCCGCTGATGGGAAGTGGAAAGTTAGCTATGAAGTGATTGGCAATCCTCCGAATGTTGCTGTGCCTACGCATTTCTACAAGGTTATTTTCGCCGAAGATGGGAACGGAGAGTACGGCAAAGTTAGTTTGGGAGCATTCGTGCTCCCTAACGCCAGAATTCCAAACGAGAAACGTTTGCAGGATTTCGAGGTGCCGCTGGAAGCCATTGAGCGTGCTAGTGGCCTTGAGTTTGCTAGCAAGCTACTTCCTTACAGACGTGGTGTGCTCTGTCAGGAGGTGAAGTGCGATATCACCGTTCGTGAATTCAAGAAGGCAAGTGATAGGAAGAATCTACCGCCCCGGTGAAGCGTTTTGTGATATTCAGGCTTGTATAGAATCATGTGCTTTCCTTTCTTCGCACTATTTCACGTAATATATCATTAGACTGCGATGTTTCCCTACTTCCTACTGTTTCTTTGTCCTCAAGCCCAAATCCTTTGATGCAACTCATTTTCGGGAGATAGCGTGTATTTCTCAACAGGCAATCATACAGGTTTACGACTAGATGTCATTCTTCTGAGAATTGTAGTCAAAATGCACACGGCCGCTTTATCTCTAAGGCCATATCTACTCGTATGCAGCATGACAAAGCATTTGGTAGGCTGCTTGACCAAAATGATATGTTTTGAACGAATGCGGATTGATACGTTAGTTTGTGAAAGAAGATAACACTGCAGTCATCCGTTCTCATATTTTCGTGGATATGCTGTCTCGGAAGGGCTGCGAATCAACGTCTATACGGGAGAAATGACATATTTCTAATTTCTCCAGCTTGTTTCTTTTCAGGTTGTATGTTCGACGGGATAGGGTATAAAGGCCAGGATTTCCCCGCTTCCATAGACATCGACCTAACAACTGGTATTTCCTCCACTATACCTAGGAGTTGGTATTCTATCCAATGTTACCATGGATAAACCCTTTGGCAGGTAAGGGTTGCTTTAGCTGCGCCAATAATCAAGTATCTAACGCAATATAGGCTCATCCGCTCGGAATTTTTCACCTTCCTCATTGGACCTGAAAAGGTTCCTTTCGTTATGAATTCCGAAGCGATTACAAAGCAATCATCTACGCTCCATGGACTGGTGAACGGCAATATGCTAGAGGCACATTCTAGAACGGTAGTATGGCCTGATGTGGATGAGGATACCTTTGCTCGGTTCTGCGAATTCTATTATTTGGACAATTATTCCCCGCCTAGCTGTGGCTGGGATGGTAATACCGTCGAGGAAGCTCTTCCAGTGGGAGATGACAGTCAGTCTGAAAAGTTGGCACATGCTTTGGAATCACCTTTAGTGTCGCCAGTATCAACTCCTCCCCCCCCCCCCAAAATGAAGACAAAAAGAAAGAAAAAGGGCTCCAAAGCAAAGCTTGGAGCCTAGTTCGGATCTAGAGGACCACAGATACATGGTCCCGGAGAGATGCGCCCGGTTTAGTGAGCAGTTCAAACCCTTCTCCAATGTCACAGCAGACCAGGACTTTACTCCTGTTTTTCTTGGCCATGCTAGACTTTATGTGATAGCAGACAAATATTGCATCGAGGAGCTAAAAGAGCTGGTGTTGTCCAAGCTCTATACGACACTAAAAGGTTTCACTCCCTTTCCTAAAAGAATCGGAGACCTTGTCATGCTCATCCAATTTGTCTACACCGAGGACAACACGCGAGGATGTTCTACACCGATTGACCCTCTACGGAAACTGGTGACACGGTACATGACAACTGTGTTGAAGGACGTTGCCATGGATTCTGCTTTTCTCGGACTCCTTCTAGAGGGAGGCGAGTTCGTTTCTGACTTTTGTACAACGGTATGGGCAAAGCGGGAGAAATTGCTAGGGGGCAATAGATATTGGGATAATAAGGACATTTTAACTAGTATTGAGTATTCAAAATAGCTCATGTAGCTCGGCACAAAGGCAGCAACCGATAAAACCGGCAACATTCTGGTCCTCTTACATCATAGGCCGCGTTCCATGCAGGCATCTAGAAGCCGCGGTGAGGAGTGTGCAAGGAGATGCATGTACCAAGAGCCGTCCAGGCCAATAGTCGACGGCCAACGCTCTAAGCAGCCTATAAAGAACCCTGTATAATGTATGCAGCGACCCTCCGTAATCAGCGCTATTAATAGCCGGACGCTGCAACCCGCCATCACGGTAGTATCCCCTGGTCCCGTCTCCTCTTTTCTCCTCTTCCATGGCTCTTACTGCTGTCGCCATGCGCCCTCGCCTCGTGCTGGAAGCCACCGCCAACATCTCGACGTCTGTTGACTGATGTTGACGTCGCGGACAAGGACGAATAACACTCGCCTTGGCGTCCTCCTCTCTAAAAATTTTTCTGCCCGGCTTACCTAATCTGCTCAGCTTGGACTTGCGACGCTCAACCTTCAACTTCAACCTTGAGCCAACCTCAACCTCACGCTTCATCGCTAGCCAGGTCGACGGACTCGTGAACAGACGGAAGAGAGCGAGAACGGGCACCTCGCAGAGTAGCCGGAGTCGACAACGCACTCGGTTGGTCCTCGATAACCTTCCAAGGCTGACGCACCAGCCCCATCTTGCCCTCCACAGGGGCACTTCAGCTTCAGCCAGCGAAACACGCCTCCTTTCAGGGAGAACGAAAATAACAAAAAAAGGACATCACGTATCTCGACACTTATCAAATCTCCTCTATCACGCTGCACACAGTAAGACCTGGTCTTGGGCCTGCCGGATAGGGCTTCCTCCTCCCTCTTGACCATGACATGACATGACAGTGTGCGATGTGGAGGAGATCCAACACCACCACGATAACCACCACTTCTACGACGACCGCCACGGAGACGGTGACCGCTATCAGGATGCCGTGGCCTCTCCGGGGTGGCTCCAAAGACACTGCAAAGAAGCATGTGTCGCCCGCGCACTCGGAGGTGGAACTGCCGCCTCGTCAAAGCGAGCACTCGATTCGATCACGTCCTCGCTCCCCGCTTCCCCGACTATCAGAGACCCAGACTGTGACTGGAGAACGCTCATTGTTAGCTCACGATTGCAACAATGGAAGCAGACTTGATTCGGCTTGGGAGAAGGATGGTAAAGATCCTGCCCTGCCTCGTGCAGCGACTAAGAGAAACCGGTTTAGTCTGATGAGATTCCGGCACGCTTCCGACCCCCAATTGTCGTCCAGTTACCAGAACTCGGAACCACCGCCAGTGCCAAAGCTGTTTCCTCGTAGGTTTTTCTATGTACCAATTTGGTTTACAGATGCTAGAGAAAAAGAGGGAGAAAGACGGGAGGAAAACGGTTGACAATGTTTACTGACGGGATTCTAGCACCGACAATTATCACCACCTCACCGACGAATCACAATCTGGAACAACCAGTAAAGGGACTGCCACCAAGTCAACTACATGGCCAGCTACATTTTTCACGGTCATCACACAACCTAGTCTCCGATGCAGAAATTGCTTCTCGAAGCTCGAGCCCGGGACTCACGGGAAGACCCAAGAAGGACCGTAGTGCTAACTCGACACCTCCAGCTTCCTCCAACGCAAGGCACTCTCACATCTGCTTCGAAGAGGCTGGAAGACTGTCCACCACCTCTCTCCGTAGCGGACACCGGGCTCATGCACATGCAGACTCGCAGTCTGGTCTCTCCAACGCTCGCCTATCTGAATCTTCTCGTTCTGACGGAAGCTCTGGTGATAGATCCATGTATTTTGGCCAGCCGTCAAAGAAAGAACCTGCCTCTGCCTCGTCATCTATATTCCGGTTCCCCCGTCTAAAGAAAAGCAGACCTTCTCTCTTTCCCGTACCCATTAAATTGCCACCCACAGATGGCCAGGCATACCACCGCCAGACCCAATCGAGCAAATCTGCTGAATTATTCAGCGATTCGAACCTACCGTCACCTTCACATTCATCTTCTGGCCGTCCGGCATCAACAGCCGGGTCTCCTAGACCTCCACTTTTCCGCAAGGATTCTGCTACCTCAGGCCGATCGAAGTCGTCTATTTCCCCATCTGCCACTGACCGTGCCAAACGTCGTGCCAGATCTTCCACCCTAGGTTCTCTGCACCAGATTCAGGACGACACTGATATCAATTCAACACCGGACGTCACTCCACCGGCAATCAGTGCTCCGCGGAAATCTTTTAGTGATCTTTTCAATATCCACTCCCGTCTCAAACACAGTCAGCATGACCTCACCATGACGCCTCGATCAGGAACGCCCACCGCTTCCACTCCTGGAGCTGGCCCCAGTCCAATGACTCCTACGGCGTCTAAACCAAATTCGTTTTCCCTAGCTCGCGAATTATCTTCTTATCCACCCCGTTCTCCAACTGATACTTCCGCAACTTACCTTTCCCGCCTAGAATCAAGCGTTCATCGTGGTGCCATCGCAAGCATCTTGTCCCAATCGGCAGAAGAATTCTACTCGGTTGCTCTACGCAAGTATATGCGTAGTTTCTCCTTCTTTGGTGACCCAATGGATATGGCTATTCGCAAGCTGCTGATGGAAGCTGAATTACCTCGTGAAACTCAACATATTGATCGCATGATTCAATCTTTCGCCAACCGCTACCATGAATGTAACCCTGGAATCTTTGAGTCCACCGAACAAGCGTATTTCATTGCCTTTTCACTGCTCATTTTGCACACGGATGTGTTCAACAAGAACAACAAGCGGAAAATGCAGCGCGCGGACTACGTTAAAAATACCCGTGGTGAGGGCGTGGCCGAAGAAGTCCTTGAGTGCTTTTATGATAACATCTGCTATACCCCCTTTATCCATGTGGAGGATGAAATCAATCTAAGTTCCCGTCTCTCATCACCCAAAGCCCGAAGCAACCTCATGACGAAGATGGCAAGCACAGACCATTTGATGAAGTCGTCCAAGGATCCAATAGACCCGTATGCGCTCATTCTTGAAGGCAGGGTATCCTCTTTACGACCTAATCTGAAGAATGTCATGGAACTTGAAGATATCTACTCCTCGACTCCGGCGACAAACACACATCTACCTTCCCCTCCTTCTATAGCACAACTAAATAATACCTTTGATAATCCTTGCAAACTTCAGATTGTCTCTGCTCGCTCTCGACCAGATGCATTTATGACTGAATCGACTATAGCCAACCCAGCAGAATCTCAACCTGGCCTAGTCGATATCCGTGTCGTCAAAGTCGGTCTACTCTGGCGCAAGGACGCAAAAAAGAAAAAGGCTTTGTCACCTTGGCAGGAATGGGGTGCTGTGCTTACTGGCTCACAGCTTTATTTATTCCGTGACGTTCAATGGGTGAAGTCACTGATCTCACAGTATGATGCAAAATGTAAGCAGGACAGCCGGCCCCCGGCAGTGACATTCACACCGCCACTTACGGCATTTAAACCTGATACAATCATGTCTACTGCCGAAGCCGTCGCACTGCTTGACTCAAGCTACAAACGGCACAAGCATGGTTTCCTTCTTGTGCGTCATGGCGGGTTTGAAGAAGTTTTCCTGGCCAACTCAGACGTGGAAATGGCGGAGTGGGTGAATTTGATCAACTATGCTGCTACATACCGCACTAGTGGCATCCGCATGAGAGGTTCGGAAAGGGCAAAGCAATCAAACGCAGATCCGCAGTATACACAAGAAGCGCATGCTGCTCGCCGCGGGCAGATAGCAGCACACATTAAGGAATCGAATGAGAAATTATTTGTTGCACAGCGTCAGGTTGATATGCTACTGAGGAACGCGAGACACTTGCAACATCTAACGCCCATTCATCCACGGACCCGGGGACAGGTCATCCTTGCAGCGGGTCGGATGTCTGCTAAAGTGAAGTGGGCTCGACTTGACCTGGAACGCTTGAAATGTCATCGGGGAATTTTGGCTAGAGACCTGGCGGAAGAAGAAGGCCGTGTTGGCGCAGTAGGCTGGAAAAAGGAGGTCGGCCTTGCTCTTGGTCAAATGATGGACGGTGCTGGGGACATTGGAGAAAATAGCACATTATCGGGCGAAAAGGATAGCGAGAGAGTATCGATATCAACTGCTTCTGCGCCTAACGGGAATGGGCCAGTCGGGTCCGAAGCCGCATCTATTTCTGCAGAGAGCAATCGACACTCGATCTCGTCCACTATCGCATCTAAACACACGAACGTGTCTACTCCTAACCCCAACTCTGTGACAACGCCGATCACAGACACTGACAGCACGTCAAACACAGTTACCCCACGGCCAAGTATTACAGATGATGACGACGAGGAGCAACGTTTCCTCCGCGAAACAGGGATTCTTGCTTTGGATACCGTCTCCCTGTCAAGCCCACCGAACTCTCCTGGCAAGCAGGAACCTATCACACCTATATCCACCAATTCCACAAACAAGGATGCCGTACAGCCCTCCCCTCCACCATCTTCTGAACGTTCTAAAGTTCGCCGCAGCTTCCAGCGTACTCTTCGAGAAGCCCACCACAATGTCCCTCTTCATCGCACCAGCCGCAAGGGCCGAGACCGCGACTCTTCCAATTCTGCCCAATCTTCCACTCACTCTACTTCGGTCAATGCTAGCGCTAGCAATGGCAATAATCCAGGAACTCCATCTACACCTGCAGCTACCTCTGATGAGCCCGGGACCCTCCCCCGCAAATCTCCTAGCTTCACCGTTCACGGCAAAAAGGCATCTATAATCACATTCGGCTCTGAATGGCAGACGCTTTCACCTGAACAGAGGCTAAAGCAGCGTAAGCCACAGTCGAATCAGCAGCTCCAGACGGCCCAAGGTCAACCGGACGGTTCGACTGCTGGCGTTGATGACGGCACAGATTCGGTCTTTGCGTCTTCCATTGTCTCAACCATTGGACCTGAAAGTGCGGATCACACAGGTACGCAGATAGCTAGGTCAACTAGCATTGCATCTACTTCTGCTCTTACTTCCAAGTCTACAGATATAGGTGCTCCGACAGTTCCATCCCGTTGTTCCCCAGTAATAAGCGACGTGTCGCATACCACGGGCTCCGGTTCTGGCAACACTAGTGAGCACCAAGTCACTCATGATGATTCAAAGCTTGTTGTAGCTTGAATACATACATTCCTCTGTGCTCTCTCTCATATTCGTCTTCAACCATTCCTTGCATCTTTCATTTCTTCTCTTTCATTACTTTTCCTTTCCTTTATGTTCGTTTCTTCTCTTTTTTCTTCTTCTGAAAGAAACGTATGATGGATGGATGGATGGCATAACGAAACAAAATACCCGGCTTTTTTCATTGTGGAATACATAAAAAACCGTTTCCTTCTTCTGTTCTGTTCCGTTTGTTCTGTTCTTTATCCTACACACGTTGCGTGCACTGTTCGCTAAACCCGTTTCCCCTTTCTACCATTCCCTTCGATTTACTTCTTTTCCCTTGACCGGAAAGTGTGTCGTGCAACTCTGCCCACTTTCCTTCTCCATCTGTTTTTTACTATTATTCTCCTTTTGTGTCTACGTACATGATATATGCTGGACATGCGTATGTAAGATGCCTCACGTTCTCTGCTCACCCATTTCTTTTCTCTTTTTTTCCTATTCTCGTGGTAAAGGATGGATGGGTGGATGGATGGATGGTGGGATACGTTTCTGTTTACTGTTCTTGACCTTATACATTGCTCTGATTTTCTTCTTCTTTTTTTTCCCCCTTCTATTTCTTTCTCTTTGCCTTGTTACGTATAGAAATGGTATTGGCATTCGTTTTGCAGCTCTGTAAATTGATCAATAAAAGCTTGTCAAATAACAGACCCTTGATCAAACTATCATGTTGGAGAGACCACATAAATGGATGAAATCTGAAGATGGCTGACGAATCCCATACTTGGCCAAATCATTAATTAAGGTTTCCAAATCAGCCAATAAAATATCGTCAAGGAATTGAATTATACAATTGGTTGTTGCTAAAAAATTGCTAAGTCAGCAGTCTTATCGATTGCAGCTGCAACTTCGCGACTTTTTGATTTCATTTCACAAGCTGAAAAAAAGACCACGAAGAGCATCTTTCTAGCTCGTATATTTGTCTGTTTAGGAATAATTATTAATATACAAAAGATACAAATACACTGTCCAGTTTATATACCCAATTGGCTACCATCATGGCTCATTCAAAGCGCAACACCTCACTGCCACATTTTACGTCCTACGAACGATCCCTTCTACGCTCGACCTGGGGATCCCAAAGCACTCGACTATCCCGCGAATCCTTTCTACCTTTTTCTTCATGCAGACTGTGTCTTCTTCCAGCTCGTGAACCAGTCGTCGCGTGCGCCACTAATGGCGATCTTTTCTGCCGAGAATGCGCCGTCAACGATCTCCTTGCACAACGAAAGGAAATAAAGCGTCTGGAAAAGGAACGGGAGATTGCTCAACAAGAACGTGATGAGGATCAAGAACGATTGGCTGCCGAAGCGCGAGATCGAGAGCTGAAGGAGTTCGAGATGGTGAGCATGGGCCTTGAGGAGAGGAAGATGAAAAGGAAACGGGAACTAGAAGAGAGAAGGCAGGAGAATGAGAAATCTGAGAAGGATGGTGATGGTTCTCCGGGTAATCTGGAGATAAAGAAGAGGCGTAAGGAGGGCTTTGAATTAGATGAAGAGGAGATGCGAAAGATAGCGATGGAGGAACGAGAGAAGATGATGAAAAAGATTGAACGGGAGAAGGTATGTCTCATGTCTATGCCACACCTTCAAGCATACTAACGGAGTATTAGGCAGAATCATCGAAATCTCAACTTCCCTCCTTCTGGGTACCATCATTAACACCATCTGTTGCTGAAAGTGGAGATGACTCAAAGTCGACAAAGCTGAACCCCATATGCCCTGCATCAACATCGCAGAACAAACATGGCTACTCTCTAAAGGGGTTGGTGACTGTTCATTTTACAGAAGAAAAGGATGATAAGACAGGAGATATGGTCCGCATATGTCCAAGTTGCAAGAAGGCTCTCAGCAATGGACTCAAGGCTATTCGTAGGTATCCTAATTTGCTAAGTGTTATACGATCGCTAACTTCATTCTTAGTCGCCAAGCCTTGTGGGCATGTTATTTGCAAACGCTGCGTCAACCAGTTTATGACTGCGGATAAAGGCGCAGACCCACACTCTACAGACCCAGCTGAGGTAGACCGTATAGGAAAGGTGTTTTGCTATGTATGTGAAGCCGACTTGACAAGCAAGAAAGGGGGCAAGGAAGGGAAGAAAGAGAAAGAAAAGATACGGCCTGGTTTGGTGGAAATATCGTCGGAAGGTACAGGATTTGCTGGCGGCGGGAAGAACATGGCCTCTAAGTCTGGGACAGCTTTCCAATGTTAACGGGGAATAATCTGCAATAGACGTTGAATTAATGGTACTTCTCTGGAGTGTGCGTATATATTTGGGTCATCTGAGATTGTCACACTAGAATTATCACATGACATCCTTAAAATGACGAGCGTGATGCTTATATAATAATACCCAAGCTTGTCTATTTTTAGTTTCGCTAATTTTAATTGGACGAGCTTAACTTACTTAAGGTTTTTTGCATCACGAATTTATATCTTGGCATTTACACGCCTTTTGAAGGCTCATAGAAGCTAGAGTAGCAACATGCCTGACTACAGTATGAATAAAGCGAATATGTAGATAATACGGCTACAGAAAAAATTTTATATACTCGCCTAACATTATACAACTTATTTTGTTGATTATTCGAATAGAATAGACTACTATGCATTGTGCATGTCACGGTTACAGGGAGTTATGTCAGTGAGAGGATCAGCTTTACAAAGTAGATGGTATAGGGAAAATTTCCAAGTGATATAAGATTCCATTATAGATAGAGTTACTCCTCGCGTTTCTTTACACACATATCGGCGGTAATTGATAAGTACTTTGCGGGAATCACTGCTATTACTAGCAACTTAGTTATAACCAGTATCAAATTCCGGGGTGTATCAACTCTCAAAGGCTAGAAATAAATCTGCCATCAGCGTGTACTCTTATCAGTTCGAGCTCCTATCAACGTAATATGCAAATATACGTTCATATATAGATCAGACTAGTAACACACAAGTGTTAGGGTATACACAGCTATGAATAATAATGCTTAATAGCCATCATCAGGGTATAGTAATGTTAGCATATTCCTCACTTGATGATAAGCTAAGAGCTATATAGCTTTGTCAAGTGAGGTTCACTCTCTTTGTTACCCAGGGTGCAAAGCTCTCCTAAGAAAGCTGCTAGCGCATTACTGTTGGTATCTTGTGTTCCTCCTCGCTACACTACTGTATAAATTCTCCAGCCAGACTTGTTTTTATGGTTATTAACCATCTTCCACAACAAGGTCCGGACCATAATAGTAGCAAATATGCCCGCACCACACCGTGAGTTTCTTGAAAGCTTGGCCGGATCCTATATTAAGCTGACTGTTTTAGCCTATACGAAGCTCAAGCTCCCCGAAAATGCACCTTTTGAGCTGAAGCCTTCTCCTGGCAAAGGATGGGGTGTCTTCGCGAAGAGAGACATCAAGAAGGGAGAGCTGGTCCTGAACGAGAAGCCCCTTTTTGTGATCAAGCCACCCACGGGCAGAACCACTGAGCTGGCCGTCCTCGCAGCATTCCAGAAACTGAAGCCAGAGGATAAGCAGCAGTTCTTGTGCCTGCGTGACAACGGCTCCGCGAGATATCCTAGCATGACCCATGCCTTCATTGACAACAACATGACCATCTCTAGGATTCTGACAGCTAGACTCGGCGAAAGCCCAGTCTGCGGCATGTTCATCCTGCAACCGAGATTCAATCACTCGTGCATTGCGAACTGCAAAGCTCCCTTCAACGGAAAGGATGCCATTTCCACCTATGCAATCCAGGACATCACTGCCGGTGAGGAGCTCACTATCATCTACGACGCCAGATTCACCTTCCACCCGCCAAAGGAGCGCCATGCGTGTCTGGGCTTCGTGTGCGACTGTCCTGCATGTGAGATCGGGACGCCCTTCCAGGAGCTCAGCCAGATCCGGCGAACGCTGATCCGGGGCCTGATGTATCTCCAGGACGGCGAAGACGTGGACAGAACGCGGCACTCCGCCTCGCACTCAATCATCATCTGCCCGAAGCTGAAGAAGATGGCCGAAGAGGCCAAAGTCGGCCTGACATCCCGGTTCATCTACCAGATCCTGCTGCTTTTTCTGTTGGAGGAAGAAGGCCTGCTCGACGCCTTCACGCTGAAGGCTCTCCGCCGCAAGCTTGAGGCCACCGCCCGGCTCTTCCAGACGGAGAGAAACGCTCGCATTGCCCGCCTGGCCATGAGACGCAAGACCTGGCTGAGGAAGTTTGTGACGGCCGGGAGGCTGTACGGCCGCGAAGACGCCGGCGATTTGCTTGCGTCCATGTACACCAGAGATCCCAGCCGCTATCCGGCCATCTTCTTGTAAGGAGAGAGTCCCGCTCCGTCTCCTTGATGTATTCGATCAGAGGCCTCGTTTTTATGTAGCTCGTAGTCAGTTGTTCAACGGTGCTCGCGGTGGCTGAAGTTGTGGCGTCGGATTTCCTTTTTGCTCTGCTCGTATTCATCTGGTTCGATTTTCTTCTATTCTACCCAGTTTCTGAGGCCTATGAAGTCATGGCCCAACTTCCCACGACTAAACATCTTCAAAACGCAGCTCAGAAATGAAATAACATACCAGAGACTCCTTCAATTAGCCTGACGACTTTGATCTCTCGATGGCAAGATGCGTTTCTCCGTCCGCCTTAGCCTGTTTCTGACGCTCGCATCCTCGCTGCCGCTGGTTTCGGCTGTTCCACAGCACGAAGATCAGGCATATACATTCTCCCCGTCCGGCCGCAGTGCCACCGCAGACACAGATCCAGCGCTAGAAGTAAGGCAGGAGACGCAGCGGACGCCGTCTGCATGGACGAGACTGCGGGACTCGCTCGTTGAATCTGTCTGGGGCTTGCCGCGGCGCAGCGAGGGCTGCGAGTCACGGCCTAGAAACCGGGCAAAGACCGTCTCGAGGGCGCCAGCAACGCTACAGGCGAGGTACGGAGAGGATGTAGTCCTTAGATTTACGATTAAGAACCAGGAGGAAGTCAAGGCGCTGGTGGAAGCGTCGAATATACTGTTTCTTGACGTCTGGGGCAGCCATGACGACTGGGTTGACATACGGCTCTCCAGGGACGTGGTATGTTTTTCTATATGCGAGTGCAATGATATTTTGATACTGACGGGCTATAGATCCCATCGCTACTTGGGCTGCTCCCTCCGTCTCTACAAACCTCTCACGTCCCTCTGATCCGCGACCTGGCGCAGATCATCTACGAATCGTACCCAAAGGCCAACCCATCTTCGCCCTTACAGCAGGGTCCTACGACCCGCCGTTTCTCTCCATCAGCTAGCACCTCGAAATCGAAACCCCATGAGACCAAGAACATCTTCTTCCAGGACTACCAGCCGCTGTCGGTCCTTCTCCCGTGGATGCGCCTCCTCGTGTCCATGTTCTCCTCCCACACTACCCTGATTAGCGTGGGCACGACAGCCGAAGGACGGGATATTCCTGCTCTTCGTGTTGGCGTACATCCGACAAACAACGCACAGCAGGCGCCCAGAAGAAGGACTATCGTCATATCTGGCGGTGCTCATGCTCGAGAATGGATCAGCGTCTCCACGGTCTCATACATCGCATACTCCTTTATAACAGGCTATGGAAAGTCCAAATCGATCACAAAACTGTTAGAACAGTTCGACTACGTTTTTATTCCCACTGTCAACCCAGACGGTTATGCATATACCTTCTCTACAGATCGTCTGTGGCGAAAGAACCGACAACAGACCTCCCTCTCTTTCTGTCCCGGAATCGACCTAGACCATTCCTGGGGTTATGAATGGGACGGCAATACAACCCGCAGCAACCCTTGTTCAGAGAGTTATGCAGGCGATCAGCCATTCGATGCCGTCGAAGCGCGCGAGATCGCCAGCTGGGCCCGCAACGAGGTAACGTTGAATAACGTCCAGTTTGTTGCGTTCGTGGATCTGCACTCCTATTCACAGCAGATCCTATATCCGTATGGTCACTCATGCGCCCATCTACCCGCCAACCTAGAAAACCTAGAAGAACTAGGCGCCGGCCTAGCAAAGGCCATCCGCAAGTCTTCACGAGAAAACTATGACGTCAAAGCTGCATGCAGAGGCATCGTGGCGTCTTGCACGGGTAATAAAGATGCAGATGAACCAGTTACCTCGTCTGCACTTGAGAGTACCGCGGGAAGCGCCCTGGATTGGTTCTTTCACGACCTGGACGTCCGCTTTTCGTACCAGATTAAGCTGAGAGATAGGGGGAGCTATGGATTCCTCCTACCGAGGGAACACATCGTTCCCACCGGAAAGGAGATCTACCGCGCTATGGTAGCCATGGGGAAGTTTTTGGTTAGCCCACACGTCCTAGACGTAGATATAGACGGGCGGCGCACATCAGAGGAGCTACAGGACTATGATAATGACTTCGAGGATGGCGAGGACGACAAAGATGAGCAAGACTCTACTGTCTTCCGCGCACAGGCAGATGATATACAGTCTTAGATGGATTCTCTTCGGACTGAGGACTACTGGCGACTATAATAACGATTTTTTTTATTTATTTATTTATTTTTATTTTTATTTTTTTTTTTTTTTGGATTTCTTCTTCCCAGGCGATTCTCGTTCTTGTACTTACATATATGTGATTTGTGATTTGGTATGTTTTGGTATATAAACTTGGCAAATCGGCAGTGTACTTGGTTAATGAATGGTACTTCTTTTTGGCCTACCTTCTCGTTTCTCTCTGTCTCTTCTCCTTTTCTCCGTCCTGTCTTCCTCACCTGATACCGAAGTGGACCGGATAAAGAACCCAAGCTTTTTTGAGCTCCACAATAAACAGCCTACCTTAACTGAATCCCACGCTCTTTGACCACCGCCAAAAACGATATCGCCTTTTCTCGCCGGTATCGTTGACCCGATATTGAACAGTTTACCCTGGCTGAAGAAGAGGAAGACTGGTTTCCTGCCAACGGGGCGAGATTCCATCCATTTCCGCCGTCCGGCTAGCTACCTTGCTTCTGCTCGACTGTTTGGCCCCTCATTTTTTTGCTTTTCGTCTATCGGACGGTTCATCCCCTGCAAGATTCTCCACACTGGCAATTCGTCAAGGCAAGGTCGGCCTGGGATTGCCGAGCAAGTTGTCATTTAAATCTTGCCCCCTTTTCACTCATTCCGCTATGAGGGGAGTCGGGATTATCCAATGCACGCGAGGAAGTGAAGACATGAACGATTGTTCGTATCCAGTTCACCTGATGGTCTCCAGATATCGGATAAGAAGGAAATATTCAAAGGGACGAAAAGAACAGTAGGATACACCTGACTCTCATTCCGAATTTGCATATTTGTTTTGGAAGAGGGGAACGGGTGTATTCTAGCTTTTTCTATTGGAAGAATCACAAATATCAACAGCAAATTTGCCCACATCTTTCGCAAAGTCACTGCAACTTATTTTCAACGATATCGGTTTGACAGGACGATCATTGATGACCTAGCAGATACAGTCTCAACCATGCCGAGTGCAAGCTCGGCTGAAGAGCAGCTTTTGACTGCTAATAGGGACACGAAACCCAGATGGTCCATTATTGAGAAAGCTGAAAGGTCACATCGTCGTGTACCGGGATTGAGAAAGATACCATTGCCTGCTCTTGCTATTATTTTTGTTATTGCATTGATCAATATACTGGTCTGGGTCGCAGTGGGGATTGTATTGGTGAGTGTTGTATGTCCGTCTAATAACTTCTATCAACACTAACTGTGAACTAGGCATATCACCCGTACGTTTTCTAAACCCGGTATACGTTCCAGGTTAGCCGCTGACGGATTCAATTTACGTGCATAGATTCCTAGCATCAACAGCTGCTCTTGCATATTCTCTTGGTTTACGTCATGCTCTCGACGCAGATCATATATCAGTGAGATGGCTATATCTTTTACGTCTAATGATACTATCTAATTCTCATTTATAGGCTATTGACTTGATGACACGGCGTCTCCTCGCAACAGGTCAGAAAGCAGTTACAGTAGGGACATTCTTCTCACTTGGCCATTCAACGTAAGGTCTTCTCCAAAAACTAACCCTGATACTTGTCAACTAACATCTCTAGTATCGTCATCGTCACTTCAATCGTGGTGGCAGCCACTGCAGCAGCAGTATCAGATAAATTTGATAAGTATGGTTCAATTGGGGGCATCATCGGGAGTTCGGTCAGCTCTGCATTCTTGATTCTTTTGGGTGTCATGAATGGGTACATCCTGTATAAACTCATCCTACAGATGAAGAAAGTTCTTCGTGACAAAAACAAAGGAGAAGAAATGTGGAAAATCGAAGGTGGTGGTATTCTCTTCTCAATTCTCAAGGGGATGTTCAAAATAATTGACCGGTAGGCTCTCTCTTTGGCTAAGATAAGCTCATATGCTGATGAATAGATACTAGGCCGTGGAAAATGTACCCGCTTGGAGTTTTGTTCGGCCTTGGGTTTGACACATCTTCGGAGATTGCTCTTCTTGGGATATCATCTGTCCAAGCATCAAAGGGAACCAGTATCTGGTTGATCTTGATTCTTCCCATTTTGTTCACAGGTATGGCCCATTATTTTTTTTAAACCTCGTAAATACAAGGAGTTCAATGCTTACATGGGTTTGCAGCGGGCATGTGCCTGATGGACACCATCGACGGTGCTCTTATGCTTTCTCTCTACGTGCAGCCAGCAGCACATTTCCTGGACTCAAAATCACAGCCATCAGCTGAGATATCCGCTGCGCCTATTCCCCAGGAAACACCTGAGCCACAGTCTACACCAGTCGATGAACCAGTATCCCGGAGTCCCCGAGACTCGGTTGCGTTCCTCTATTACTCCGTAGTTCTCACTTCTCTGACAGTTGTAGTCGCCATCGTCATTGGCGTCATCCAGCTTCTGACTCTCCTCTTAAACGCTTTGAAACCACATGGAAAATTCTGGGACGGCGTTCAAATTGCCGGTGATTATTACGATGTCATTGGCGGTGCCATATGTGGACTGTTCATCATTTTTGGAGGCATAAGCGTCTTAGTTTACCCACAGTGGCGACGGTGGGCTGACAAGAACCAGGACAGCACACCAAGCTGTGGCTATCATGTCAGGGCGCAGGCTGACGAAGAGAGCCGCATTGACGGTCTGGATGTTGCCGCTACAGATACACAATCGATTTACCAGGCAGGAGAAAACCCAGTAGACAGGCCTAAAACAGGGACTGCGGCTGATACGAAACTTGTTTGACCGAGATCTATCCGTGGTTTTGATTATCGATCGGTTAACAGATGAGATTCATGAATCTCAAGACACGAACCTGACGATCAAACGAAGGTTTATTGAGTATTAATTAAACGTGGTTTGAACAGGGTTTGCATTGTGGTAAAGGCATCGTAGAGCATATTAAATCATAGACGAAGACGCACAGATGATATCACGCGAATCGGCTCCTTCGCTCGTTAAATTTGCCTTCGTAGTTTAGTTAACTTAAAGGTCCATTGATAAGCTTGAGAAAGCAAAATTAGTAAAATTCTTAATGTCTGTAATGAGACGTCACAACTTGTATCAAACAATTATTTTGGTTATGTATATTCAAAGGTCTAACTAAATAGAGGGTAATAGTTACAACTAAGGCATTCAATAAATAACGAAAAGAAGCGAAAGTTCATGAAGCACTGCTTCAGTGTATGATGAACATCAGAATTCCAAAAGGTCACCGCTTAGTTCCAGAAGCTGCTAAACATCTTGCGCCAGTGCTCACCGCCGAAGTACTTCTTCCAGAATGAATCGAAGTCGAAGTTATCACCACCTGGGTAGGGGGTATGCGGATGCTGGGGGGTTGGTGGCATGGGGGCGGGGGCTGGGGCGGGAGCGGACTCGCCTGGGAAAGGTTGTCCTGGGAAAGGTTCGCCAGGGAAGGGCTCTCCCGGGAAGGGCTCGCCAGGCTGACCGGGCTGGCTGGGGGTTGGCTGCTGGGGCTCGGAGGGCTGGGATGGAGATGGGGCAGGGGCAGGATTGGGGTTGGGTTGGCCACCCTTAGCACCGCCGTTGTTGATGAGGACGTTGGTTGGGGTGCCTGGGCCGGCATCGGTGATGGAGGAGGTACCAAGCTCCTTGAGACGGTCGCAGACGGCACCACCAGAGATACCCTCGAGAGCCATAAGGTAGGCAGCGAGACCAGCAACGTGAGGAGCGGCCATGGAGGTACCAGACATGGACTGGGAACCACCACCTGGACGGGCAGAGACAATGTTGGAGCCGGGAGCGAAAATGTCAACTGTATCAAGTTAGAAAAGGTACCTTATACTCTGAAATAGACAGGACTTACTAGCTGGACCCCAGTTAGAGAAGGAGGAGCGGCTATCATCTTCTGCGGAAGAGCCGACGGTGCAGACGCTGGGTTCGGAAGCAGGAGAGCTGCTCTGAGCATCCTGGTTGTCGTTACCGGCAGCAACAGAAAGGAACATGCCCTGTTCAACGGCCTGGGCGGCAGCACGGTTGAGAGCAGAGCTAGAGCTACCACCGAGAGACATGTTCATGACGGCCTTCTTAGTGCCGCCGTTCTGGCGAGCATGCTCAACAGACCAGTTAATACCGGCGACGATGCCACTAGTAGGGCCACTTCCATCGTTACCCAAGACCTTGACGGCAACGAGCTTGGCCTTCTTAGCAATACCATACATCTTACCGACCATGGTACCGGAGGTGTGGGTGCCGTGGCCGCTGCCATCTCTGTCATCACCGTCGTTGACCTGGTTGGAACCCCAGATAGCACGGCCCTCGAAATCCTCGTGGTTGACATCGACACCAGTGTCGACACTGTAGACAGTGATACCCTCACCGGCAGAGCTGTCGTAAGTGTAGCTGTCGGCTCCGGGCTGGGGGTTGGAGATTCGAGCAAGACCCCACGATGGGACGTTGCTCTGTTCAACCTTTCCGTGGACGGAGACGATAGTGTCAGGCTCAACGAACATAACCTAAGAGAGCGTCAGTTTATATTCGGAGATACAAGTGAGTTCTGATCTATCTGATAACATACCTTAGGGTCCTTGGCGATATCCTTGATGGTCTCGTCGTCGAAGATACCGCTGTATCCCTTCATCTTGTTGAAGTTGTACTTATGTCTCATGCCGGCGTTTTGAATGGTTGCACGGCGGGTGATGTTATGGGTATGAGTAGATTGGAGCCAGCTCTGATGGTGTTTGAAATCATCATCGGAGGTGTCATCTTTCATCATGACAATGTATGAGTTGGGAACAGTCTGCGCATGAGGCATAGACAGGATTTGGGCGGCATTGGCGGCGGACACAGCCGCAAGAGAGATGGAAATGAATCTGAAAACACCCATGGTGAACGACTGACAATAAGAAAGAAAATAAAAATAGAAAAAAAAAAAAAAAAAGAAAGAATGTGATACCAAGAGACTGGTGTAAAAGAGAGTGTAGATAGTTAGAACCTTGGTTGTCAAACAACTCGATGAAGGGGAAGTGTCGACGATTTATATAGGTATATCCTCCATCCCTGAGCTTTGGGAACTTCGAGCAGAAGAAACACTCTCCATAGCTGGTGGTGGGTCTCAAGAATGCCCATGCATTAAAATAATATTCACATTCTGCTCCATTCGGGAAAACATCCTTGTATCAGCCAAAGCCCACTTCAGTAACAGAGATTGAATGGGATGATGACGCGAATCGAGCTTCACCAAGAGTGGAATGCCAGTAAAGTCAGGGTGGAGAGATAGTTTAGGAGGACAGGTGATAGCCGCTGCCAAGGTGCAAGCATACAGAGGGATGGTGCTGATATAAGATGGAGCTCCTGGGTCTGACCTTAGTACTTACACTGAAGCAATATTGCATAACAAAACCTTCTATATTGGCACCAGATATATCGATGGATAACAAGTCGGCGGAGACGCCATGATCCCGCTGACGATTGGCTACACTGGCACATCTAGGTCTACTCCGTACATTCAGGGGGTAATGAAATCACTATCGACCATCACCGCCGGATGATTTCTTGCTAGTATCAATGGTGAACCTCAGCTCAAGCATCTGTTGAAACTGCAGGAAGCAAACATCATGCTGAAAAGCGAGTCACAATCAATTCGATACAGCAGTTCCCCAAACGAAGGATGCCGCTTCTGCGTTGGTTCTATCCTGTTGAGGTATTGATTGCATCAATGGCGTCGCTAGTTGGAGGAATATGCATGTACCACCAAAGCGGCACTGTAGCCTGAAACGAAACTCTGCCTCCTGGGGTCCATTTTTTTGCCTGGGAAAAGTACCCAAAGATGAAGTCTCCGTATTTCTCGAGACATAATCTCGCTGATTTAAGGGGATGTCCCCAGCTCAATCCTTGCACCTGCCAGGGGAAGCTTTGGTCAGGATAGCCGCCCGCTCAGTTGCGCTGTTTCATTGGTGGATTTCAATTCCAGCGACTGATTGGCAAGGGGTTCCTTGGGCCTTTCTCTGCGACACGGCTCGATTCAAAAGTCACCAGTCGGATAGTTCTGGGATGCTTGGTACGCCCAAAAATAATACGAAAGCTTCCAGGGAATTTTTTCTTGTGCCAAGAGAGAGAAGGTTTCTGGAAAGCTAAACGCTCCCAGCGAGTGGGGTGAGTTGTCAGGCAAGGCGCGAGGTGGATGTCCTGCATAAACCGCGAGCTCGTGGAAAGAAAACGAGACCGAGCTCCGTATCATCAATATTGTCCAGTTCCGCAGAGCAAACAAAATCGTTCAGCACCAGCTAACCAAATGCCTTGGTGATATTAACTCTGTGCTGAGCTGCAATAACACACGCATTATTGCATAAAGTTGTGTTTCTTGAGGCGTGGGTCGGCGATATTATGATTTTTTGTCCTGATAAGTGGCCATGAGGGGGAAGTTGGAGCTTGGCTGGGACTGGCGAACCACCCGTGCATCATGCATTGAAGTCAAGGTGGAGTGACGAAAATTTGACCAGGAAAAGAAAAGAAGCGGGCGTTGGTGAGTTCCAACGGCGAGACACTCACAAGCCACAGGGAACTCCGTCTGGTTCCTGCGCTAGAGCCGGTTAAGCAAGTGGCCGACGGCTGAGCTCAAAGACATGAAGGAGAAAGACCCACGACCAGGCCATATAAAGGTCATTTCGATCTTTCAAGCCCCAGAGCTTAGGATGGGGTGTGCCCCTGGGCAGGAGATGAGAACATGCCGCTTGGTTGTCTGCCTTGAAAACCTGTCGATTTGAAAGTCAAAATTCAAGTTTATGTAACGAGGAAGAGTTTGTCCTGAAACATGACAGAGCCCGAGTGCTGAAATATGATTCATGCAGCCGAAGCCGAGGGAAAAGCTCTCCTAGAAATTTTTATGGGGCCAGCGCTTTCTTGTAATTCTCGATCCAAGGGCCCTACCGCGGGTTCTAATCGACGCAGCATGGCACAGCCAGAGCCCTGCAAAGAATAAACAGCGTGATACTTTCCGCGGGTGCGAGAATTCACCGGCCGCTTTGCTTTTTGTTCCTGGCATGGGTGAAATGTTCCTACGCAACACCCCTGGAATATGGAAGTTTTTATTTCCCCGACAATATTGAATGACGCCATTTTTACACAGCGTAGGTCACCGAGTAGCAACATTCTTTAGAATCCGTAGTTGGTTTTATTGGTAGTCTGCAAGCAAGAAGCCATAATGTTCCACGGCCTCAATTTCAGCAGGAGATATGATATGATACAGGACGGAGAGGCAGACATTCGCGGCTAATCCATGGTTTGCTCTTTGGGTTTGGTCCTCCGTATTTATATTCCGTTGGAGCGATATCGAGCATGAAATAAGATTTCAAATGCCTCCTCAGTGGTTACTTCGTCTGTCCTCTGTACGAGGAGTAGTTCCACAGCTCGCCAATATGCAGCCACATCCGGGGTTAAGAGAGTGTCGATATAGCAACGCTGGTAACCATACGTGCAGTTCTGGTCTCAGTCTGAAAGGCAGGTCTTGCCGGGAACAATAATGGCATCATGGATATGCTGCATGTGTAGCTGAATTTGTCGAGTAAGAAGCATCTAAATGCCAAGGTTTACCTAGAGCCGAGACCACGATAGGCTCATTCCCCTGCATGCTTATCCTGGACGGAAATCAGGGTGATCCTCCAGTACTAACGGAACCAGAGTGAGCATCGAACTGCTATCGATATCCACGCATACAATAAACACCAGGGCCAGAACTGCCTAACTGTTCATTATCCGTTGAGAGGGCTTCGAAGCATTGGCTTGTTCCTGAGAGGCTATGTCCGTGTGTTGCAGTAAAAGCAAGCGATAAGGCCTCCTGCTCCATGCTTTGGAATTTTTGATCTATTATTGTAGTCCACGGAGTAAGGAACGGGACGAACGAGATCAAAGGTAGTTCAATCGCCGTTTCGATGTCCCCGTGGCCCGCCCCCTGACAAGTTGGCTTCAAGGCAAACACGGCTTGAAGCGACTTTTAAACTCCGGGTGAACTCTCAAAAGCGAGCAAGTTCCAAGGGTGTGGTAGCGTGATGCTGAAGCTCCAGAATCACCCGTCAGTCCTTGATTCCAACAAGCGAACAACGGCCGGCGGTGTTGATCTTCTGGCTGTATTCTTTGTCGTCCTCTTCCTGCCTTTTTTTTTTTCTCTTTTGATATCAAGACGTCGAAAAACAGTGAGCACGTGACTAATTCGGAAGATTATTACTCCGTTAATAACCATTCACGTGACAACCCTTTGGCCCAACCTCCGCGTCATAATCATAATGTCGTATAAAAAGTTGCAACTCGATAATATGAATCCATCTCATAAACGATACCGTTTTTCACCTTAGCATTATAGCTTTCTAAACGGAAATCCCTATCAGAGACTTTATTCGCCAGTAAGGCGTTTCAAGATACCCCTCAGTGTCGTGGCTACATTCGACTTCGTTGTTCCCTGAGTATGAGCAATCGTATACATGGAGAATTCAACTCGAATTATATTCACAACCTAGGTGAATTAATTCATCTTATTCCCTATATTTCGTTTCCTACCATTCCATCCTCAATGTGACCTATGCTTTCTTCCTATGGAGCCGATTGTCACGCTTATGTGAACTACTCCTTGCATTGTATATATTATGGAGGCACCGTTATGAAATTCGAGTTATAGTGATTTTTTGCTAAGTTTTTCCCTTGCTTTTGTACCTCTGGATTGATGTGTTTCATGGGCTTGAGCGGGCGATAGCGCTCTCCAAAATAATGGAAGTCCATGACATTCCCGGATTTCCGGATGCCGATAATGAAGATACGATCGATCTCAGCTCCTGCCCCACTATATTTGTACTTCCTACACATATATCCCTGGAAGAGCTCCATGCTATTGAGGGTACACTTTCGAAATGCGGCGCTCCTTTAACCTACGACATCATGGAGGCCCGTCTAGCTATTGGTAAAGTATCCCACGAAAAGCGTGCAACATTAGAGCTTCGTTCAAAAGGGCTCTGGACAGAGGGCATTACAATTGCAGCAGCAATGGACGAACCAGCTCAAAAGCGTCGGCGTCTGGATGATGATAATAAAAACATTCGGGTGATCAGATTGAGCTGGATACACGAGTCCCTAAAAGCAAAGAAGCCTCTACCGTTTGAACAGTTTACTGTTTACGAAGGCCATAAAATATCAAAGCCACCTACTGCAAGCCTGGAGAAAGCATCGTCAAGCACAACTTTCCCGGGTCGATGTGCGGCTCAAGAGACTGCTCTCAACCAAAGCCCTGGTAGCAGTATTCTTGGAAGGGCTAGAGGAGATACAGCATCACCGTCAATGAAATTTATACCATCATCCCCCTCTCATCGAATGAAGGCCACCTCGGATAGTCCTTCAGTTCTTAAGCAAAGACCAAAGTTGTACCGCGCCTCAACTTCGGACTTGGAGGAAGAAGCTTCTATACCAGACCCCCCTGAATGGGTACGCAACAAAGTCGTATATTCCTGCTGCCGCTCTACTCCGCTTCTTTCACCAAACGCAGAGTTTATCGACCAACTGCTTAAGATCAAAAAGATCCGCGAGCTAACTTTGGATGAGGTTGGGGTTCGTGCATATAGCACGTCCATAGCTTCCTTGTCCGCATATCCATATAAACTGAAATCTCCCGAGGAGGTTCTATCCCTACCAGGCTGCGAGAATCGCATTGCGAATTTATTCACGGAATGGAAACATAGTAAAGACGGTATTCTGGAATCTACATTGCCGCTCACCACTGATCCAGCGCTGAGAGTCATTCAATCGTTTCATAACATATGGGGTGTTGGAGCTAAATCCGCTAGGGATTTTTATTACCAGAAGCAATGGAGAGATTTAGACGATATAGTCGAGCAAGGTTGGGATGCCTTATCCCGAGTACAACAGATTGGGGTGAAATACTACGAGGAATTCCTTACTGGAATCCCAAAGGAGGAAACTGTGTCTATTGCCAATACGATACTGCACCATGCGAAGCTCGTCAGGCCAGATTCTGATTTCGATGGCGAAGGAGTTGAATGCATTATTGTCGGTGGTTATAGACGGGGCAAAGAAGAGAGCGGCGACGTGGATGTGATCCTTACTCACCGGGACGAAAGAGTGACGTCCAACCTGGTGTTCGATGTCGTTGCAAGCCTAGAGCAAGAAGGATGGATCACGCACACGCTTGCTCTTCATCTCACAAATACCAATCGTGACCAACAGACTTTGCCATATCGTGGAGAATCAAGCGGGAAACCCAGGTTTGACAGCCTGGATAAAGCTCTCGTCGTATGGCAGGACCCCAACTTTGATGGTAATTCTTCATCATCATCTTCGTCCGAGGACTCCGGGGAGATGAAGTCCCCTCCTCTCGCACCAAAGGAGAAAGCAGAAGAACGGAAAATAAACGAGGACATGAAACGGCAAGAGCTAACCTCCCAAGATTCCAGCCGTGATACCCTGGCTGGAGAGTTTGGAACATCAACTGCCCCAATCCCGGTAAATCCCCGAAAGGCAAACCCAAATCTCCACAGGCGAGTTGATATTATAGTATCCCCGTTCCGAACTATAGGGTGTGCTGTTCTGGGATGGTCGGGAGACACAACCTTCGAACGTGATTTACGCAGGTACGCCAAAAAAATGCACAACTGGAAATTCGACTCGAGCGGTATCCGGTCTCGAGAAGGAAGTGGGGGGAGAATTATTGACCTTGAGAGCAGAGGGAAGACATGGCAGGAGAGGGAGAAATTGGTCATGGAAGGCTTGGGGGTTGGATGGAGGCCACCGACTGAGAGGTGTACGAGGTGACAGGGCTGGCCAACGCAACGATATCAAAGGTGGATATGGGCAGGGTAGCAACCAATGACGTGCGAGGGAGCGGAAGTTCTGAGATTAACTAACTTACATGGTGGAGTGCTAACTACTTACTGTATAAATAGCTCCGACAGCTTTATCAAGCGCTACATAAACCCTGGACAATTTTGAAACACCAGTGGGCCATCCAACCTAACTAATTTGTGAAAACAAATCACGGATGTCTCCGGACCTCACTGAAGATCGTTAACAAATGGCTGAACTGGGGCCTTTTTCTTGTTATCGGTCTTGTATTCAGTTGACAAATAAATACAGAGTAGTTAAGAACATACCTTCGTTCAATGATTCGAGACCTTAGAACCGACCTCGTGGATGTGACATAGGAGCAGGCGCTTATGCTCCTTTCATTGTATGCCCAAATACTCTGAAAACATATATGAACCAAATAATCACTTCTTGACACAAGTGCCAATGGTTCAAGATACCATGTGGCTTTTTCCTATTATTTCCCGACAACGCTTTATGATATCACCCACATTGTACTTTAGGTCCACCTGCTGAGGCAATGGCTTCTTCAACGCATCCTTCCCCAATGACAAGAGTTAGCTTAAAGCATACGGACTTGTCCCCCGACTCTTCTTCACTCCAACTCCAGAAACTCACTCCGCCGTAATTCTCCATTTTTTCTTCAAGAGACTTACCACGGTCTGTCGCCCAGCCTCTAATGCCACTGATCTCGATAGCCAGCACATAAGGAAAAGGTTTAACTTGAAAATGAGCCTCAGGATCTGGCTTATGGTCTGGCTTAGGATCCGGATCAGGCGACGGCTCTCGCGTCGATTTCCAGAAACTATTCCGGCCTGGGCAGCTGCTGGCGTATATATGGTAGCTAAGCTGGAAGGAGGGCCTGCGCCTGGTGGGTGAGTGATGGTTTTACCATGGCTGGGGTTTGATGGGGGGAAAGTTGCCTCAGTCGCAGGAAGTGTCAATGATGAGAGGAGGTGGAGCAATGCTCTGCCTGGGAGGGAAGATTTCTGATTTGCCGGATTCAAAAAGAGTGACAGGCCAAAGGGTATTTCAATCATAGTAAAAGGTGGGAAGCTGAGGACTGTGGTTTTAGTATAAACGGATCAGCGGAGCTGGATAAAACATTTGTTGTGTTCGGAGGCCAGGCCGCAGCCACCGGGGTCTCCATTGGAAATGGTGGTAGCACCATAGTGTAAGGAGGCTCGCATGAGATACCATGCGCTGAATTGGCCCACAAGTCCGGTCCTATATAGATATCTCCGCTGCCACCATTTGACCCATAGTCCTCAATGAAGAGTGTGGTAGTTCCTGTTAGGGCATATATATAATTTTAGTCTTCAAAGAGTATGATACTTCGTTGTACATATCGCAGAGGCTGGACATACTAGTAGCAGTGCCACCGCCATCAAGGCTCACAGCCCAAACCAATGTCCTACCGGAGCAGGGAGAGAAAATTCACTAGAAGTTAGCCAGCAAAGGTGTAAGCAACTTACCCGCCAATGCAATGTGGATTGGCGTAGTCCATCTTCGCTTTGAACGACTTCGCGTCGTCATAGCTAACCCACTGGTCGTCGTCAAAAGTAAAGATTTCCACTGCCGCCACAAGGTCGTATAATTTCTTCGCCTTACCGCGCGGACCAGCCAAGATGGCCTCGAATTCGGTGAATGACAGCCTGCCGGCACTTTTGGTACATTCTCCGGCTCTTCCTGATGTGCGAAAATTGAAGAGTTTCAGTTACTTACCAATCCAAATCAACACCATCAAACCCATGTTGTTCAAGGAAAGCCAATAAGGACGCCATGAATGTCATTCGATACGGACCCGAGTATGCGAGCAATGAAAAAGGTATGATAAGTCAGACTTGGGTCATTGAAGTCCGATCCACCAATGGAGGCCCAGACCTTGAGCCCCGGCTTCCTTCTTTTTCAAGGCAGTAACACGGGAGTAGAGGTCTTCCTGATTCTTGACCATGGGCTCGACGGCGAATGTTACCGGGTTAATGTAAAGAAAGGCAAAACTGATATGAGTATAACCACAAATGGGAATTCCTTCAGGTTCCATTGTGTCACAGAAGCGTTGTATGTTCTAACCTTCGTAGATCCGATGGTCTCTTTCGTTGCAGACGACCACCCGCAGCGAGGTTCTGCAACTACGTCATCACCATGTCGGGTCAGTGAGTCATATAGCTACATATGCAAGGAGACCAACTTACCCATTACTCACCCCACCCTGGATAAACACTTGGGTCATATTCAGATTTCTGGCTGCAAGTTCCGTGAGCACCGCCTTCAGCCAAAATCTTGTTCTTATAACAATATGATGGCTCAAAAATGCAGACTTTGGCGGTCTTTGAACAACAACAAAGGGCTCATTTGTTATTTGGCCCACAGACAATATTGTCGTGATAGCTCAGTTGAGTGTAGGAGGAGAGGTATGGAGAAACCAACATAAATTGGTTGCTTCATCTTGATAGGAAGGATGGTAGGTGAAAAGACGACTGGCTTCACTGAACAATTCCACAACAGTAATCACCACTCTTAAGTATCTGGAAACTGGCCATCGTTCCAGAGGAGAATGCTAATAATTTGACGCAGCCTATGCCGAGGCAGACTAGCGTCAGCTAATATTGGATATTCTCATACCCTAGAATGAGTACCCATTAATTTGGAGACAGAAAATCCAGGAGGACCACGGATATTTGTAGACCATTGCTATCTCAACGCCTTGAAGGCCCAGACTTGCAACGGTATTTTTGCCCTCAGCAAAGGATAGACAACCTTAGAACGCCCGATAAGCCTCCGTCCAGAAACTTAGCTGTCCAGGTATCATTAAGTATCAATTGATATAGCCTTCTAGAAGTTAAGGAAGATAACAGCTCATCCAACCTGGGGTCTTTTAATATACGCCCCTCCTTGGTTGTCACAACGGAGCAGTACCGAGTCTAGCTGCAAAAAAAAAACCCTGCTGAGACCTTTCTGAGTTATCTAAAATGGGCTCAAGGTCAAAACCACTGGAAACTAGCTAGGAAAGCTAGCCAACAGATGGATATTAGGACGTTTGAGAAGTAACAGTGCAAAGGGTAACCGGTAGTTGACTAGTTGAAGTATAATCCACACAAGCAACAGAGCATGACTTGACCATTAGGTTCCACTCTGAATAGGTGATAAGGATAAATGCTCTTTTGGTACCGTTACTCCGTGCGAAGTGGACAGCTTGATGTTGTTTGTGGGTTGTCTTGTTATTTTAGAGCAGTTGAAAACCTCGAGAAGGCTAAGACCACGTGTGGATCTGGGAAGCGGGAAGCGGGAAGCTTCGCCTAACCAAACTTAGTTAACAAGCTAAGCTTTCCTCTCAACAAAGTTAACACCCGTCCACTACCTGACTCCGTATATTAGTACTCGTTATGATGCCAAAGACTGCGTGATATTGATATATAACTGGTTAAAATGCTGGAGATTTTTTCAGAGACTAACTAGGTAGGGATGAATCCTAGTAGGTTGGTTAACTTGTAAGCTAGTTAGGTAACTAACTAGCTCTTTTCCATTTGAAGGTGTTTAAGATGCTTTGACTTACTACTTAAGAGGCCCAGATTCTTCTCAGCATCAGTTACGAGTTTATCTGTCTGATGAAGATGTAATATTGCATCTATCTAATCCCCCGGCGCACTTAATGGGGCCTGTGGTCACCATCGACGAGCCGGCAAAACTGTCAGCCCTCACCTATTCTAGTACATCATCTCTGGGTCGCCTCGACTCTCTATCTCTCGAGGTTTTATGGATGATTCTACGTTATTTGGACATACGGTCGCCCTCTCGTCTTTTACGCGTGTCTCACCGAGGCAGAGCTGCGGTTGAATCACTACCGCTACACCGTGAACTCATGAAATATATACCCAATACCCTCAAAGCACTTGGTAAGTGTCGACTCCTTTGCTACTACACTGGGCACAACCTGCTGGTTTCTCAAGGAAAACTCCTGTATGACCTGTGGAAACTTTGGTTCCTTCTTATTCCTTCCAACTGGTGAGCGTTGCTGTGGCGAGTGTCAAGAGCGCCATAAATATCTCAGTATGATTACTTTTCCAAGGGCCCAGTCAATCTATGGCCTCGAAACGGATGACCTCAAGGAGCTTACGGTGTTCAAAACAATTTCTGGCGTTTATAAAACATATGCGGTAGAAAAATCACAACGACGACTGAAGCTCCTCCACCGTCATGCCGCGATGGAGCTGGCTGATATGAAGTTGGAGGAACAGGACAGGGTTCAAGCTGAATATATTGAAAAGGCCCAGAAAGCCAGTTTACCTTGGCCTGAATGCAGCCGCGTGCCATATTGGCCGGATTCAGACGACTCTGGTTTGGGTGGGGGCCCCGATGTGAACGGGGTCCGTGAATTCATTGGCATGGAAGCAATAAGATTCCCACACCTGAGACCCGACAACACGTTAGAATACGGCCATTCATGTAAAGGATGCAAGTGGGAATATCTGCAATATGAATCAGACCGGGTATTATACGATATGAGTTTTTTGGGCCAGAAAGAATATCAGGTTCCTCAGGCCCTTTGAGGGAGGGGCTTACGTGCCTGGCCGAGGGACGAGTTTTTAAAACACGTCGAAGAGTGCTATGGAGCGCAGCAGTTGCTCTCCTCCATTGATGATCGAGAGCCAGAATAATGGTTTTCCTTGACTATATTTTCACAAAATGCCATTGAACTGCCAATGAGGCGGTGATAGTCAGGATGAAACAAGTGGACGAGGATATGGTATGAGACGGACAGAAAGAGAAACCTAATCGTCTAGCTCCAGGGTTTGTTTTTGTGATATGTATAAACGGAAGATGGGTTAAATAATAAGTAATAGCTTGTACATATGGAGACGATGAAGAAGTGGCATAAAAAGGCAAATAATTTAATAAAGCAATCAAATATCCCCCGCACAGAAGAACCGGTCTCTCCTAGCAAGCAGACGAAAGCAGGCAAAAAGGCGATCTAGAAATAATGCACCAAACGAGGAAAGAGGACCAAAAGCAAGCAAGCAAGTAATGACTAGCTGATGGCTAAATCGATCCAAATCCAGGGGGAATAAGGGGGAAACGGGAACGGGAGGGTATAAAAACTGCCTCCGTAGAAGGAGAGTGAAATCATGTCAAGAACAAAAGCGGAAAAAGAGCAGTAGCAGTAGTGGAAAAAAAAGGAGAGGGGAATAATAGCGAAAAAGAAAAGACAAATGGACAAAAATATTATACTACATATCGGGAGCTAGACGCTCAAGTCATTGGCCGTGAACTTGCCATTTCTCCATATCGTCCTCTGCTTCTCGTCGTATCATAAGCATTAACAACCCTCATCTGGCCACCTTCATCGGCCTGACTGAAGGCATAACCTCTCTGTTTGCGCATACGCTGGACCTGGCGGACTTTCCGGATAGCCTTCTGGAACTGTTCCATACGTGGTCTGTAGTCTTGTACGTTGTATTTCTGTATCTCTTGGACGTGATGGTAGCTTTGTGGGTAGTACATGCGTTTGGCGTACTTCCAAGCAAAGTCACGAACGAGACAGAGGCAAGGGATGAGAACTGCCATGATCCAGACTGTTGGAAGGGGGTAGAGGTGTGGGATCATTTGGTAGTATTCGAAGGAGAATCCAATGCTGGGGGCAGCATATGCGTATGCAGGAATGAAGCCGAGCCAGACAAGTAATGAGCCGGGAATAGCGATGACGGTGTACTTGGTCCAGACGTTGGTGACCAAGGCTGCCTTGCCGAGAACTGTAGCTAGGACAGCAGTATAGAGAGCTGTACCCCATACCCAGAGTCCAGATGTGGTTCCGTCACTGGTTGGCATGTCGTTTTTGAAGATTTGTCGGGAAAGAAGATATGCAACAAGGGAGTGGTAGAAGCCGTTCCCAACCCAGGACCAGAAACTGTGCATCTTGAAAAAGGTGCCTTTCTGGCCGAGCTGGTACAGTTGGGGGTATCGATCCAGGAGTCTCGCAGAGATAAATTGGTCAAAGATACCCATGGCGAAGGGAGGGAGAACAGTGAATAAAACGTTATATAAAGAGAGTGTCCAAGATTCGTAAATAACTTGTCCAGAGAACGAGTTTTCAAATGCGTACTATTAAGTTGTTAGAAATTTAACGATTAGTAGTAATTGCGAATGAAGACATACCCAGAATTGTGTCATGTAAAGAACAATATTCTTGTAGAACGAATACAGAATAGTCTTGCTAACGCGGGAATAACTCCAAGACCCATGAACGAGAAGTAGTTTTCGAAGATATCGGAATTGGCCAATTGAAATATCGGCACTTCGAGCTGCTTGAAGACCTTCCATACCGCTGATACCAACACCAACGTGTGCTGCTTGAATCATAGAGACATCATTGGCACCGTCACCGATGGCAAGCAAAAGGGCTTTGAGATGGCGTTTTACAAGTTTAACAACAAGAGCCTTTTGTAGGGGAGAGACACGGCTATTAAAATTGTTAGTTTGGGTATGCCTTGTATGGGAGTGCAAAGATCAACTTACCAGCAAATAACTGCCTTACACATGACAGCGAGATCCAGGAAAGTCTTCTCTAGTTCCTTCTCAAGGGCGTAGGTAAGTGATTTTCCATCAATAATAAGAGCTAGCGTTTCGACATCTGCTGAATTGGCTTGACTTTTGACTTGTTCGAGCTTTTTCGTCAAGTTGTCCCTGGTACTTGGGGCATCTTCCTCGTTAACAATGAGTAAAGTCATGTCTTCCGAAATAAGCTTGCAACTCATGCCGATGTTTATGGCAGTCTCCTGTCGATCACCGGTCAAAACCCAAATCTTGATACCAGCTTGCTGTAAGGTATGGATGGTGTCTGGGACGCCATCCTGGAGTCGATCTTCAATTGCAGTTGCACCGAGGAGGAAGAAGTCCTTCTCAATCAGCTCAGCTGCTTTGTCTACTTCCTCCTGCCTGTTTCCGCTGACGGTGGTAGAAGCTTTGTTAAAGACCTGCCACCATTCCTGGAACTCTTCTTCGGAGATTTCACGCATTGCGAGACAAAGGGTTCGAAGACCCTCGGAGGCGTATTCTTCGAGATGCTGAAGTGTTGCTTCCACGATGGGATTGTCTTGTCCGAGACGTTCGAGAATGACTGTATCGGCTCCCTTGCAGTATATCCGTATTTTGCCATCGGGACATCTGAAGATTGTCGACATACGTTTTCTCGTAGAGTTGAATTCACAGACAGCCAGAAGTTCGAACTCTTGCTCTTCTCCTCGAGCAGAGATGTTGACGTATCTTGGCTTTCGGTTGGTGAATTCGTATCCTAGCATGACGGCACCCTCGACAAGAGCACCTTCATCTGGAGAAGCGGCCTGGTACTTGATTTCGCCCGGCTTGTCGTCACTTCGTTCAGGGATGACAGTATGGCAGGTAGCGAGTAGAGTGAGGAATTGAACGATTGCGTCGCCTGTTGGATGGGAATCTATGTGTTGCTTAAGCTGTTTAAAGTCATACATGGCCGTCTCTGTGTCGTCATTATAAGCCGCTCTTCGGTCTTCCGGCACAACCTCAGCATATTGGATACCGCCAATGGAGCACTGTTTGAACTCCATCTGGTTGCAAGTAAGGGTACCGGTCTTGTCCGAGAAGATGTACTCGATCTGGCCGAGTTCTTCAACAAGGGAGGAAGTTCGACAGTTCGACGGAGTATCGGTAGGTTCATAGTAGATATCGAGATCGGAGCTGATGAGAAAGGCGTGGTAATACTTGACGATTTCGATGGTAACAAAGAGCGAGATGGGGACAAGGTTGGAGTACAAGACCCAGTAGGTGAAGATATCGGAGAAGAACTGCTGAGCGAGGTTGACGTTGCTGTAGTCGAGGTAGGATTTGTTCTTGGAAGCAGTGGTACGGATAACCAGATCGCCAATGGAACTTATCAAGCTGAGAGCAACGAGGATTCCAACCAGCATGAGAATTTGCAGGTTGACCATGTGTTCGACGGCTGTTCGTTTTATAGGGGTTGCGGTGGCATTTCTCATGAGCTTCGTTTCGTGTCCGGTGAAGACGACGACGCCGTGGATCCAGGGGGTGTTCCGCAGGGTAGCTCCTCGAAGAAGCAGCTGGTCGGGGGCAAGGGAGAGCTCCTTTTCACCTCCGCCGGATTGCAGAGTCAGGGTAGCTTCGTAGGTGTAGAGGCTGCTGTTGGGCTGTTCGGATTTGATCCTCGATGTCAATCTGCTAAGCTGACCAGCGCTTACTAGATCAGCCGTTTCGGGGATGCCCTGCTTGATCTTCAGGTTGGTCTCTCCGTCCAGATTGGCTGTTTCGATGTAGCAGAGTGCTTCGGGTTCGGAGCTGGCAAGCAGGACCAGGTCTGCAGGGAAAGGTTCCTCTGACTCGACCCGGACGATATCTCCCACCGCCACGTCTATCCATTTGACCTGTTCGAAGTTTGAACCACGCAGCACCTTTGTCTTTGAGTGATTGAGAGACTTGTCCGAGCTCTTCCGCTTGTAGTCTTCGACCAATTCCTTGATGGCGGAGACTATCAGCACGACGATGAGCGGGCCAATGGTCGTATATCTGTTTGTAGGCGAGATGTTGGGGATCTGCTGGAGGACGGCGGTAAAGAGGAAAAACAGGTTGGCGTATTTGGAGAACTGTTCGAAGAGGAATTTCGGTAGGAAGGTGAAGATGTTGTATTTGGCGGTAGATATATGGTTGTCGACGAATTTGTGGGCAGCGTTTGCGGGAGCATTGTTGAGCAGGATGATGCGAGGCCCCAAGGTCGAGGGATCAGGCTCTCGCCGTCCAAAGCCAAACTTGAACTTGCTGGACTTGGGCTTGCCAGGGGGCGTCTCGTCTGTGTCTGCGGTGCCGACCCTGCGAGAGGCAGCTCCGGCCTCAGTCAAGGGCAGATCCATCTCAGAGTACTCGGGCTTGATTCCCAGCATGTTCTTTGCTCTGCCCATGATGCCGCCGCCCAGGGCCATGATGCTGTTTCTATCTCTTGCGCGGGCGTCGCGTATGGGAGTGGCGCCGTCAGACCTGTCTCCGTCGTTGTAGTATCCATACGTCCGGTCATCCTCGAGGTCGTCTAGATCAGAATACCGCTGGTAGTTGTGCAGGTCTGAGGTCTGCGTGTACATCCCCGTAGCACTGCCATCGCCCCCATACGCCCTGCTGGCGTCATCCTGGAGCTGTCCGTGGCGGCCACCGCTGTGTATATTATTATTATTATTGCTGCTGCTGTTGTTGTTGCCGCCGTGCGCTGAGGGCCGCCCCTGGCCGCCGACAAAGTCATCGTAGGAGACCGACGGCCGCGACGACGGCTGGTCGGAGTCGTTAATGTTGAACTGCTGCACCAGGCTGTCGTCGCCCACCGGCGGTCTCTGGCCGGAGCTGTACTGCGAGGGAGCGTCGTCGAGCTGGAGGAGGTTGTCGCCGTGGCCTCCAGGAGGCCTGCCGCTGGCCATGTCGCTTGTCCTGCGCGACCCGGTCACGGAGAGGTAGAGGCGAAGACACGCCCACGCTCGCTCATCGAAGGAGGCCGGCGCTCGCTGTCCCTGCTGGTCCGGTCGGGCGTCTTTGTCTCCTTGCTGGGCGGTTTCGAGCTGGCTTTTGCTGGCGTGTGGTGGTTGCGGGCTCCAAGGGGGCGTCTAGAGGCACAGGACGGTCAGTATCAGGCCGTTAGTTAGCCGCGGAGGGCGTCGACTCGCGGGCAAAAGGACATGAAGCAGTTGAAGACGGGGACGAGGGAGGCCGTACGCTGGGGATCAGGCTGCTCTGCTCAGTGACCCTTCGCCCTGCTGCTGCTGGCGCGTGAAACTCGGGGGCTTTTTTCCCTTGTCGCTGTCAGGGAGATCGATTCGTACGTTCTGCGAGGCGAAGCAACTTCAGCCACAGCGCGATTTCAGGCCAAGCGACGTTTAGGCAAACACGGAGGCCCGGCGTCTGTCTACGCTCATCCTACGGACTGTGTGGGAGTTACTGGTGCTGCTACTGGCTGGCCCGTCGCTTAGGAGGCGTCTATGCTGCTTTATTCTGCGTGTGTTCTTTATCTCACTAACACTAGTTAAGTCGTTAAAAATATATATGGGAAGCCTGGCTGGAGGCCGACTATTAATAGCTCGAAACAGCGTGGATCGATCGAGATCCAGCTGCGCGCTGGCGGGCGAGGCGAGCTTGAAGTCGGCCGTTAAAGGATGGGGATGCTGCTGCGGGCCGGCGGCATGGCTGAGCTGGTCGGTCGTAGCCGGATGTTCCGTCGCTGGAGACAAAAGTCCTGAGCATTGGGCTGATGATATGTCCATGCGTGTACGGAGCAGTGAATAAATAGTCCAGCGCCGTAATAGACTTTGCTGGATCGTCGAACAGGCGCCAGAGTTAGGTGTGGTTGTTGGTTGTTTGTTTCACGGTCACCTCTCGTGGGCAGCACTGAGCCCTGCCGTGGGCCGTTTCTTCTCCCGAATCTGCTTTTCCTCCTCCAACCGGGCAGCAAGCAGCTTGTTCAGCTCCCTCACCTTCTCCAGCGCAAGCGTGGAGCAGTTCACCATATTCACCGGGTCCGCTGGCGCCCCGTCAGGCTTCGAGTACAGCGCAATCTCCCCCGTCTTGTCAAGAGCAACGACCAACGACCCTTCACTGACTGCCTCCTCGCTCGTTGTGGCGTCGAGTAGCATGATCTTGCCTTCATCGTAGAGATTGAACGTCACTGACAGCGGGATCTTGGTCAGGTTCAGCTGCACAGGCACCTTCTCCTCCGTAGTGAAGACCGTCACCTCGCCATCTCGCACCGTAGATTCTGGCAGACGGAAGTGAAGCAGCCCGGCCATGATGGCCAGGCAGCTCGCGTCAATCAACCCTCCATCGCAGTCCAGGATGTGAATGTCTGCCCGGATGTTCCAGCATATCCTCCCCTTAGCAATACACAGAGACTCCGTGTCGAGCGCATTGGACCGCCGAACGATCTTGTCCAGTGTGCGGGACAGACTGACCTCCAGCTCCGATGGTCTACCACCCTATCCATTAGCTTTTTTATTTCTTCGTAGTCAACGCCATCAATATCAAAACGCACCGTCCGGTCTCGTAGCCCGGTAGAGCCATGTCGTTCAATTCCACCACAACAGTAAATATCCCGTCGCAATCGCGCTCAGGCCGCGGGGTCGTCAGCTCTGCGGAAATCCGTACCAGCACCCTATCGACATATCTGATTAGCACACGTCTCCAGCCTGTATACAGAGTATTTAAAGACTGTCTACTCACGCTGTCTTCCCAAGCTGCACCTTCACGTTACCATGCTCATCGCCAAAGGTCAGCTCGACAGGCCGGAGCTGGTCGAACCGCCGCCCATCGAGCCGCAGATTCTTGTGCAGAGCTTCGAGGATAAACGCCCGCTCGTTCACCGAGATCTCTGCGTCTCTCGCCATCTTGACGGCGTTTCTGTCGTTGATTTTGAGCTTTTGTGCTTCTTTTTCCTGCTTCAACTCTGCACTTTGTAGAATTGCTTAGTCAGCACATACATCTGATGGGCCATTTTTTGAGATTTTTATATTAATCGAATTGTGTTCGACGTTTACTAGATTACAGGTGGCTATGGGTGGCTGGTTACGGTGTCGGATTAAAGGATAGTCAGGGGAGTTTACTGTCAGAGTCAGAAGAGAATATGAAGGTCAAGTGATATATCAATAATGGCTTGGGATGGTTGAATAGCGGATATATTTTGACGGCTGTCTCTACCCCTATTACCCGGCGTGTAACCAGTGGCTTGCACCGTAACAGCAGAAATTGCTCCCTGTGCACTGGGTAAAGGCAAGAAGTTCCTTAAGGTTGTAACATCTCAGCCGGTCTGACATGTCGTGGTGTCATATGTGGATGCTGTTGAGGTAGCAGCGGCGTCGTAGGGTTGATTCAATGTAACTGTCAACGCTTACGCTGGCTATTGGTAGCCTTTAAGGAATGAATTCCTTGGCCGTAGGTATGGGGTGCCCTTAACCGTAGTATGTTGGTTGGCTTGCCAATATGCTGACACTTGGCGCAGTGTGCCTTTATATAAGCTTGAAGATAACGTCTTCCATGATTATTCACTTTGGCTTTTCGTTCGCTCCAGCATACAGCCCAGGTAGCCCTGAAGGAGGATAACCCTGCTGCCCGAAATTCTGGGGTGGCAGTCCGGGAGGTGGGAACTGTGGGTTAGGGAACATGTGAGCTATGTTTGGCGGTATGCTGCCCGGCATGTTCGGGTTGGAGAAGAAAGGTGGTGGTGGTGGCTGTGTGCCATGTGGAAATGGAGGCTGTTGACCCTGGCCCGGCGGCGGAGGTGGAGGAGGGAGGCCGCTTTGGGATAGCATGGCAGCTAATCGCCCGGGATCCATCTGTGGAAGAGCTGGGGGTGCCCCGGATGAATTTGGTGGAGGTGGAGGTGGAGGCTGTAATGCCCCAATGCCAGGAAGGAGACCCGGTATGCCTTGGCCTTCAGCAGCAGCGTTTTGAATTCCAGGAATTTGTGACTCGGCAGCTTGTCTTTGGTCCATGCGGCTTTCATCTTCTGCCTGTGCTTCCTGTTCTTCTTCCTCGCGCATCTGTTTCCGTCCGAATCCACGGTTCCATGTTCCTTGCGCTTCTGCAGCCTCTTCTCCGATGTGGAATCGGTCCTTGAGATAATTAATCTCCCCCGGTCTGGCACGCGACCAGAAACGGGTGAAGTTGTCTTTGGATCCGGAAGCGAGGATATGGCCTAGCGGGTGCCAGTCAAGGGACCAAATAGTCGACCCGTGAGCATATTGAATCTTGTGTGCTGGGAATATTACCTGAGCAGGAGTGTTGGTGGGATCTGTAGTGCCGTATGGAGCAACAGTAGGCATCTGCCCGGCAGGAAGATTAGGCTCGTCAAGTAGATAGTGATACAAGGACCCATCTTCGCTGCCGGTGGATATCATGGTACTGTGCATTGGATGCCAGGCCAGAGACGAAATGGGTTTGTCATGGCCTCTGAGTATACAGATGTCCCGCATCATACGCAGGTCAAACACGCGGCCCGTCTGGTCGCGAGAGGATGTTCCCAGCAAGTTAGTGTTGACTGGGGAAAACTTTGTGGTAGTGACGGTGTTCTTATGGGTATGTAGGGTGGTCAAGCACCGGCCTGTACGAGGATCCCAGAACTTGACTTGGTGGTCCTTGGAGCCTGAAACCAGCAGACCCTTTGTTGGATGCCAATCGCAAGACTTAACGTCCCATCCATGTCCAGTCAGGACCATCTCGCACGTCCGTGCAGTGAAATCAAATATTTTCAGTGTCGTATCATCCGAGGCTGAAAGAAACTTTGAGTCGTTAGGACACCATGTCAGATCCCTGACCGCTTCTTGGTGCGCATCATCGACGGTCTCGACGTTGTTAAAGTTTGGTCTCCAATACTTGACATCACCCTTTTGTCCGCCTGATATAAGCCAGTCGTGGCTATGTGACCAGGCAGCCGATGTCACGCCAGCCTGGAACTGGTCATAGTGTGCCTGTATTTCACCGTTAGCATCAGCCGTTATACGCATAAAACTGGCACTACCATACATCCATGACAGTTTCGAAATTGAAAGCTGTGCCGTTCCATAACATGAATTCACCCGTATGACCACCCGTGAGCAAACGACGACCGTCCGGCGTCCATCTCACGACTGTTATGGGCTTCTTCGATTTTCCAATGGATTGATGTAGATGCCGAACGGGTATCGTATTTGCAGCGGAGTGTATCGTAGCCACTGGAGGAAGCATCTGGCGGAGTAATTCAAGGGTAAGTTATATAGCTCCCTAGCTTCACAGGTTGAAAGGCAGACGAACATCAACGGTATAGCTAGCACTCGGCCGCTCTACTTCCAGTCTGGGAGATCCTTTGTATCGAGGCTGCCGAACCCGCACCCATTGCACCAGCGACGAGCCATAATCCGTGACAGGTCCTATACACCGTTCAATTAGCAAGCCGTGTTCCTGATAAGCTCGGCGGTCCTGGGAGTCAACCTACTCGGTCGTCGTGGGCCCAAAACCGGCCGCGGCGCAAGGGCCGCTTCACCCCCTTCTTCAAAGAAGGCCATGACAAATAGAAAGACGGCGTCACAGCAAAAGAAACGGCGGAGAGCTGGCCGAAAAGCGCTTCTTCTGCTGTTTGTCTGCTCGCTCGATCAAAATATCCAAACATCGTCAACTTTAGCTTCAAAGCATGATTATGTAAGTATTGATTACTAAACTATTATGTAAGATACTTACATAATCTATCATGTGACAATCGCGTCGCGTCAAAAAAAAAAAAAAGTAAGTAAAAAAAGAAACCAAAAAAAACGTCATAAAAACGAAGAAAATACGACGGCGAGGACGAAGACGAAGCGAGCAGAGAGCGGGCGACGGGGATAATACCAGCCATCAATTCACAATGGCAGAGAGCAAGAAGGACGAGAAGGCGGCAGGCGAGCCGGGAGAGAAGAAGAAACGCGCCGAGCTGACGCCGTTTACGCGAGGCCTGATTCTTGGACGGCGCATGGCGGGCGCATCTCTACGACAGATCTCCGCAGCGCTCGACATCCCGGTGTCTACGGTGCAGAATACCATCATGAAGGAGAGCTCGCGGGTCGATGGAGTGTCGAAGCCGCGCTCGGGAAGACCCAAGAAGCTGTCTGACCGTGACGTCCGCATGCTCATCTCGCGCGTCCGCTCCAACCCAAGCATCTCGTACAGCGAGCTGGCCAGTGGAATGCCGGATAACATCTCGAAGTCAACTATATACCGAACGTTGAAGAAGCACGGCATAACAAACCGGCCTGTCAAGAAGAGCGCTAAGAATTAGGCGGTGTTTTCTCTCTGTCACCTACCTCGATGGAACGTCAGTTGATGATGGCATCTCCCGAACTTTCAGGGGCTCATGTATCTGTTTGTTTCCGCCACTCCATTCTGTATCCTGGGGTAAAGACATAAACGTCCTGCCAGGTTGATGGATGAAACTATCAGATGGATGGCTTGGGGTCGTTTTAAGCCTCTATGAACTAGCAGAAAGCATGTCCAGGGTGTTTCTTGATGCCTACGTATATTTTTATATGGCTGCTATCGGAGAAGCTCTATTTAACCAGTCTTATATGAAAGAGCTTTACTTCGCTACTGCACGGGAGAACGATACGGAAAGCACGCCTGGGTTCCACAGTAAATACTGGAAAGCCCTATAGAGCGTATTCTGTCTATGTATATAAGGTCATATGCATAGGATACCACTGCAGGAACAATGGACATGATTGCTGCGGCCTATCGAATCATCGACTTTTTGGGTTAAACCCGTAAACTCCACTCCAAATACCCGGCGTCTACATACTTTTCTGTTGATGTCGTGCGCTCCCTTTCCGCGGCTACCTACGTCAACGACTATGGCATAGAAACATATTGAATCATCGACTTTCCGGGATCCATGGTTCCGGCTCATCCAGCCCCTATATCAAGAGCTCCTTACTAAGAGTCCATTCCAGTCCTCTTTCCTCCCCTTATCAACTTCGAGTACCACAGTTTCCGGCTCTGCTTCTGCTATCCAAAGATATAATACTGCCTTGTCGAACCGAACGCACTTCCTCATATTAAAATGAGCGTTGTTATCCACGAAGACGAAGACTGCCGGCAAGCCGGCGGCTCCCCGTCTGTGGCGCCTAATACCAGTAGTAATACAGACTTTCCATTAACGAAATGGGATCTCCAGGAGTGTCCGACCCCGGACGTCGGTCCAGGGGGGCATTTTGAGGTAAGTGAAGCCCCTTTTTCTCAAGCCTTACTTTGAAAGGCGGACATGCTAACACATCTCACAGTGGCGGTTGAAGCGAGCTGCTGAGAGAGCTGAAGCGTGGCACGTAAGTACCGCATCTCACCCGATAGCAAGTATGCGTTTCATGGACCTAACCTTCGAGACACAGAGGGACGATATGGACACACTCCCCTCCCTAAGTCGCACAGAAATCATCTACATCAGAAACATGCTACTGCGACTTATCAGGAAATTGTACCTAAAGGAGGACGCGGACATATCAGTCTCACAGCTGATGGATTTTGCCGAGTCTACCAGTTTCGACGAGCTCAACGACTACCCCGTGCCATCGCGATACTGGCAGTCCATCCGAGGAATTAGAGACGTAAGTATCTCCCCTTGTGTTTTACTGAACACAGCCGGACTAACGGTTGTGCTGTTCAGTACTACCGCTACGACGGTCAAAACCTACCTGAGCCTTACGATACGGCTTGCCATTTTGCGTGGCATATGGCCCAGGAGGCCAAGGACACGCTTCGTAGAAGATGGGCAGACGCTTTCCAACTTGCATACGGCTTCCCCTTTGACGAGGTGGCTTCTAAAGGTAATCCATCTGGGGGCTTGCCAGGCGCTCCAGGACTATTCGACTGAAAAGCCCATCTTGGTCGTTGACAGATATCTATCTTGGTTACTATGCATTTGGATGGCACATTTGATAACTACCATTTACTCTGCCATTTGATTCATTTGGCATTTACTGTTTGATGTATACCATGTACAAGTACGACATGTCAATAGCTAATTTGATTCTCTTTCTTATACCCCCGATATGCTCTCCTAGTAGGCTACACTTTGCTTGTAGATGTGTCGAAAATATCTCTTACTATCCACCCACGGATAAGCCGCCGACATGCAGGACCAGAGGCTTAGTATTGTGACTATCTAAAAAAAAAAAAAAAAAAAAAAAAAAAAACACTTCTTGAGCCATTTAGCCTGCATGTAGTCATATCTTGTTAGCTGCCTGCATCTGTATCATGTAACTCCCTATGCACCCGTGGAGCCAGGGAGCAGCCCCTGTCCGGCAAAACGGCGCCAGTAAGCTCTCCCCATGCAGCACGTACGAGATGCAGTGGCTTCTGTGGCTGCTTCCCGACGTCTTCTCTCTCTCTGGCCAGCAGCGAAGGATCTAGCCCGCCGGTCTCGCAGCTCTATCGTGGTCGTCTGGTTACAGAGATGAAACCGCGAAGCAAGGAAGCATCCCCGCCAGCAAGTTCTGTCCTGGAGCAACAGGATCCCCTTTGTCGGTGGCCAAGTAGGCCTGACTCGCTGTCTAGTCATATAGCTAGTCATGTATTAGTCCAGTCAGCAGCGTATGTATGTATGATATATAAGCTCGTGAAGCGGCTTGTTCTGCCGTGCGATGTAGAATTCTGTAGAGACCTGACCAAGGGCAGCAACTTGCGGGCGACAAGGTTGAGGGAAGATCCGAATCTTGGAAGAGGACGGCCTGGGTTCTTTTCACTGTCTCGTAACAACTCCTCGCTTTATTCTCTTCTTCTCTCCTCCCCTTTGTATATATAATATCGGCCCATTGTCTGCTATCGGTGATATAAAGCTAGTTAGTGAGACTCCGTGTCTCTGATTCTCGCCGCTTCGCCTTCGCACAGTTTTGGCATTTTGATACATAGACAAACGCCAGCAAACCACCCAGATGAGACGCAGAGCTTAGAACTGCCTGGTTTAAGGCCCTCGAGAGACATCTGCAGGCCCGTCTTTGACGGAATCACCAGCTATATACACACCTCAAACATCCGATCTGAAGAAAAGCAAAGAGAACATGGCGATCGTGACCGAGACGGAGGTCAGCCACAGCACCGCAGCAGCGCTCCGGGAAAAGACCAACATCGGGCTCAACGGACGCGGGAACTCGCTACATGAGAAGGAGAAGCAGAATCAGCATCATCAGCAGCATCAGCATCGTTCGGCCGGCCAGAAGCTACGCAGCAAGTACCGCCATGTCGCGGCGTACCACTCGGAGGTGAAGCCATCATGTCTAAGCCGCGAGACCGAAAAGACCCCCAGCTTCCTGGGCTTCAGGAACCTGATGGTCATCGTGCTGATCGTGATGAACCTACGGCTGGTAGTCGAGAACTTCATGAAGTACGGCGTCCTCATCTGCATCCGCTGCCATGACTATCGCAAGCAGGACCTGGTGCTGGGCGCGGTCCTCTACGCCCTGGTACCCTGCCACCTGTTCGTGGCGTACCTCATCGAGCTGTTGGCCGCCCAGCTGGTGAAGGGGACGATTGGACGTGTGAAGAGAGACGAGGCCTCGTCGTGCACGAGCAAGGAGCTTTCGGCGCTGCAGACGACCTGGGCGTATGTTGCGTTTGCGCATACGGTCAACGCCAGCCTGTGTCTCCTGGTGACTACGTATGTGGTCTACTACTATATACATCACCCGGGCATCGGGACAGTGTGCCAGCTGCATGCTATCATCGTCTGGCTGAAGAACTGCTCGTATGCGTTTACCAATCGGGACCTTCGACATGCGGTGCTCAACCCGTCGCCGGACAACAGGCTGCCGGAGATATACATGTCTTGCCCGTACCCGCACAACGTCACGATATCAAACCTGTCTTACTTCTGGCTGGCGCCGACTCTGGTGTATCAGCCTGTATACCCGCGGACCGAGCGTGTGCGGTGGTCGTTTGTAGCCAAGCGGGTGCTGGAGCTCGTTGGGCTGGGGGTGTTTATCTGGATTATTTCGGCGCAATATGCGGCTCCCGTGCTGCGCAATTCGCTGGACAAAGTCGCCATGTTGGACTGGGTGTCTATCCTGGAGCGGATGATGAAGCTATCGACCATCTCGCTGGTGATCTGGCTAGCGGGATTCTTTGCCTTGTTCCAGTCCTTCCTGAACGCTTTGGCAGAAGTAATGCGGTTTGGAGACCGGGAGTTCTACAGCGAATGGTGGAATAGCCCCAGCGTAGGCTCGTACTGGCGCTCCTGGAACCGACCTGTGTACCATTTCATGAAACGACATATCTTCTCCCCGCTTGTTGGGCGAGGATGGAGTCCGTTTGCCGCCAGTCTTGTCGTCTTCACTTTCTCTGCCGTCTTGCATGAGGTGCTCGTCGGGATTCCAACGCATAACATCATTGGTAAGTTCATGGCTGTCTATGGCTCTATACAAGTCAGCTGGAGTACTAACTTGTACAGGCGTCGCCTTTGCCGGAATGATGCTGCAGCTCCCTCTGATAGCTGCCACGGTGCCCCTAGAGAAAATGAACGGCCAGGCCGGGAAGATAATAGGCAACTGTGTCTTCTGGCTCAGCTTCTGCCTTGTCGGCCAGCCGCTGGGGGCGCTGCTGTATTTCTTTGCCTGGCAGGCCAAGTACGGCAGTGTCAGCAAGCAGGTCTTTTCCCAGGGTCCATGAAAAAGACGTCGCTTTCAACTGTCGCTGTAGGTAGCTGCAATAACATACCCTTCTCTTCTCTAATCTGTCCTCAAGCAATGTAAATGTAAATAAACAGATCGTCTCCCTGGCCTTCCCTGCTTCGTCCGCTGTTTCGTCCGAAGGCTCGGCTGGATGGCTGCGCCGGCTCGGTTGGTCTAATCATCCCGGATTCCGCGTCAGCGCAAAGGGGAAAGGAGTGCGAAGGGAGAGCTCGAAGCTTCCATGTCGTATGCTCTGCAGCCTAGAGGATGAGCTGAGGATCCGGAGCTGTATAAATATCTAAATCTCTTCGTAGTTGAATCTCCATCTTCACGTTGCGTCATAACTAGTTAAATACCGGTTAACTATCGTCAACACACGAATAACACCAACTGTACAACTGCAACCTCACCAACTACACTAACTACCACCATCTTAGTCTATCCCAATCAATTGATTCAAGATGATGATCCCAGTCCCAGACGGTTACGGGTGAGTTGGCTGCCGTGACACCCGCAGGGAGAGCACAGCTAACTTGACATCTGCCCGCCAGCAACATCATCGCCGTCGCCCTCGGCGCCATCCCAGTGCTCGGCTTCGTCCACGGCATCATCACTGGCATCAAGCGCAGAGCTGCCGGCATCCCCTATCCTCACAGCTATGCCACTATCGAACAATGCAAGGCCGACGTGAGTCTTCCCTTAATGCAAGTGTGTACAACTGTGCAGCTTGATTCAACTGCTAACCAATTGGCCTCCCCCACAGCCCAAAGCCGATGCGTTCAACTGCGCCCAGCGAGCCCACACGAACTACCTTGAGAACGCACCACAGACGATGCTGCTCACTCTCGTTGCTGGACTCAAGTATCCTGCCGCCACGACGTTGATCGGAGCTACATGGGTGGTGATGCGCGTGCTGTTCTTGTACGGATATGTCTACTCCGGGCAGGCTGCGGGAGCCGGACGGAAGTACGGTGGCGGCTTCTGGTTCGCTCAGATGGCGCTCTGGGGCATGACGGTGTTTGGCGTCGCATTGCCCATGATGCAAGCTCCTGCTTCCCCATTCTAGCCTACGATTATGTATGATATTCTGCTTTCTTTTCTTTCTAGTTATAAGGTATAAATGAAGCTATTGGTGGGATCTTAAGCATGAACTTTTTCCTTTCTTTCTTTCGTTTTAATTATCTGGATATACGCTTGAGGTATGCACTCCAGCCGGCAGATTGGTACTGCTTTATGGCCTCCACAGGGTCAGGAGCAGCATAGATACCTCTCCCCGAGATGATAAAGTCCGCCCCTCTGCCCACAGCCGACTCGGGAGTCTGATACTGCTGGCCTAACTGGTCACCCTTCGAGGCAAGATTGACACCCGTGGTGAATAGCACAAAGTCTTCATCGGCCTTGCGCTCAGTCTCTGTCTCGATATCGCCCAGGGACCGCGTAGCCACGAACCCCATGACGAACCCAGCATGTCTCCTGGCCATCTCAACCGACAGCTTCGTATACTCGCCCGTTGCCAATGAGCCCTTGGAAGTCATCTCGGCGAGAATCAACAGTCCCCTCTCGCCAGCGGGGTAAGGGAATACGCCCGAGGAAGATATCTGCGCTAGAGCGTCGACAATGCCTGACCCCGCTAGCACGGCACAGTTGACGATATGCGCCCATTCGGAGATGCGTAGGCTGCCACCATGGTACTGCATCTGGACTGTGTGGCCTATATCGACGAACTTTCTGTCCTCGAAGATGAGGAAGTTGTGTTTCTGAGCGGCGGCCTTGAGGCCCTCGACTGTCTGCGGGGAGAAATCAGTGATGATGTCGATGTGTGTCTTGAGTACGACCATGTGCGGTCCGAGGCCTGTCTTGTGTCCTTATTGTCAGCTATTGCTTCTTCTCCTTCTTCTCTTCATAAAGTATCAAGACTCACGCTCGGCCAGGTCTAGCAATGCGCTCGTGGTGGTGACATCTGCGGAGACGACGACGTTGGACTGTTTCTGCTCTGCGATCTCGAACAGCCGCCGCACAAGGGGGTTCGGGTGTGTCTTTGCACGGTCCCCGTACGAGACCTGAGATCTCGACGCCATCGTGCCTTTGTCGTTTGTCCCTCGAGAGCCCGGGCTGGACCTGGAAGTAGATATTTAGATGTCCCGCACAGGGCAAGGCGTCGTCGATATAGCCAGTGCCAAGACTAATGACGATTAAGCTTATTTGTTACTGCTGTCTTATTGGTCAATTCTTTTATCACATAACGTGATCTGTGTAACGTCAGCTATTCATCTGACTAAGACATTTTCCTTGGTTCTCCTATCTCGCACACGAAAAAAAAAGTAGTCTCTTTCTTTGAACTACAAAAAGGTGAAACGTTGAGCTGTCGAGCTGGCATTAACATCGATCAAATGATACGTAATAAGTGGTAGACACCAGGAGAAATATTGCTGCACTCTGATGGCTTATCACTATGAGCAACCCCCTGTCTCTCTGCTGACAAGAATGGCCTTGTGGTCTAGTGGTATGATTCTCGCTTTGGGACACCAAAGATGCGAGAGGCCCCGCGTTCGAGTCGCGGCAGGGCCCCGTTCTTTTTTTTTTCGCTCTAAATATGGTATATATATATCTATCTCACTGTTCTGGTGATATTTCTTTTTACACCCTACATCGTTGTAGAAGCATGTTGATGGTATCTGAAGGAAGAACTATCTCGCTGGTTGCGGTGCAGGGCAACTATTTGGGACACAAGAGCAAAGGGATGCCTCTTCATTTGTAGCGGTAGTTAATAGTTAATAAAGTGTATCAAATAGAATCATGGTCATCATTCCGGTAAAGTAATGATTCAAGGCAATTAAACAACAGGAAGCTGCTGTACAATGCCATTCTTCTTTTCGGCCACGTATAGCTGTTGGTTACCTGGTGCTGTTGCAAAATACAGACAATCCCTCATCCCTCTGCCGGACAGCCTAGTGTTACCTTCAGCTGACGGAACAACGACAGATTCCTCGAGAATCCAATCTGAAATAGGATTACGTTGTGAATCAAGTAGCTGGATCTCAACGTAGATAACTTGCCGTAAAACAATCCCATTAGCTGTCAAGCTTGAGTTTGAGGCCCAAAACCCAGGTACGTTGGAGCGATGCCTAACGCGATTAGGTCTGTGTCGAAGACTGTCAACGCATCGCTGCCTGTATCATTGAGCATGGTGATGTCGAGGAACAGTGGAAGGGACAATGAAAAGGCCGGAATTGCTCTCATTCGGGCAAGCATCTAAACAGCCCGGACAGGATGTATTAATAAAAGGCATTTCGAGTCAAACAAATGTTAACTGGAATTCTCGAAATGTGAACCTGATGTCCTGATCCGCCCGGGAAGAGATCATACGCAACACGGTGGGCAAATTGCTGAACCCCATGCTAAAAGAAAGTCCAGAAATGTTAGCCAGCTGGCCTCTCTAATGCTGGACTGCAGCTGATGCCGAGCTTATAGTCTCAGGGACGGCTTCAGCTGGCGTAGACTATGACGCTGGCTCGGTGGCGGGAATTGCAGTCTGTGCTGAGAGTTGTTGGAGATAGCCCTGGATGGAAAATGGGTAAGCAGAGAACAGGGGATAAACCAGCTTCAGGGAATGATAAAGTGAAAGTACCTCCATCCAGAACGGGCGGGAGAAATCAAGCTTTTGAAGATTTATAACCTTTCCACCCTGGATGCAGACGCGCGGTATAGGCTGCATCTTCCCACCGTAGAGGTTGATTGCTACTTGCACATTTATCTTCTGCTCATCGCTTGTTTCAGGATTGTTAATTATCGCCTTGAGCTCAGCGATACGACCTGGTATGTTCCACTACTTTTGGTTAGGGCAACCCTTGTAGCTATAGGGAATAAACGGAGAGGGACTGGAGAGGTGAGATCACAGTCCTACATACTGGGTAAGCAGCTGGAGGTATTGGAGCAGTGGACATGACGGCTAAGGACAAGTAACTTCTTAGGACCACCTGGAGCGCACAGCGCCACTTGTTAGATAGAACGTAGGGCTATTGAGAAGCATGGAACTTACCTTGCCCAATATCCCGGCGTAGAAGAAGTAGAGGAGAAGATGGGTCTTCAACTGACTTGCCCACTGTGGATAACTAATGGGTAACTAGTTAACTAGTTAGCCAAGTCTAGATTAGAGAAGGCACCAACACGGCCACGTAGGTGGACAGAGAAGACAACGCGCACAGGAAGAAGCAGAGTAGGAGTTATGGCGGCAGAAGGAAACTGATCAAGCAGGCCTGAAAACGCAGTTAGTTGAAGATGTTGAAGATGGATGTTGAAGAAAAGGCGCGGGGGCAGGGGCGGGGGTTTTATAGCTTGGAGAGAGCAGCGGCAAACAGAGCAAACACTTCCCGAATAGGAAATAAAACTAGTCTAAATAGAAACAACAACACAGTGGACGCTTTGTTGAAGAGCGGCACCGTATCCTTCTAGCTCTAGCTATAGCTTGTCCAAGGATGGAGCTTTTAGTGACAGGGAGCTACTGGATAATCCTATACTACCAGTGTCGTTGAGCATGGAAATGTCGAGAAACGTGAAGGGCCTGATAGAATATCCAATTGTCAAAGTCTGCCACTATACACCAAAAGGAGTGAGCCCACACTAATGGTAGGCAGAGCTGAAGTTTGACACTAATTCAAGCGCGATATCTAGCATAAAAATAAAACAAAGTATATTAAAATCGATATTGAAATAATTTAAGTACCATCAGGGAGTTTACAACCCGATGTCCTGCGTTAGACCGTGGAAGAGATTGTACGTTGTCCTGCTAGCCAAGCTGCTGACCCACAGGCACAAGGAGGGCCCAGGTAACCAGTTGACCAAGTTAAGAGTGATCCCCCACTAGTGATCGTTAGGTTGAGCTGATTTCAGCAGCGGGAATAACAGTATGTGCTGATAGCTGCTGGCCGTAACCCTGCATGGGAAACAGTAAGTATGGGGATGATGCAGAGTCTATAGAAAAAGGAGAAAGTACCTCCATCCAGAACGGGCGGGAGAAATCAAGGTCTTGAAGGCAAATAACCTTTCCACCCTGGATGCAGACCCGTGGTATAGGCTGTCCACTCTTATAATAAAGATCGATTGCTGTTTGTATATTTATCTTCTGCTCACTGCTGATTTCAGGATTATTAATCATCGCCTGGAGTTCGGCTACACGATCCCATATATTCCGCTGAGTTTGGTCAGGACACTGCGTATAGATAGTGGGCGAAGTGAGGCACATACTAGAGACGAAACCGTTGGAACAGGGGACATGGTTAAGGACGAGTAACTCCTCTACGTGAACCCCTAAGAACCCTAAGAGACATATTCAACTCATCCTGGGAAACGTGATCCTTACGTTGCCGCGATATGTCGCAGAAGAGGTGGATATTGAGCGGGGAGCAGTTTATTGCTGTCTTTCGATGGCTTACCAACTAGGCAGAGCAGAAGCAGAGCTCATCTGTTGGGCAATCCCCTGGACAGAACGATGGTAAGCAAGGTAGCTGATTATAGGGGTGCAGCGTATTAATAACTCGCCTACCTCTGCCCAAATAGTCTGTCTGGGGTCAACGTGCTTTGGGAGTACCACTTTGCCGTCCTGGATATAGCAACGCGCAATCGAGCCTTGCTTTGCCCAGTGTATGCCTAACTACAGCCACCTGGATCTGGATATTGATTTTCTGGCCCTCCTTTGTCCTAGGACTATCGAGGACAGCCTGTAGTTTAGAAATAGTTAACTAGTTATGGGTTTCGGGCATGCAGTCAGTGGTTAAACCCTGTGGTGATATCTTTGAACGTAGAGCACTCATCAACTCGCATGTCCTTTGCCCCTTCTCCACTGATTCCACTAAAGGGATGGCCATCATCTTGTATAATTGTCCTTAGTCGATGAAATATGTCGTCTAGCTGGCGTTGTATGAACAGCTTGTCTTCGTGTGCAAGACTGGGCCAGGCCTTGGTCAGAGTCATGTCTGGGATGTATGACATGAAAACAACACTGAAGGGAGCAAATGTAATTAGGCTGTGTGGTCTGGGAACTGGGATATCAGGCATCCGTCGCTCGAGATACTGCAGTATGGTGTACTCAGTGTATTCCTTATTGCCCATGATGGCTTTTGCCACAATGTCCTCACTGCACTTCACCACAACGCCTCTTGCGGGGCCTTCCCAGTTCTTTCCGGAGCCTAAAAGCAGCCGTTTCAGGGACGTACCGAGTAGGAACTCTTCGCCCTTCTGTTTTTTCGTCGAGGGACCCGTCCGAGTAGCGCGCAAATATTACCCGAATCTTCTCCGATAACGGAAATACAACTGTAGCAGCTTCCGCAAGATCAAGACGATCTAAATACTCAGACGCACGTGGCTTCGGAGGCTCTGGTTTTTTGACCTTGGGTCCAGTTGCCATTGTTATTCTGCGGTTATAATTTGATGGAATGATGGTAAGCAAGTTGACCTCCGGATCTCGCCTCTATTTGTTGTCGAGCTCGTCGAGCATCTGACGATTGATTCCCGCAGGGTATGATAATAATTCTCGCTCGGCGCATTGGTGGTGACGACGATAGGAATCGGAAAACATAGACATCAGGTCTGCTGCTGGATCCTTTTTGAGGGCTGCCTGGAACTCGAGCATAAAAGCTTTGTTCCATTTTGGGGCATCAGGATGAGAGAGAGAGAACCGTTGGAGCATCACCCGTGTTGTTTTTCAACGCTAGCGAGAACACGTAGGAACCGTTGACCGGCTCTGAGGATTGTTCGATGTTGTAGTTATCGTTGTTTTTATCCAGAATTGTTGCCTCTGCTGTGGTCGCTAGCAAAGTGGGACGAGAAGATATGTGGCAAGGGGATCATTACCTCCACTCAAAAATGAAAAGGCTTAAGCTCTTCGGAGTAGATGGCCCTCCCTTTTGAATATAAAGCAAGGAGCCCGGGGAGTTTCTTATGATAAAGCTTGATAGCAGCCCTGATGCTCTTGGGCATTTTCTGGGCCATTGATTATAGCTACCAGCTGTGCAGTACGACCAGGCGCATCCCACTTGATATGATTGGGACATGCGGGTAATTAGTTGAAAGGGCGCTGCGACATGTTGCAGGACAAAATATGAGGAAGAAAGGGTATAAGTTGAAAAGTAGAATTTGAAGATAAGTTAGTTAAGGTTGGCGTTGCGGCTGAAGTCAAAAAAGTTGGTGTTGACGTAACTAAGTAGCACTGTGACCAACTCAAATAAACGCCCAGTTCTCTCTCTCTATATCGGTCTCAGAGGTATGTAGTTGACTAGTTATTACACCTGATGAACTTAGGGTAACCTGTGGGTAGATTGAGCTCAATTTGGCGTAGTTATAGGTTACTACATAGAGTACCGTCCACCCAGACGAGGGTCGGGGATGAATGGATACAAACTTGAAGCTTTGTAAAAGGTACAGTACTCAGGAACCGGACATTGTAGACTCGGAGATAGCTAAGAGTGTAAATCAACTGGTTAAAGATATCTAGATAGAATCTAGCTGTGTCTCTGACTCTATCCTGCTAATACAGACTAGGATACAATCAACACAACAAGTGCTGAGCTACCAACTCTAACAACCAACAAACCAAGTATGAAAAGTATAGAAACATGAGGAACGTCTGTCATCTATGCATGAAACTCGCGAGTGAAAAAAAATATTTATCCTGTTGGTCAATATTCCAACCGGTTACTGGTCGGTCGGGTTGAGATACGAGGCCAAAATGCAAGAAATCAATCAATGGGATCGTGCGGAAGCGGTAGGCGGTCGAACATAGGAGACTGGCCCCGTTGGTGAGGGACGTTGGAATGAGATACATAGCATCATTTAAATTCGTTGAACCGTATCAGATAGGCCGTATGGTTGTTGACTTAGTGGCCGTTAGAGCCATTGGAGCCGTTGGAGGTTTTGGTAGTCTTACGGACCACGGAATCGATGGCTTCTGCGACGTACTTCAGGTTGCTGGTGTTTACTATAAGAAAATGTTAGTGGTTTGGTCGGCTACATCGTACCGATGGATGGAAGGGAATTGCTTACGGCCGGCGATAGAAATACGGCCGGAGTCCAGGAGATAGATGTGGTATTCACGCAGGAGGCGGACCTGCTCCTTGGTAAGGCCGGTATACGAGAACATGCCGATCTGGTTGATGATGTGCTCCCAGGTTCCGGGGGTCTGTAGTCTCTGCAGCTCATCGTATAGAGCACGACGCATGGACTTAATTCTGCTACTCATGGTGATAAGATCTTCCTTCCACATCTCAACAAGGGCAGGGTCACTCAAGATCTTTGCCGCAAGTCGTGGCCCTACGTTAATTCAGTTAGTGTCACTGAGTGAAGACCTTCAGAAAGAAAGTTACGCATCTAGGAACATACCGTATGATGGTGGCGTCGAGATCTCGCCACGTTGAAGCTCAACGACCTGAGATCTGGCGCAGACAGTCGCCTCTGCGTTGCGGCACACAAGGTGGAAGGCACCAGTTCGCTGACCATAGAGACCCAGGTTCTTGCTGAAACTCTGAGCAACGCAAAGTTCCATCCCACGCTTAGCAAATTCGCGGATTGGCCAGGAATCGTTGTCCAGATCTCCGGAAGCGAACCCTTGATATGCGGAGTCAAAGAAGGGAAATAAACTTCTGCTCTCGCACAGATCTGCAATCCGCAGCCACTGAGCACGGGTAGGATCGATTCCGGTAGGGTTGTGAGCACAGGCGTGAAGAAGGACGACGTCTCCCGCGACAGCATGAGCCTCGAGTTCCTTCATCATTCCCTCAAAGTTAAGTGACCGTGTGGGTTCGTGGTAGTAAGGGTATGTCTTCACCTGGATCGGGCTGCCAGAGGTTCCGCTCGAGACGAGGTTCCAGATCAAATGGTGGTTGGCCCATGTTGGGTCAGAGATCCAGATAGTGCGCTTTGCATTGGGATCAGAAAGCTTTGGAAGATGGTCTGCTAGAAAGCGAGCTCCGATATGGTTTGCTCCCGTTCCCGAGATGGTCTGGAGACTGGCAATGCGTTCCTTGGGAATGCTCGACTCGCCCGTCCCAAAGATTAGATCCCTAGCCATGTTGTAGAAAGGTGCGTAGCCAGGGATAGGAAGGTATTCATGGTCGAAAGTTGGGTCATCGAGGAGTAGTTTTTCAGCCTATGATATGTTAGTGACTTTTATCATTCGACAAACGAGTGATAACCTGCCTTCTTGACCGCCGGTAGCCTCCAACTCTTTGCTTCGTTGTCTCTGTACACACCAGCACCCAAGCTGACCTTGTCTGGGTGAGTATCAGCGGCGAAGTCGCCCATCAGAGCGAAGACTTCATCCGCCGGCGCTGTGTCCAGCTTGCAAAAGAGACTCTCTGGCTGGAGGGGGGCCATCTTTTCGGCTTTTTCTTCTCGTTTCTCCTTTTTCAGGTACACGATACTGTTCTTGATATGGTCGAATAGTAACCCTGTCACTATTTTCCAGACGCTGGGGCGATGACCTATTTATGCTCGAGACTTTACAGGATAGAAGATATGATGATATCTCAGTCCTTCCAGCAACCCGTCAAGAAAAAAGTCCGACTCAGTATTCATATAAGTACCATCCGCCGATAGAGTTTTGACGAAGTTAAAACCGGGCTTTTCACTCCTTTCTTTTCTTCTTCTGCGTCGTTGCTTTTTTGCCCTTTTTCAACGTCAGAAAGTCAAAAAGGACTCCGGGATCAGTCCCGCCCCTGCTGTGGCGGCTGGCGTCTTATATTTAATGCTCCTTTGCCTGTCTCCTGCGCCCTCCACTCACCTCCTCACCACGAGGCGCAACCTTGGAAGGATGACAGCGTCCAACGCTCAGCCCAATAATAAAGTAATCTGATAAAATATGCGCGCGCGGGCGAGCGGATACCGACGGCTGGTGCAATATAAATAGAGACCAAGCCTTAGAGCTGCCGTCTTTTATGAAGTTTGGGAGCAATCCGTTAGCACTCTCTGCCCGTGACTGCATGCGGTATGGGGAGACATCAAATACGAGGAAGGTTCTACTTGTCTCTGGCCTCTGTCTCTGCGGTATTTCTCTCCTCCTATTATTTCGCTCTGTGCTTCGCTGCCTGCGTCCCAAATAATGAATTGTGAATGAATGACTGAGTGATTTGTGGCTGTTCCTTGAGCCCGGAATTTGCTTGCCGGGGATGTTTCTTTGCTCGATGTTCTTTTTTGCTTTTTCTGCTTTGGGAAATAGCCGGTAAGCGGCTTATGTAACAAGAGCCCGCTAAGCCGAGGTCAATTATGTGATTATGTAATAAGTAAGTCAGCAACATCGTTACTGACTTAGCTAAGCAGGCCACCCCTTTCTTCGTCGGACTTCCAACGTCGACTTTCGCCGACTGAACATACCACAAAAGCGGGCTCAAGATGAGACAAATGACGAGCTAGTGCTTGTTGTTGGTGTGATAGATTGGTATCAATATGTGACTAACTATGCATGTGCCGTCCTGGAAGCTGGATTGGCTATTGTTGGATTGCTGCCCAGATGGCCCGTCAACCCATGAAGCGGCTAACCCATGTCTGAGAAGGGAGATAAATAGATGATGGGGATGCAAAGTCTTCCACTTTTCTTCTGGCCTTCCGGATCGTCCCAGTGCACCAGAATACTCGATGGCTTTGCGACCTTATTCATATTTTGTTAAGGAATTACGGGCTAGTTCTAGGGTTCTTTACTCAACAATGTCCCCTGCCATAAAGCTCCCGGGTTATGGCATCCCTTTGAATGGATTTAGGGCATGGAGAGCATCACCAGGGGATGGATTCATAACCAATACGGAATATGATGGATCCAAGGATTTCAGAGGCCGATCGTTCCCCAACGCTCTAGATCAAAGTGACATTGATTATGGCAGTATATCGTGAGAGTTCCTGTTGCCCAGCTCGCTTTGATAATGAATAATAGCTCATTTTTCCTTTTATGTATACGGAATAGCATGTCTATGATTACTTTGAGAGAGCATGCGATGATTCATGCCATGAACGATATCACTGACAAGCCTGGGTGGGAAGACAAGGTAAAGGCTTAGTTCTTACCTCTGATAAATCACTGGAATAACATCGAATTTGTCTGGTAATGCTTAGGTTCTTGACGAAACTATCACCACCAAATGGAAACGATAGCTACTAGAAAATGATACCTTGGATATAACAGAAAAAATGGCTGACTGGATCATCGCTGAACTTCAGTATAAATCTGAAGCGTTCAAAACTGATGGTATTATCTCTGCTCTTACCTCTGGTGTTTTCAAATCCGACTGTCTTATTCCCGCGTCCGTCAAAGAGTCACTGAAAGCTGCAGTTGCTCGTCTTGAGCAAGTACACGAAGCCCAAAAGGACTACCACCCCCACAGCAAAAACCAGGTCCTTGACCTTGTCCATCCTTCTATCTTCCCCTTGGTTTATGGTCGGACGCGCATAGTTAAAGATGGTATTCTAAACATCTAGGATGGCATCACTAAATCTGGAATTGGTGAAATAATCCCTATTCCAAGTAAGTCAGAAACCAAACTTGCAAGCGATGCACTGAGATTTGCGCATTCTTTGCATAGAATGAAGTGCCCTTTCAGCGACAAGTTTCAATGGCTCCCTTGCGGCGTAGCATTTGGATCGACAAACAATCCTAGGAAGGATTCCCATGCACAGAATCCTTCAATCGAATGCACCATCACCAGTTATATCAATAACCTGCATCCCGATAAGCACAACGAACTGTATGGAGTTCTTGAACAGGTCATTGCCCGCACAATCCCTTTGTGAAATGAGACATTATCTGTTGGTCAAACTTGGCATGATTATAAGCGGATTGACTATACCAAATGTATCTATGAACCAGATCCGGATAACATACCAGAGAAGGATCGGCCTCAAAGACTTCCAGATGAAAATAAGGAAGCTTACCAGCAACGTATTGAAGAGTGGGGATGGGAAGTTCGCAAGGTAGCGCAACCCGAGCCGGGGAAATTCGTCCCAGAGGAGAAGGTAAATTCCTACGATGATGACAAAAAGCCTTTAGATGAACGGAAAACTGTCAACCTTCAGAGAGATTACGGAAAGACTGGCCTACAAGTCATTGTGAAACTCACAAATATTCATCTTACTCCCGAAAACAATAAATATGACGGAGGTTCATGGCATGTTGAGGGCCAATTGGTATGTGTTTCGCTATATATAACCTTCACTTGTGTCTTGTGAAAATATAATAACCTCATTTTGCAGAACAAACACATCTGTGCTTCAGCACTATTCTACTATGACAGTTCTAGCATAACTGAAAGCCGCCTTGGGTTTCGCCAGATGGTTAGCTTTTACGATGCTGATGAGGTTTCCTACGAGCAAGATCATCATTCTTGGCTGAAGGAAGTGTTCGGATTCGAGGATCAGGAGTCTACTGTCCAGGAAATTGGCAGCGTATTATGCAAAGCAGGACGCCTTGTCACATTTCCAAACTCGCTGCAGCATCGTGTACATCCTTTCGAACTAGATGATCCTACCCAACCAAGTCACCGAAAGATTCTCGTGTTGTTTCTTGTTGACCCAAACACTCGCATCATCTCTACGGCAAATGTACCAGCACAAAGAGCAGATTAGTGGGATAGGCTGATGCCATTGCATGGCATCGCAGGTAAACTTCCCAGAGAATTATTCAACGAAGTCACATCTTATTTGGACGACTTTCCAATCACTATGGAAGAGGCGAAGGAGCTGCGCCTGGAGCTAATGGAAGAAAGAAAAGCTGTTTATTCTGATCAAGAGGAATCATTTCAGGAACACACATTCTCATTATGTAAGCATTAGCCAACATATACGATATAGTAAATAGCAGAGACAGATATACATTGTGTCCGTTTATTGCGTCCTTTTGACATATTGTGTTCGAGTTCTATCAAAAACTATAGGTGTGATCATTACTACGCCAAGTCTGCTAATAATATCGGAGGTTTATCTCTCAAGTTGGTGAGCTTATCTTGACTCCGTCAAGAATATCCTTTAGTGCTGGGGCATGGCCAACTACCTACTTCTCTGATCAGGCTCTTGCAGCCCGTAACAAAACATCCGCGCCCTGCAAAATGCCCTAGCCCTAAGCCCTAGCCGCTTATAGCCGTTGCCATCTGTTTTCCTGTTACGATCTAGCGCCGGCAAGCCCCGCTCAGAAAGTTATCCGTCTTTAGCCGCCCTCTGGTCACCTGCCATTTTAGTGGGCACCAGTTGGCTTACATCAGCGCCAAGATATATCGTTCGCCTTAGATAAGCAGAAATCTCAGCCTCAATACATAAAGGTTAACCTATGGTCAAGAGTCAAATCAGTTCGCTGTAGACATTCTTTGTAAACGTTCTTGAGGAATTATGTGTACTGCATACTACCCCGAAGTGTTGATGAGGCCTAGACGATGGAGGTATTAATGATCGTTAAGCTTCCACCAATGTATACATGTGTGGATGTCAGTTTCGATTTCGGCTGCTGATGCATACGTACACACAGGGAATTCCCTCTCTCTGGAATCTCCCCAATTGGCTTATGTTTATTTTTTGTACACTGAGCTGAGATTAAACGACGAAGCTATGACGGCATACTAACATTCCGAGTACAGGGGCGACAAGGGTATGGAAATGCATCCAATCACCCATTGACCACCAGCCTCTGTGACAGACATGTTGAGATGCGCCACAGCTTCCTACAAACATCGCCTAAAACGAGGAACTTATTTCCCCTCACCTCCCAAGTCGATGTGTGACGTGGGACTTGCATACGCAGACTCCGGTCCTCTGGTCAGGAGCTCGGTTCTGGGGCAGCAAATGGGTCATCTGTAGGATCCTCTACCCAACGGTATTCCATCCTTTTTGCTATTGCCTGTGCATATTCCCGGCCATAAACCATCCCAATAAAGGCAAGCATGGCATCAGTACCCGCACTGATACCGGAGGATGTCCATATATTTCCATCAATCACCCATCGAGCGCTTCTCTGCCACTGGACCTGAGGGTACGGCCTTGTCGTCTCCTCATACCTCCTCTTGTTGGTCGTTGCTTTCTTTCCATCAAGGAGACCCGCTTCAGCTAGAACTTTTGAGCCCGTACAGATACTAAACAAATATTTAACCTCCGGGTATAGCTTGCGAGCAAGCTTGACGGTTGGCTCGATGTTGACGCAGTGACTGGTACCCAGGCCACCCGGAACGATGAGAACATCAATGTCTGTGGGCGGATCGTCGTAGGTGTGTGTAGGAACCACGCTTTCAGAGAAGCCCCATCCTGGCTTTAGGTTGACAATGGGCAGCGGAGGCGGCCTCGTGCTCACCGGGTTCAACGTTGGCGCAATGACAGAAAGTTTGATGCCGTTGTCGAGAGAAGTAATATTAAGAGCATCAAGAGGGCCGAAGACGTCGAGGGCCTGGAAACCTTCAAACAGAATAATGGCGTAGTGCTTAAGTTCTACTACAATGTTAGCATCCCGTCATGTACACAATAATATCCATTCCTATTGTCATCCTAGTTTGTACTTGTCCGGCCGGCAAAGGATATCTATACCTGTAGAATTGCCCGCCATCGTACTTTGTATTTCCGTCCGGCTCCTAACTCAGCAAAGGTGGACTGCTTCTAGAATGTTACTCGTCTTTCGTACCAAGGGTGTGTGCCAGCGCGAGTTGGACTGACCGTTACAATCTCGGGACAGAGAATAAGATAGACACAGCGAGTCAGTTGCAAGGAATATGCTTAGTTACCTGTTTCCAAGTATGCTTCTCATATATTTGGTGCCTCCCTGCAGCTCGTCTTTATATATGTGATCCTCGGTGTTAATCGTGTCAAGTTGCTAATACATGGAAGGGCGCAATTGCAACTTTGTACTTCCGTAAGCGGGGTGAGTCAAGTCACGGCGGCAGCAAGCTGAAATATCACATTCGATAAATCCATATAATCTCATGTTTGGTATTATTAATATTACTCTCAATTGCATATTCATGCATGCAGATAAGCCAAAAAGGTATCGTGGATTAGTTAGCTACACAAATATGGACAAGATGGTGACACGAGCTTCACGTAAAATCAACAGGAGGCAAGCCCCTTTCCACAACAGCATTGCTGACACAGTTCTGCACTTTGCTAACTGCATTCTTCCAGCCAGAGAGTGATGGACTGGATTTGCTTGAAGGACTCGTGGCTCCCGTGCTATTATGAAAACTACCGTTGGAATGGTTTACGAGCCAGCCTAGCCATCGCGCCAGGTCGGTGGCTTTGGAAATATCCCTTTCTTCCAAGACAACTCGCCTCAAGTACTTGGTGAGTGCCTCTACATCTTCTTCATATGGTTCTTCGTTTTCAAATGATGAGTACCACTCGCTCAAGGCCTCGCGAAGCTCTGATAAAGAAGACAGCCTTTTTGATGTGAACGTGGGTTTCGCAGGTCGCGGATCAAACCGGAGGAGTTTCTGCTCAGGCTCTACATGGACAGAAGAGTTGTTGGTTCTATGCTGTATTGTCCGTGAATTTTTCTCATGCACGGCGGCAAGGTTTAGGCCTCCTTGCTCTTGGATTCGAGCTTGCCTGTGTTCTTCTAGAACTTCTTGACGTATGTCTTCCGGCAAAGCGGCAAGGAATTCAGCTGAGATATCTCTATCGGGATCAGCGGATACCCGTGTAGGAGAGTTATCTGCAGAGTTTATGCATTCATGCGTGGACAAGGAGGGTTGAGGGATTATGAAGTTGGACTGAGTAAGGGTAGGCCCGGTTGCTGATCTTGTTGCAGTTCTTGGTCGCCCTCTTCCACGGCTAGATTTTGGTTTCGTCGGCGTCGTAGGTTTCCTGTGACGCGGGGATTTTGGTAAGGGGGTGGGACTTGGAGAAGCAATTGTGGGTGTATTGGCATTTTGCTTATAGTAGCCTAGCACTTCAGCTCTTACATCTTCAGGTAATGCGTTCAACGTATCCTGATCAAGCTGTGATTCCGGCGGGAGAGCTGTTGACGCAAACGGTGTCTGCGTTGGACGTTTAGCAGAACCTGCAGCTTTTAGCTGTTCACTAATACTCGGTCTCTCCTTTGGAGCCAATTTAGAGCGAACATCACCTGGTAGTTCCGCGATAGTTAAAGGATCCGATTGTGTTGGTAATATAAACTGCGTACCTCTTGTATTCAGGGGTTTCTGAGTTGCATCATGTAGCGAAGATCCAATCGCCAATGATGCGGATATATGTGGGCTTGCATTCTCTCCTTTCTTCGGACTCATGATTTCATCAGGATCTTGAGAAATCATCCTTTTTGGACCAGGGGTAGCCGCCTTAAACTGGAGCTGCTGCTGACTGCTCGTGTGTTCACCACTAGCAGTAGATTTAATGGGCGTGAGCTTCGTCATTTGAACTCCCAACCCTCTCAGGTCCCCGGGTGAGAAGTTAAAACTGCGAAGAATGGAAACTGCCTCCCTGCCGAGTATATCACTTGCATTAGTTGAAGTATGTAGGATAATACTCTTGTTAAAGGTGTCACATTTGCCATGGCCGAGATGTTTGGGCGGATCAACGGGTGAATCAGCAGCCCTTCGCATTATCCTCATCGTCAGCTGTCTACCTTTGACCCCGTTCTCCAAAAGTCGACGATGTAGCTCTTCACTCAGGCTCCGCACAAATTCATCCGCCTGTGCCTGGTTAGTAAACCGGATACCCCAGTTTATCTCAGCTGAAACGGACTTTCGTATTTCTTGCTCTCCAACGACAGTGTTGTCAATTCCACGTGCGTATTCCCATAGTTTTGCTCCAGTTTTTGGGCCAAGATGCCCAGTCAGCTTTTCGCGGCTAAGCTGGCGGATATCTTTAACATATTTGACGCCAAGCTCTTCAAGCTTTGCTCCCAGATTGAATGCCACACCAGGTAGGTCAGTGACAGCGAATTCACCGATGAAATCAAGCATATTTTCGGGTTTTAGCTGAAACTGACCGGCGGGTTTTGCTTTCTTTAATGCTAACCTTGCCTGTAGGATGTTCTGACCAATACCAACAGATACATGGCAACCGGTTTTCTGCTTGATGGCATCTCGCAATTTTTGTGCAATGGTATCGGCTTTTTCCTGCTCTCGATATATTGAGCTCTCTGATATTGCTCTTCCATCAGAACCGCCAGTGTCTATACATGAAGAGGAAACATCAACGAGTGCTTCATCAATGCTGACGCTTTGAACAATGCCATCGATATCAAGGATTGCCTCATAAAACTTCCTGCTAGCATCCTCGTATGCTGGAAAGTCATACGGCAACACTTTGAGTTCTGGACAGCGCTCTAGGGCTCCTTTCATCCACATCCCATTTTTGACACCAAATTTGCGTGCTGGGTAATTGCAACTAGCTATTTCGGAGCCTGGACCAGTTCCATGTGCAACGGCAATGGGGCAATCGGCAAGTTCAGGGTGTTTTTGCAGAGAAACCGCTGCAAAAAAACTATCAAAATCAACATGAAGAATATATCGCCTTGTTCCAGGGGACCGTTTTATAGGAGGAAGTTTTGTTGTACCGCGTTCTTGGGAGAGGCTTTGTAGCTGTGCTTTCAGCTCCGCCTTCCAGGTAGATAGATGGTGAAGACGTGATTCACGATAGTACTGCTGGATGAAATCAGGATTGACTACGCTGGATTGCCGGATATGTGCCTTCGAAAGTAGCAATGCATTGTGCTCCTCTGAAGTTAATGGCTTCCTTCCACCAGCTTTCGGGCTCGTATACACCTGGTCCAAACTAGACCGTTCAGGATGAACTGGTGACAAAAGATCATCCGATCCCGATGCACCAAACTCTTCGGGGGTTGTTGGAGCCATAGCAACGCCATTCACCTGATCCGTTGCTTGAACATCGGTTGCTGGCTCATCTTCCAAAAGCGGGTCTTCCGTAGTGTCAGCTGAGGGGCATTTGACTATTCTCGGGGAGTCATCGGGGGAGACCTCCTTGTTCGACTGCGAAGTATACCAGCATGGATCTGTTTGGGCCTTGTAACTCTGTGATTGGGTAATATTTTCGGTAGATATGCCGTTGGCATCAAGTTTAAGAATCTTTTGTGAGGTACCTTCGTCTAACAGACGATATGTTTCCCAGGGCAACATACGGCCAGCTTTAATACTGTCAACAATCCATGCCGGTTTAACAACACGGTATCGGCGTAACTCCTCTTTCTTCTTGGGAGTTAATGCGCTGGCAATGATGTGAGTCGCCGCTGTTTTCCCATCGAGATACTGAAGGAAACCCCCGCCATGGCTCACAATCATACGGTGAAGGTCATTCAGTGATGGTTGTGTGTATCCATTCACGTGTGCCACAACGCCTTTGAATATGAGGGGGTTGTTTGGAGACGCAGAGCGTATTTCAGCATCTAGATTTTGAAGCTTGATTTTCTTCCGACGAAAGTAATCTCCAAAGCCTCCAAAGCCAGATGCTGCGTACTCCTCGCCATCCTCTCCCACAAATTCATCTAACTCCGTAAGCTATGTAATATTAGAGTACGTTGCAACATTTACACTCACGGTTTTCAATCCTCTTACGCGTGGCGCTGGAGCCTGTCTCAAGTCTAGAGCCCATACTGTGGCATCAAGCAGACAAAAATCATGTTCAAAGCAACCCTACACCGTGTATTAAGCCTCAAATTGCTTCACCAAACCGTCATCACGCCTGATCTCTCCTTGATACAGTTATCGTCGTGCTGCTGCTACTTTTTTGTCCCCTTAATGACTTTTTGGACACGAAAAAAACACGCCAAATCCAAGAGTCACATGATATTATGTAGTCGGGTGATTATTAGTCATGTTTTAATGCTAGCCACCTTTAGTCTAGCGTCATCATGTTGAAAAAAATTATTTACTTTTTTTCCTTTCTTTTCGTTGCTATGTGGAAACGAGTTGGAGCTCCAGAGAAAATTCTCTATTTGATCGAGATTTTCTCCTCGTCGTTAAGAGAACGAGCTAAGCCGTTGTCCATTCATTTTTTTCCAGTTTTGCACTGCACGGAATTCTCTCGCTCACTCAAGATAATCATGTCAGGAACTCAGCCAGTTGCTCTCTATGCGGCCAAGGTGCCTCCAGGCGCCCTTGTGCCTGCTGTCCCTGATGCCGCCGCCATGGTATGTAGATGAATTCCCTGGTAAATATCCTGTTCATGAAGAGGAGATTTAATTGACTGAAATATGATGTAGTTCCGTGTGACCATGGCCGCAATTGATCCCGACGCGGTTCCGGAGTACGAGGATGAGGCCCAGGCCAGCAAGGCCCCCCGAGCTACGCTGAAGATCATCCGTCCTCCTCCTGGCCTTGATTATGACGACGATGATGAAGACGAAGAGGATGACGAAGGTGAGGAGGATGATGAGTCCGACGATGAGACCAATGGCGGCCCGAGTGATCCAGCCAGAAAGAAGAAGGCCATGCTTGAAGCCGCCTTGAAGGATATGGATGACGGTATGGAGGAAGACGATGATGACGACGAGGAGGAGGGGGAGACTGACCTCGCTGCTGCCATTTCTAAACTAGTTAAGGGCAAGGGAAAGGCCATGGACGATGAAGAAGATAGTGACAGCGACGAGGATTTGGAACTTGACGAAGTTGTCGTCTGCACACTTGACCCAGAGCGTGTATGTTCACACTCTAGTCACAAACCGTTTTGCATAAGGAAAATGCTGACAATTATTACAGAACTGCCAGCAGACCTTGGACTTTGTTGTTGGTGAAGGTGAGCGTGTGTTCTTCAAGGTCACCGGCACTCACACTGTCTACGTCACTGGAAACTATGTGACTCCCCTCGAAAACATGTATGACAGTGAAGACGAGGAGGAAGATGAGGATGAGGAGGATGACTACGACCTCTCTCCCGATGAAGATGAGCTAGCTGCCCTCGTGGGTAATGATGATGAGAGTGACGAACTAGATGACATGGCCAATCCCAGAGTTATGGAGATCGACACCGATGAGGAGGAGGAGGTCAAGGCTCAGGCTCATACTAAGCAATCCAAGAAGGAGAAGAAGGGCAAGAAGCGTCCCGCAGATGATTCAGATGAGGAGCCAAACTTGGATGACATGATCTCTAAGACATTGAAGGACGAGCCTGCGACCAATGGTGGGGTCAAGTTGAGCAAGAAACAGTTGAAGAAACTAAAGAAGAACAATGGCGAAGCAGCCGAGACAGAGGCTGCTAAGGCCAACACCAAGTCCGACAAGAAAGTTCAGTTCGCGAAGGACCTAGAACAAGGCCCTACTCCGTCCAAGACAGCCCAAACTGGCACCCTTGGAGTGAAGCAAGTGCAAGGAGTTACTGTTGACGACAAGAAGCTTGGAGCGGGCAAGCAGGTTAAGAAGGGTGATCGAATTGGCATGAGATACATTGGAAAGCTCGAGAATGGCAAGGTCTTCGACTGTAGGTACCCAGCTCTATCCTCTGTTCGTTCTGCAGATGCTAACTCACGATCTAGCTAATAAATCCGGAAAGCCTTTCACCTTCAAGGTTGGAACGGGTGAAGTAATCAAGGGCTGGGACATCGGTATCCCCGGCATGGCTGTCGGCGGTGAGCGAAGACTCACTATCCCAGCTCATCTTGCCTATGGAAAGAAATCTCTTCCTGACATTCCCGCCAACTCCAAACTCATCTTCGACGTTAAGCTCCTGAGCATCAAATAAATACCCATCCACTTTAACTCCAGTTAATGGAGTCTACGAGGCCCGTAGTCTCATACCCATTACGTTTCTCAACTGATGTTAAATAAAAAAAGACACCCAACAAAAAATAATTCAAGGCTTTCTGTTGGTTTATAGTCACATCGTGTTTCTTATTTCCTTTGTTAGCCTTTGCTTCGTTCTAATTTGTTCGAGGTGTTGTCGGACGACCCCCAAAAAGACTGGCGTTTTATATCTGCATGTGTATTATCGATTAAGACTTCTTTCCTATAGAATAACACTCAGATCGTATAATTCACCTTGTTTTGCCCATAAGTTAGTCAAAATGGTTGACACGCTCAAGCCATCCCTGCCTATCCCAGCAAGGTCACGATGTGGCCCGTGTCCCCGTCAAATAAGGTTTTTTTAAGCATAAATCAACATCATCGACTCTTGACTGCCAAAAGTTATCAACTCCGTTACTTCAAGAAGAATAACGGACAACTACAGGATCTTGTTCTAAACTATCATTGAACGATTAGCTCTTTTGCCAGCAATGATGTCACGATATTTAATGGTCCGTGGCCACAGTCGGGGTTTCTCTCAAATCCCGCTTTCATTTCGCCCTTTCCGCCATTTCTGCCCAAGCAGCTTGGGCTTTCTTCATGAACGATACCACAGAGATGCAGCGTCTATGTCCTTCCGATCAAACTTGTATCACAGAGCAATCGGAATGCTCTCGCTCTGCCTCCATGCAAGTTACGAATGGGAAACGCTACTATCGTTTATTCGGCGGTTACTTACGCGACGATATAACATCATTACATAGTAATCTTTGCTACGTTTATTATACCCTACTTTTCACTCTTTACCTCACGTATTTCACCGGAAGAACCAGATGGCTTCTGCTAGCCACCGGGCTTTCTAGTTCCATTCATTGTCTCTGGGTATATTTATATACCTGCCAGCCCCATGACGATATCATGAATAACCCCGAGAGTATCTCTCCAGTCGGAAACCCTTTCAAGGCAGTGGCTCTAGTCGATGTTAACGATCCACTGTCACCACAGTTCTCTTTACAGACCGAAGGAGTCGGCAGTACCAAAGGTACAAAGTCAGTTCGTGGCTTTCTTAAGCAGAAAGGATCGAAACTTCTTTCATTATTCAAGACAAACAAAAGCGGAGGTTAGTTACATCTTGAACATCCGAGACGTATCCCATACTGATTGATCCAATTTTTAGGTAGCATAACCTCCCAGGATATACCAAAAAAGATTTGCCAGCCAAGTAGAGAAGACGAGGGTACGAACGGAAATTCGCCTTCCAGTCCTGAGAGAAATCACCAAGGCAATAATCAGTCCTCAGATTTGAGTACTCTGCAACAGAAGAGGGAGAGGAAGGCCGATCGAAGTCGACACCCTGCTAAAAAGGAGGCCGGTGCTAACGACGCCCTCACGGAGCAGACAACACCTAGGACCGCCAAAAACCTAGTATCCCGTCAGCAGCGTCTTCATTCTGGGATAGGTTTAACGAAGAGAATTTCAGATAAATTTTCAATGTCATTCGGGCCCCCAACTGTAGTTCGCCGTACAAATCTACGCCTGCGGCCAGCTATAGGTAGCTTTTCGATTGGTGCACAGCCGTCCACACCATCCCCACTTCAGAAGCTGGGTGACAACGCTCAGGATGACTCGGACTCCTCTGCTTCCCACCTCAGTGGGAGTGGGACTTCTCACAAAAGCCAATCCACCAATCCTACCTCGGAAGGCAGCCCTGTCTCTCAGCCAAAAAGGATATCAGCAAGTTTGGCTAGCAAAGAAAAGGGTGCTCAAGCGGCAAATAGTGCATCGTCGGAGGCCCCACAATCCTCATTTGGAGACACCCAGCCGCCCCTTATTAAGCCGTCCATTGCTACCGTCGAAGCAGCTGCCGCTGCAAAAATTTTCCTTGAGACATACTTTGACTCTTTATTTTCCAAAGAGCCTCCCAGGCTACGCCGTCAACGTGAACTGGAACAAGTTATATACTCGTTGCCCCTTTCAGAGGAGGAGCGACAGGAAGCCCGGTATGCTTGGTACTGTCAGGAATCCAATCACCTTCGAAGAGATCGAGTTATAAAAACACATTCGAACCGAAGAGATGGTAGAAAGAGCCCCTTGGTGTCAGAATATGAAGTAATCAAGGTATTGGGAAGAGGCAGCTTTGGAGTTGTCCGCTTAGTTAAAGAAAAGAATACTAGCATTGAGCCTGAACGGCCAACCCCGAAGGCACCACGACCATTTCGTCGAAAGGACCCAGGAAGGCCTAAAAAGAATGTTTTCGCGATGAAAGTTATACGGAAGTCAGAAATGCTCCTAAATTGTCAAGAAGGCCACCTGCGAGCAGAAAGGGACTTCTTAGTCGCTTCCAATAAATCCCGCTGGATTGTACCGCTCATTTCGAGCTTCCAGGATAAACACAATCTCTACCTAGTAATGGATTACATGGTTGGTGGTGATTTTCTGTCTTTACTCATGAGAAAGCATATTTTATCTGAGGAAATTTCCAAATGGTACGTTGCTGAAATGATTCTCTGCATTGAGGAAGCCCACCGACTTCGTTGGATCCACCGAGACGTAAAACCAGACAATTTTCTGATCTCAGCGTCTGGCCACCTGAAGATTTCTGACTTTGGGCTCGCGTTTGATGGACATTGGTCTCACAACGAGTCATACTTCAATAATCATCGACAGTCATTGCTCAAGAAATTGGGCATCAAGATTGAAGGAGACAGTGAGGATAAGAAGAATGGGGTCAGAGAAGTCAAAAAGGCATATAAGATTTCAAACTCCCCTGACGGGAAAAACGCCGAATTAGCGGATAGGGGGGATCGAAAGCAACCTTGTCCACGTGAAGATATTCTTCGATGGAGAAACCGCCGAGAGCGAAGGAGGTTGGCGGTCAGTATGGTGGGCACTAGTCAGTATATGGCCCCCGAAGTTGTAAATGGGGAACCGTATGATGGTAGATGCGACTGGTGGAGCGTTGGCATAATTCTGTTTGAGGTATTCCCTACACCCTCAGGCTTTCAGATTAGCCAATTTCACTTTCTGTCATGTTTGATGCTAATCAATGATCTGTAGTGTCTATTTGGTTATACGCCGTTCGCAGCCGATTGCAGAGAAAATACCAAGCATAGGATCACGGTACGGTTCCATCAGCGCAATTTTATAAATATACCTGGTGGGCTGTGGACTAACAGGCAAGATTTAGCACCATGAGGAATATTTGTCATTTCCCGAAGAACGACCCTCCGACCGATTGGTTTCCGATGATGCCATTAATCTAATTGAACAAATACTTCAAGAAAAAGATAGACGGCTGTCTTCTCAGAAGTATTTGTTGAATGATTATAAGTCCTCTGATAGGGTGAACAAGAATTATCAAGGCTATTACGTATACCCAGATGATGCTACTGACATCAAAGACCATGCTTTCTTTAAGAATATCGAATGGGAGGCTATACAGTACTCGCGACCTCCATTCGTACCCAAGGTGCGGAACTGGGAAGATACCAAGTATTTCAATCTTACAGTTGCGGACAGAAATGATGGCACAACGGAAGAGATCCTTCCAGACGATGTCGAAGTTGGCAATGATAATGCAGCACCCAACACAAAGCAAAATCAACAAAGCCCCAATGCCGTAGAGAACACATCTAATGTCAAGAAAGCTGCGAAGAAAAAGGGCAAACGCAAAGCCCGTGATAAGATTCTGCGAGACGAAAATATGGGGAGGATTGCATTGAATATTCGAAAACGGGAGGCGTTTTTGGGATACTCATATCAACGTCCAAGAGATGTCCTTAGCGTTTTTGACCAGTGAAAAGGGGAGCGTTGGCCCTCAACAGATGGTTTTGGCCAATGGTATGTCAACAATGTACTCCATACATTGGTCTTTTGGTATAAACGGAGTGTTGAAACTAGACTGCCTTGTTGGGTAACGTTTGTTGAAGGACTCTCGAGGTATTTGTGCTTGGTTGTGGTTGTGCTAAGCACCCTAGACAGTCACTGTATCATTACTAGAATCAATCCACTCGCTAATAACGAATCGGCCCTATTCATCCTATTTGCTCACTCTATTTGACTTGCTCTTTACTAGCTTAGGTATGAATAGTGCATGGGAGAAGAAACAATCACGAACTCTAGTGGACCAGAGTATTAAATTGAAATCCATCTGAAATACAACGAAGAGAAGTGCATGACCTCCAGGGCATTTTAATCATTAATAACTCTGAGGCGAATTGACCGGAAGACAGTATTAAGATAAGATATATGCCTAAAAGTTGAATGCAAAATCAAACTCCTTAACCCAACATGCGTTGCATTTAACATATCACTTAACCTTCTTTTATTCCGTAAACAAGCAAACCGATGCGCCGTAACCACTTGTCGCGAAAATTCGGGTTTAAAAATTAACATGGTAGGAGCCAGAGGACTGACGCCCCTACACAGGAGATACACCTAGTGCAAAAGCTGGCAAATTGGAAGCGTCCTCTGGCCTCATTGACCCATTTAGAAGTGGACACAATCTGAAGAATCTGGTTAGCAAGTTGTGCTGATCAAGTGGCCGGTTGTGGGCAAGTGAGAGGAAGAATGTCCTGGTGCTTCTTCTGTTGAGTGAAGATGAAAATAGGAAGAAAAGGAATATTGAACGTTGGTGAAAATAAAAAAATGGTATATGTGGTATTTGTGGACAGTGAATCGGGTGTGCGGGTGTGTAAGTGCTGATGGCTGAGTATTTTATGAAGAACGAGCAACACACTTTTTGTTGGTCTTGATATGGCCGACCTGGCCACAATTAGCACATTTCCTCTGCGTGCCTCCAGTCTTGGGGCCGCCTGAACCACTAGCAGCAGGAGAACCAGCAGCTGTATTTGGTGACATTTCCCGATTGCTTTCTGCCATGACGCTTTTTTGTTTTTCTCGAGCGTGGCGTCGCTCTTTGTTGCGTTGAAGACGGCGAAGCTCATCCTCGATGCTGTATGAGAAAAGCTGGTTAGATATACATTGAGATAACAGGTTGAAGACAGAGTGGTGTATACATACTGCTTCATGTTTCGAGCATCGACTTCGGGGTTACCAGTAGGTTGAATATCAACAAGCCTACAGAAGTACCATGGTTAGTGATTATTCCTACAAAAGCAAGAGTAAAGGGAACATACGTCATGTTTGCAAGATCTGCTTCATGGCGCTGTTTCTGATACTGCTTAATCACTCTGGCATCTCGTATAACTTCCTTGACAGTCTCAATTTGGCCTTTGTTGTTGCGTATCTGACGGGAGATTACCATAACCTTACCCGACTGGCTTGAGGTGCTGAATCGACTGAACTGACTGGTCGTCTCATCATCCCGACGGCTAAAGGATGGTGTAGGGCGATCAGATCTCGGCGTTGGCTTTCCGAACAGTTCATCAGCTTCTCCCATGTCCACATCACTCTCTTCATCTGAGTGGTGGACAGTTGAGGATAGGCTAGACTTTTGGCTTTCCCAAATTCGGCGGATAGCTTCTTCGTAGGACTTTTGTTGCCTGGCAACATTATAACTGTGCCCTCCAAGCTCCTTTTGTCGTTGAGCATCGATTTTGTCCTCCACACTCTCGCCAACAGCTCTGAAGCCTCCCTTCATGGATGTTTTGATGAAACTGAAGCCTTCTCCGCGGCCAGTTGGATCTCCCTCTCCATGAAGTTGTAACATAGCTTTTCCTTGAGAGGCTAGAAGGAAGCTCCTGGTGGTTTTCCAAGGAGCGAGCTGCTGTTCCAAACTTTCTCCTTCCTTGCCCTCGTAGTCATCACCGTTATCTGATTCACGATCATATCCAGCATCATGGAGCTGCTGCTGACCAACTTGCATGGCCTCAAGAAGGCAGACGTCTTCAGGCTTTACATATCCGCGCATGACATCCTCACTGGGCACCGTTTCCCCGCTCTTCATTTCCCACTCTTTGTGATCTTTGTTGAACTGGAGGAATTCTTTCATCTTTTGCCTGTTTTGCATGTCTGTTGAATCAGGGAAATGTTCGGTGACCTCGGCCACACTAACCCTATTATTTCCATTCCGTTTAATTCGACGGTAGCAAATCATTTTCAGGCGATTCTTTGCAGCAGTTGTGACTTTTCTGGAATGAGGTCCTGGTACATCGATAGATGGGAACTGTTGACCCGCTACATACAAGTGGTCAATATTTCGTATGAAGTAGCTAGAGCCTTCCACGCCAGTGCTGTTCCGTACAATGAGGAAGTCAGTGCTTTTGACCTCCTGGCGGAAAACTGGAGCACGATAAAGACCCGTAGTAATAGTTGGCGTGGTCTCTCCCGGGTCGACATGACCGAAGCTGGAAAATGGACTTTTGTCCTGAGGAAGCAAAACGGCTGTCTCGCCGATCTCTGTCTTTGGCCGGGACGGGTCCTCCGCGTTTTTCTTGCGGTAGTAATTGATCAAGCGGCTTCCCATACCGAAGTTGGATAACATGGTTGGATACTCTTCTGAATGCTCTATCAACAAAGCATTGGAGTTATCAGCCAAGGACAGAGATTTTGTGGTGTCGAACAAGGTCTTTGCATCCTTTCCTTTTTGATGTTTTCGCTTGAGATATGCTGGGACTTTGAAGGTGAGTGGGAGATTTGGATGGAAGGTTAGTGATGGACGATGGAATGATCGAGCCTCGGGTCTCGCAAGTTTTGTCTTGTAGTATGGCCACTGGAGTCGGATTGCAGGCAAGCTGTGCTCTAAGGCTATGTTGCCAAGAGTGCTTCGCACCTTGTTCTGATGATTTTCCTTCAACATGTCGTATGCAGCATCATTTGAGATATTGTACCGTTGCATGAGGCGCTTGGTCAAACCGCTGGATATTTCATTCGTACTCTGAAGCTTGCTGGGTTTGATTTGGGTGATGGGTTCGTTATTAGAATAATCATCCAACAACAGATGCGGATCATTCATATCTATCCGGATCTTTCTGGAAAGCAGCGCTGTAACTTCGGCTGGGTCATCAAGACTGGGGAGATCAATATGCGAGTATGACAGGTAATCTGCAGGCTCTCTCCCTAGTTTGCGCTTCTTAGTTGGCTGAGCTACTTCGAATAGCCAGTCATCTTCATCATTTTGAGGGGCCTCAGGTGTAGCAACGGTGTCATTCTCTGGGGTAGGACTCTTTACATCCCAGTCGGCGCATATGAACTGCAAGTCTTCCATGGTGATACCTCCAGGAAGTTCCTCATCAGAATCATCACCGCCTTCTACATCACTTGACTCGGCAGACATAGATGGCGGAGTCATAACAGTGATGAACTGATCAGACTCGGCCGGTTTCTTTTGGGTCTGTCCAGTAAACAGAAATGCACGCTCTTGATCGGGAGCGAGTTCGATGTTGATCTTTGTAGGGTTGATCCGCTTAGGAGGTTTAAGAGGCGCTTTGCCGATGAAGCGCGCCTTTTTAGGTGGTATGAGCTCCATGAAACGTGGTAGGGCATCTTTATCAAATTTGGGCCATAGGGAAGCAAGCAGTTCTTCGTTATTTTCCGGTGGCGCAGGAGGGTTATCAGGCCCATATGCGGACATCGCAAACAGGGCTTGCTGCAGCTGATAGTCTCGGAGCGTAGCTGGATCCATGTCAAGAGTAGGCGATGGCGGCGCTTCCTTCTCACTCTCGATATCCTCGGCGAATATATCATCATGCGCTTCAAGGGACCGTTGCGATATGCGACTCTCTCCAAATGCAGCCTCCATAGAATGGTCCGTAATTGGAAGCGAGAGCCCAATACCGGCCTGTTTTTGCGCCGGGGACGAGGGTACATCTCCAAACAGGTCATCTAGCTCGTCTCCTTCGCCTTGTTGGCCTCCTTGAAAGTCTTCATCTCCGCCAAAGAGGTCTCCCAGATCGTCGTCCTGGGGTATAGCAGTAGGCGGCCTCGCGCTCGGAGCAACAACTTCTTCGTCTGGAAGTTCGTCATCATCGAAATCCTCATAGTCTATCGCGTCGTCTGCCTTCTCTCCTATTTCAAGGTCTCGGGTCAAAAAGTCCATGTTGGCATTCGGTTCGTTCATGCGCTGCACCACCTTGTCGAACTCATCGTCATCCTCTGCAGGCTCAAACTCATCTTTGGCAAGGTCCCCCATGATGCCAGCATGCTGACTATCCATGCCTGACGGCTCGGGAGCGGGGGATTCGGAGGGAGAAGCAGACATGGCGAGCTAGGGAAGACCGTTGGTAGCCCAGGCAGCATTCAATTTGTGCTCGTTCGGGGCGATGTAAGCAGTTCGGCTGGTCATGACAGGGGCATGCGCCCCCGTATCAAGCGAGAATATCTTCCAGGTAATAAACAGAGGAACAACCGCACGTCGTTGGCAGGTTTATTCTCCTTCTCCTTCGTTGGTTTGCTTTGCTTTGCTTGTTGCGCGCGAAATATCAAATCGAAAAAGAAGCTTTAGGTTTCCATTTTTGGGGCTATCACGTGATATCAACTTCACGCGCCGCAAAGTGTTGTTGATAAATAGGCAAAGAAATAATTATTGGATGAATGATAGAAGATCTGATACAATAGCAGTGTTACTGAGAATTAGCTGAGGCAGGCTACTGAGGTGGACAGTTGGATGCCTTTGGCGTAGATGTTGTGTTACTGAGCAAAGTCGCGCTTCATTCATCAATAGGCTTGAAGTCTCCGTTGTATATACATAATGCCTTGCTTGCGCCTTCTGAGCAGTAATGCATGACGAGTGACTTTTTTCCGGGTGTAGTAGTGGCGGCCAGCTGTCTCAGATCTGAGGTGCGCGGGAGGAAAAGCACCACGTCCCGAGTAAATTTGGTGAACTCAGCATGGAGGAATTCCAGGGAGTAAGGCTCCATGGTTGACAGGTTGAATACCGCATCAGACCTGTATCCCGGTCCTGGTTCTAGTTAGTTAATCTGTCGGCTTATTGCTTGTGTTGTAGCTGTAGCGTTAACTCACCACCCCACGGCGGGCTACCAAATATGACACTGTATGGGGCAAGATCCTTCAACTGGTTCTGAAGGAGTTCGAAGCAGTCCCCAACAAACCAGGTGATCTTGTCTGCCACTCCGTACAGTTCAGCATTGTGCTTAGCACACTTCAGCGTCTCCCGGTCTTTTTCAATCGCGTAGACACGCTTCCACCGGTTGGATTTTGCAAACGCTATGGTATTTCCGCCCGCTCCGGCGAATGCATCTATCAAGATACACTTCTTCTCCGGGGCTGTCTGCGCCATATGCAGTGCTATCTTGCTTTACATCCAGTCAGAATGACAGATCTTCACTGGGAAAATAGACAAGAGGACTCACTTTGCCACAGGCTCAGGGGTCACCCCAAACCACGCATCATCCGTCAGCCAGACGCCTTCATCGTACTTGGAGAAAATCTTGTATCTCTGGGCCCAGTAGCTAGAGCTGCCTGTCAGCCATCAAGCGTTTCATTTTAGCAGTCCAATCAACGTACTTTTGGATATCCCATGGAACCTCTGCCTTCGTGCGGTAGTGATAGTGTACGGACTCCGCGTCCTCCCTGGCCATGATTAAAAGGCTCCTCCGCGGTGCATCTTCTATCTCGAGGCCCGCAAGTTATTCTTCTCTTCGCCTCTCCTTTCTCCTTATTCTTTTGGTTTTGATGTCGAGAGTGACGTTATATAGTCAGCTAGTTAACTCAACTATTGCAGGCTGTGTTTGTTTTGTTTGCATGTCGATTGGGCCAAGTTGAAGTTGTTGCAGTTAACTTGCCATAGTTGAGAAGCAAAAGCACAACAAGAAGACAATAAGACAATAAGACAAGGAGACAAGAAGAGGAGAAAAGGAGAAGTCCAGGAGACAGAAAGAGAAGAAGATACGAGAAAGATACGACTGTCGACCGCGAGCACCATGTTCGGAGCCCTGAACCGCCTTATCAGCAGCCTCGATGCAGATACGTCCTCCACGCAGTCGCATAGCAGAGACAACGCGTATGGCTTCCAGGTGCTACGGAACAAGAACCCGGATCTACCGTTAGAGCCGTGGTTCGACTTTATTATTGGAATAAATGGGCACATTATAGTACGTGGAGTTGGCTGTCTGGGCGGCAGGAGATCGTTGCTAACAGACACCAGGACGAAGCAGACCCGAATCTATTTACTACAGAAGTACGCAATTGCGCTGGATCAAGCGTATCGTTGGACCTCTGGAGTGCTAAGGTACGCTACACTGTTCGTCTGCCCTTATGCATTGCTATAAGTAGCTGATTCCTCCCAGGGTCAACGGACACATCAAGCTGTTGTGCCGATACCAGCATCAAACCCGTCTCTCGGCGTAACGCTTCAGCTGGCACCGCTCTCCTTGACACAGAATATATGGCATGTCCTATCAATACCGTCGCCCCAGAGCCCTGCTTATCTGGCTGGCCTACTACCACATTCAGATTATATATTAGGGACACCGAGTGGGACGCTTCGCGGGGAGACTGCGCTTGGTGAGCTCGTGGAAGACCATTTGAACAGAAGTCTGACTCTGTGGGTATACAATAACGAATTCGACGTGGTTCGAGAAGTTGAAATCGTTCCTAATCGTAACTGGGGAGGTGAGGGGGCTCTAGGTGCAGTTCTAGGTTACGGTGCACTTCACAGGCTACCTTTGGCCCTGAGTGAAGAAGTGCCAGGACCGGGAGAGGTTGTCTTTGCAACAAAAGAAGATGGGCATGACACAGGAGCCAACATCAGTAACCCTGTTATGCCAGTGTCTGAACCCCAATTCCTAATCCCCGCTAACATAGTCTCGTCTGCGGGTGCGCCCAAAAAGCCAACACCGCCGACTAAACATGCACGGAAGAACCGTCATGTTGAGGCGCCTTCGTTTGATGACTACTTTAAAGAAGGCGAAGAACGGAGTCAGAAAGAGGACTATATACCTGCTTCTAGGACAGCGCCGGTTGCGCCACCTCCAAAGGCCGGGGGTGCTGTTTCATCACCGTCGCCTACCACGACGCCAGCACCTCCTACTGAGGATATAGGCAGGCCTCCGGATGAGTAATTGCCTGATAAACCTGCTTGTTTTTCTTGGTTCTAAAGGTGGCAGACTGGGTCTAAAAAAGACGGCCAATTGAACAGATAATTAGATGCTTTTAACATCCACAGGAATATAAATTTTGGCGCCTCTAAACGTTGTTGGTAAAGTACATGTATACAATGACACTTGGAAAGAGAATATAACGAGAGCAGCTCTGGCATGAGGCTGATTTATAGCGCTTCTCCTGGTTGTTTATTGTGTAGTTGGTCGACTGAAGCCAAGCTCTCATAGTCCTTTACTGATCCATTTCTCCAAATTTTCTCGACCCTGGCCTATCTTGCTCTCCATCCAAACTCGTGCATCGCCACTGACCCTGATAGCCTGTTGTACCGAGTGCTCTGCAACATACTGAAGGTAGAGATGGTTTTCAGCCAATGCAGGAAACTTCTTCTCGTACTCCCACACCAGGTCAGAGACGTTTCTCATAGTGATTGGGAGCAGACTCCAGGCAGCGACTGTCCCCACTGCAATCGGAGAGGCGGTTCGGAGCAGTATGCCTCGATTCCGCGAAACAATCGAACCAGCCATTGCGGATACCAGGACATAAATACCACCCGGTAGCAGCCGTTCACCAGACTCGCGTGGTGGTGCCAGGGAGGCAATTGTGCTTGTGAACTGAGACTCGGCACGGAGGACGCGGGCAACGGTGTCGTTGAAGCTGTTTTCCGCTACCAGCGAGTGGCGGTAAAGAAATAGACGGGCGTGTCGGATTTGCTCGGCCAACTGGTCAGTTGGGGTTGGAGAACGGGTCTTGATGAGAGTAGGGGCTTGCGGCGAGGGAGAATCCGGCTGGCTCATTGGTGGCTGTGTAGCGGGCTTCTCTATCTTGCGGAGGATGCTGCTGTTGGTGCTCTCTTCTTCATCCACATCGTACATCGGTTTCTTCGAGGGAGACTAAAGAAACATCGTCAGCGTCAAGAACCGAATCTACAACAGTTCCTAGCTCCTCCCATCACCTCGTGCGAGCTACCATATCACATACCGAGCTGTGCGGAGGTGCCTCTGCGTATGCGGTTTGAATTGGGCTGATGGCTACACCCATGGCCACGACAGCGCCTGTGGCCGCCAGCCTCTGGAGTTGAAGCGCACAGTTAGCAACTCTCTTCAAACACGCGCAATGCATTGAATAACGCCCGACTTACCCGCTGAAAAATTGAACCAAGCATCATGTCCTGTTGTCCGCGGGCGTTAGTTATGGTGGAGGAGAAGGAAGAAGAAGCGAAGTTCAAGTTGAAGTTGACGTTTGACCATTTTGGGTTTTTCGTTCTCGGCAGAAAAGAAAAACTTCGATCTTTTTCCGACGTCAAGCAAGCAACAACCAGCAACCCGGCGGCAGCGAGCGCTTGAAAATACCAGTCGACCGTGATATAATAGCATAATTGGATGTCTGCAGGCCGGCTGATTGACTGCAGAAAATGCTCCGGGCCCTCCAGCCGCGGTCGTGGACCTGCTCCAGGTGTCTTCTGCGTATAACAGCCGGTATTTCTCGCTGCTACTCGGTGGCTGTACCAGAGCGCACCAAACTCGACCCGGCTATAGCAGGCCTATCTGGAGCTAATAGACACGATGATACCAACCTACGGCTTGTCTTTGACTCGAATTCGTTCTGGCGCGAGTTTTCCCAGCGGCAATTGGCCTCCTCGAGGCGTACAGGCTTACTGCAGAACCAGTATCTCACGAACCCAGAAGGCTTCCGCAAATTCGCCCATATCTCGCTTCATAAATGCCAGAAGATCGTTGGCAAGGTGCTAGCAGCCTCAACTCTGGAGGATTTCAGGAGGATGGCTAAGGATCTCGACCGATTGAGTGACTTGCTCTGTCGAGTGATAGATATGGCCGAGTTTATGAAGACAAACCATCCTGATCCCGCAATACAAGAGGCTGCTACGGAGGCATTTGCGTTTATATTCGAGTACATGAATATTCTCAACACGACTCCCGGTCTCCATGAGCAGTTGAAGCGGGCCATCGAGAACCCCGAGGTTACCTCCCACTGGAGCGAGGAGGAAAATGTTGCAGCCACTGCGTTTCTACGAGACTTTGCAAAGTCCGCCATTCATCTACCTCCTGAGGATAGACACCGGTTTGTGACTCTGTCAAATGAAATCAGCCAGCTTGGCCCTGCCTTTGTCAGAAACATGAATCCAGAGACGTCTCAGCTCAGCTTTAATAAAAACCAGCTTCAGGGAATGGACCCGGATCTTCTTCGGAAGCTGAAACGCTGGTCAAAAGTGACTATTCCAATGTATGGATCTACTCCAAAGGCTGCGTTAAGTACGGTTGAGGATGCGGAGGTCAGGCGACAGATACATCTTGCCTATCGAACTTCTTCCCGAGAGCAGATCGGACGGCTGGAGACGTTACTTCAGCGGAGAGCTGAGCTGGCGAAACTATCTGGATACCAGAGCTATGCACATATGACTTTGAGTGATAAAATGGCCAGAACTCCGGAGGCTGTGGTCAACTTCCTCTCTTCGTTAAATGCAAGCAACCGTGGTCAGCTAGATGATGAATTGTCCAAACTAATTGCGCTCAAGCAAATCGAATCCCCACTGGCATCTAACCTCCAGCCCTGGGATTACTCTTATTATATTGAAAAATATTATGTCAAACACGGCCGGGAGAGGAGGTCGCGGAGTGCTGATTTGCTTCCTTCGTTCTTCTCTCTAGGGACAGTGATGCAGGGACTTTCTCGTCTTTTCACCCGCCTATACGGTGTCAGGTTTGTTCCGAGCGAAACCTTACCAGGGGAGACGTGGAATCCAGACGTCCGTAGGCTGGATGTGTGGGATGAAGATGACAACCACATCGCCGTCGTATACTGCGATCTCTTTTCACGCCCTGGGAAAAGCCCTAACCCGGCTCACTTCACCTTACGAAGCTCGAGGGAGATTTCTCCAACAGAGATAGCAGAATGTGCTTCGCTACCCGACTCACCACACCCCAATGATGGGATGACTACAGGTTTGAAGCCGGGTACGAACCGCCTCTATCAACTACCGACTATTGCTCTCATATGCGACTTTGATACACCAACCTCTAGTACTCCTTCTGCGCAACCATCTCTCCTCTCGGAACATAGCGTCAGAACCCTTTTTCACGAAATGGGGCACGCTATCCATTCCGTGCTTGGCCGCACAGATCTCCAATCGATTTCAGGAACCCGTTGCGTCACCGACTTCGCGGAGCTGCCCTCCGTGCTGATGGAAAGCTTTGCCATGGACCCACAGGTTCTGCGCCTATACGCTCGGCACTGGTCAACCGACGACCCACTGCCCGAAGACATGGTTCAAAATATTCATCTAAACCGTCAAAACCGTGATAGCATACATGGCGGCATGGATAATGAAACGCAGATCATCATGGCGTTGATGGACCAGGCCTACCACACCATCTCTGCCGGATGCCACATTGACAGCACTGCTATCCTTCATGCCGTATCCTCCAACCACAGCAGCATACCCGATCCAGCGGACTCTAAAACTGCATGGCAAGGTTATTTTACTCATTTGTTTGGTTATGGCGCAACTTATTATAGTTACCTATTCGACCGGGCAATAGCCAATAAGATTTGGTCTGATGTGTTTGGGGGTGGCGATCTTTCTGTCGATAGGAACGCTGGCGAGAGGTTCAAAAATGAGGTACTTAGATGGGGTGGAGGCCGTGATGGTTGGAGCTGTGTTGCTGGCGTTCTCGGGACAAGCAATCCTGCCAATTCTAATGGAAGACTATCTGAGGGTGGCGAAGAGGCTATGCGAGAAGTTGGCCGTTGGGGTCTTGGCAAGACAGGAAGTTCAGAGCCATGAATGAGGAATCGTGGTTAGATATCTCTACACCCTGCTTGGAGTTGCATTTATCTTTGGGACAATTATACGCACATATATACCCCCTTTTCCCCGCGAGGAGGAGTTCATGACTAATATATACACAGGCTAGACATTTCACTGCATTTATTGAAGGAGCATTTAGATGGATACACAATAAAAACTGGTTATACGTTAGACAATCGCCTTTCCTTCCCCGGAGCTTCTATTCCTTCCTTCGTGACCTTGTTTTCTATATTGTCACACATAGAACCTTAGGCGTCCATAAAGCGCATTACATGCTAATTCCTAGGTTATATCCTTCACACGCAAGCAGGTGTCCCCTCTATGTCAGTTCGGTACCAATCTGGCTATCCAACGCCCTTTTACTATATGATGATGGGACTCCGCAAATGCTGTCAACTTTCACCACAGGGCCTAGACTCCTGGGAGCCTAGTAAGGCATCATCCCTGGTTTCAAGGGATCCCTCATGTTCATCGTCAGCCTAATTGTCTGAGTAACTGGCGTTTCAGCCCGAACATTGAACACAGCATCACAGATTCAAAATGTTACATGTCCCAACGCATCTGAAGCTGCCCACCCATACATCGTATGACACGCACTACCTTTGTGTTGGAACAGGCAAATAGATTACAGGGGCGGAAGGAGGGATCATAAAATATCCCGCATAAGTTCACCCAGCCTAATGGGGCGAGTTATGCTATTCCCACGAGTTAAAATTTGGAGAATGATCCGATGTCCGGTCACTCCACTATAGCCGTCGGCGGTGTGTACTGGGTACCCGGTACGCGGGTTTTCAAATACAGCCACTATGGGGAGAGACAGAGGTTGAAGTCGCGGGGATCGGTCGAGATTCAAATTGTGGCCGGCTAGGAGCTCATTTCTATGAACATCTTCTCTCAAAGCGGCAACCCTCATTTTTTGGCCCCTTGTCCTTTCTAACCTAAGCTCATGAAGCTCTTGAAGTGCGGTCCGACTCGTCACCGTCCAAGAGTCTATCTATACGGAGTACTCCGTACTCTATGCTATATTACCCCTTTATTGCAATGGCCAACGGTACGTTTCAACATGGCTAGTGCGATAAGTCCTATAACCATCCAGTCCACTAGTCTCGTGAGGAAATGCATCGTCTTCTACCCTGCAGTTTGCTTTCAGAAGGCTTGCATGGAGCACATTAGACAGTCACGACAGATCACATTGATACTTAACAATTGGGATTACCCGAATCCGGGGTCATTAGCGCTGAAATATTCTTTCTTCGTGCAGTAGCTTGCCAACCAAATCATAGTTGGCGGAGGGGCAAAAGTAGGGCTTCAAAAAGTGTCTATATATGGTACGGAGTATGGAATGCTTGACTGGTGATACAGAATAGGGCAAAGAACTTGATAATGCCACTCCTGCGTAGCCTGGTGATGATATGCTAGTCCTCCAATCTCAGTACCCGATAACGGAAACTGGAAATGGTGACTCTAGCATGAAAGGCGGATTTTTGGAAAGCATAGATGTAAAGATGGAGGTCTAATAGAAATTGACACAAGGGTATATATATACATTGGCGAAGGGGGTTATTTCAAGAAGGGTAAGTGACGGAAAGGGCTGCTGAACGCCAACACATTCGGGAGTATTTATATACGGCACAAAAGGAATAGAGAAGAGCAAACAGTAAACACTTTTACCTCAGGATTTTTAACCGCCGCCGGCCGTAACGATCATTAATTAGTTATCCGTATGCGTGTGCCAGTGCGTGTGCATAGTGTTCAGTTGACGAAAGGGGGAGAAAGGGGGAAAAAGAGAGAGAGAGAGAACGAGATATCAAAAAGCCGGCCCTTCCGCAATGCGGTTCCCTGTGCCCTGTGTAAGATACTGAGGTTAATGATATTCTCATGACGACGGCTTTCTGCCAGTCACAACATGAAACCGTTGATAGGAATGCACTTTTCGATCCGAGATGCTTCGCCTCACACCAACCAAGAAGACTTCTATTTCTTCTTGGGTCCATCCGAGACCGCGGGCCCCAAAAGGCGCATATGAAAATGCCGCAATGCCATCAAGCCAATTTCTCTCGCTCCAGGCACCGAGACGCTTTAGATGTGGATCTTTGGGCCAAGGGTTCAGCGGAATCTTTGTAATGGTTTCCTTGACATCTTCGAAGCCGGCCTCCCGCATCCAATCGGCGATTTTATCAACAATAAATACTGGCCTATCCAGATTTTTTGTGGATAGGCGCAAGTATTGGATCCAATTCTGGAATTCATGTGGACATTGGAAGTCATCTTGCGGTGCAGGTAATGTGTCATCGTCACAGAAAAGGGCGACATCCCATTCGTGGCATTCCATGTACCCGCCTGGTTTTAAGTATGTGCGAGCGGTTTTTATGAGAGATTTATAGGAGTTGAGGGCTCCGAGAAGCATTGACGAGCGGATATAATCAAAATGATCCTTTGGCCATAACCAGTCTTCCTCTTGGGCATCGTCAACATAAAATTGAACATTCGGCGGTACCTGTCCCGGCTGGACAGGAGACAAATCGGTTCCGATGATCTGAGCATCGGGGAATATCTCAGCTGCATAAATAGTAATTTAGCATGCGTCGATTCGGATTGTTGATCATACGAATGCAAATGTGGAAGATTTACCCATTTCGATTGGCCAGATACCCGATCCGGTACCAATGTCAAGCAGTCGTTCTGGGTTATCTAAGGGCGCAAAGAATATCCGTCCTCCGTTTACCATCCTTATTATTTCATATTGCATGTCCAATCGGTCCAGTTCTATTTCATCGTTGGGATAGAGGTACGCTATGGAACTGCTATTAGCCTTGACTGCAATACTGGCGGGTTATTGAACTGCTACGGGATAGCCAGAAACAAAAAGAAGTGACATCCATGATGCGACGGGAACTCACTTCCTTCATGGTATCGATGGTATCTCCGACCACTTTCCATGGGGTAATCGGTGATACTCGAGGTAAGTGACATGGAACTGCTGAGTGAAAGCATATCAGCTCTGGATCTTTCAACCGTGACTCCTTCAATGTTAAGGTTGGACATACTCAGGGTTATAGTCCTTCTCATACTCGCCAGACTATTAGGAAGAAAACCAGGTCAGAATCCACAATGAAAATATTCATTATTCCCGACATTTCCTTATACGCTTTCCCGAGTGAAAATACATACATCAGGCGTGATAGCACGAATTTCATGGTCTGTGACAGCGGACGGGTCGGTCATTCCACCAGGACCTGGCTCGGGATTGGTCGTCATGATGACAATATTGTGGTGATTCGAACGAGCTTCTTTGGCGCAACTTGAGCCCCTTGAATTTTCATACCATGTATTCGACACCAGTATCAAGTGATGGAAGAGGCGCACTATGAGATGGCTTTATGAAGGATTCGAGAAGCGACAGAATACCTTCAAATGTTTTTTTTTTTAGGCTGGAAAATCCAGGGAAGTGGATGGGGGTGTGGAGGGAGTTATATTCGTTTCCGAACTACCAAACACTCGAGGGCCTGCAACCACGCAAGATGGACAGAGCCAGAAGCTTAATTTGTAATTAACCTTTGTTTTCGGTCTATCAGGCCTATACAAAGATTTTTTCTTTTCAGACCGAAAATATACGTCCAGGGATGAAGGTTGAACCTGTGCGTTGGGCCCCGAAAAGGCCCTGATACCGGGTTGTACCAGCAGTCGTAATTTAACGTATTTTCATGACCCAAAAAGCGATCGACCGAGCAATGTTTGCCTGTTGTGGCCACCTGGGCAAAAGTTTGTATCAAGGAAAAGCCTTTGCTGATGGAGGAAAGGAAGGTTTGTTAGTGCTGGGGCTAGTATGAGCCCATCACGTCTTGTGCATCGTATGCTATCTTGCCTTGTTAATCTGGCTGTCGTATTTGATTAACAAAGCCACCCACCGAGGCGAGGCCTCGAGAACTCGGTTCTTCGTAAATCCATACAGATAATGTTGACAATGGAGTTTTCTGCAGTCCAACGCCCGCTAATGCAATCTTCCCATGCCGCTCCAAACAGTTGGAAACGGTGATTGAACCCTAGCAAGACCTTTGGGTCAGCCACCCCCCCGGTAATAGGCCATCCATTAAGACGGTTCCCAGGGCTTCGCAGTAGGCTTTTCTCATTTTTTTTTTTTTTCCTCGCTTCTTGTTCAGCTAGTTAAAATTCTCCAGCAAGCTTGCTAATCAGTCTCGTCACCCCACGTTTGATTTAAAAGTTGGGAGGCGACAGCTCTCTTGCTTTGCGGGATGAAATAGCACTCGTTTCTAGTCGACGACGAATAGTGACAAGTGGCGCCCTGCGACGAGCCTCGACGCATATCAAACCCATGGAACTGGAAAGTTTGCAAAACGGATGGCCCATGTCCACGGTGGCTTGGAGCTCATCCAGTGAAAGTGCGCCATCAGTGCCAACACTAAGTTTAGACTGTAGACTGTCGTCGAATGAGACCTGTCTCGAGACGATCGACTGAGCCCTGCCTCTTCGTTATGATAATACGTCAGCTATAGTTAGAGTTGCACGCCAGCGCCCAGAGGTCGTATCGATGGGTGAGTTGTCACATGGCACCGCCTAGAACTTGACCAACGCGGGATAACTGGGTGATTGATAAATTCCACCCTGGGTTAGACAGCTGTCGTCTCTTTTTCGGAGATATAAATATGCCCTGACGACTAGCCTGGTCCCAGGATCATTATACCTAATATGTATAGACGGGCCGGCGGTGAAGATCTACGGTCGGATATACTAATTATCTGCAACCAAATTGCTCTCGGTCGCCTCTAATTATGTTGTGGCATGGCACCCTGAGGAACTCAGTTAACTAGATGTCGAATTCGGTTGATTGGAAAGAGACTCATGGGGTCTGGAGAATCCGGACACTGATCAGAGGTTTTGCACGTACCTCTTGCACCACCAAATTCCTGTCCCATAGTCACGCTTTAGCGTATAAGCCACGCGGGATCTCTGTATGCACATTAAGCAGGAAAAAAGAATATTCTTTAATCAAATAAGAGGAGACGGCAGAGCAGGGGAAATACCCGTCACAAATCCTAGGGAATAATGGAATATGTCGGTGGAAGGGCTAAATTCTGTGGGTTATTCCATTTGCCCACGGCTCGTGTGAGTATTGCATGTCCCTAGCAATGTAGTGTTCCTGAGCCTGAAACAAATGGACCGGGTGGGTGGCCTATGCAGAGTGATGTTAGTGAGATAGTTAGAGCTAGAGATAAGTTACAATAGATACTTACTAAGGAGCACCCCCAGCGAGACAATCACTCTGAAAGTTTTGTGTGTCAAAGATTAGCCTTTCATGTACGGAGCACAGGCACCTGAGACTACCAATTTGTCCGACCTATGTGATCATGAATTTACGTGTCAAAACGATGAAGGTGAAGTCGAAGTCGAAGTCGAAGTTGAAATGTCATCGTCCTGTTTACCCTTTTGGGAACTCACACGGAATTTTTTTCGTCCCGCGGGCGGTATGAAGAGCACGTGACTGAATTAGTCATATGGCTTAGTAATAACAATTTTACTATCAAATTCTGGAGAATAACGACAGAGAACGATGAAGCTGAACGCGAAGACAGAGAGCTTGCAATTAGACAGCAACGCGACATCGAAGCTGCTGGGACTATAGGCATTGGGCCGCTGCTGGATGTCTTTTTGTAGACATGCCTGCCGAACGGCGGCCCGGAAATACGGGAATCCCGCAATCGACCATGTTTGGGTCAGCGACGAGCTTGTTGCCTCGACTTTTGCAAGCTTTGCCCGGCGGCACCAGCGACGTTATGGAAGCAGTGTACCAGGACCTTTCGAAGCTAGGAGGCGTCTTGCTAGACGTCGCAACATGGACTTAGCCAGTGGAATTGGCTCTCCTACTGGGCTAGATGCTGTACTTTTGTTCGGCTTCTCAGGTACTGAAAGACGACCCCGGGGAGAAGCTTCCATTGCCCCCTCACCATTATTCCAAACGCCTGCTTGTGAGTACCAGTTAATTCTTTATTCCAGCATTGATATGTTTACATAGCTCTGTCGGCCCTATCATCTAAGTGCAATTGATAATATAGACAACGATCCACCCACCTCAGAATACTACAATAGTTCGGCCGTCCCAGTGTTTAGTATACCAGAATCAAATCCTCATCTCCCTCTTCCATCACCACCAAACCCAACAAAATTGAGGAAAGGAAAGGCCATTCCTGCTGTCCTAGAATGCCTTTTCCGTGACAATAAACCTTCACTAGACACGGTTCGTCGTGTCATCAGGGATGCCGAAATAAATCTTCGCGCCCAGCCTACGCTCAGCAACATGATATTCAACCATATACTTCAAACCCAGAAATTAACAAGATGGGTGGTCACTGATTTGCACGCTTTCCTCTTGGATTCATCATTAAATGCTCCGGGCTCGAACAATTTTACGACTTTGATGGATTATCTGAGTCTGGAGAAGTTTCCTTTGCCAATCATAATTGAACACCTCGATCAGCTGAGAGCGGGTTTGACTCTTGGAGCAATACCTCTCAATGAAATGGAGAATATTATTGTCAAGCTGCCACATCTTAATTGCACTGAGGGCTCTTTTGCACACTCGCACCCGGACCTTCTGGTTTCTGTCTACACGGAACTTTGGACGGGTTTGCGAGAATGCGCTGTGCTAAGGGCCAGTGACCTTGGCCCTTCCAGTCTTAAATTGTGGCTGGACACATTGCTCAATTTACCGCCTGGAGCTAAATCGATTGCTTTATGCAACCATATTCTTCACACCTTGAGAAAGATGGGGCGCTTAGAGCAGAAGGTTATGTCCAAGGTTATGATGCATACCCTTGAATTTTCTACTGGGAAACCGACTATGCCAAGAAAAGATAGTTGGATAGATAGGAAAAGCCTGCAATATCGCCTCCAGGAGATGTCAAATACGTTACGATACTTCCCCAGCACATTCGCCCTTGCCAGCATATTCGGCACTACGGAAGCTTTGTTATGCTCACCGAATTATGATACCAACCGCCCTCAGATGCTGTTAGTTTGGTCATGGATGCTGCAGCGCCTAGTTGGACTTCGTGGCATGCTTTCTTCGGAGATATGGATGGAGTTTCAAGCTTCATGCCCGGATAAAAACCTGCCGGATAAAGCCCTTACTGCCGAAGAAGTTTGTTTTGTGCGGATGTGGTTACTACGTATTATTGGCCGCCGCACAAAGATTTATTTCGATATTGACAGTCGCCGAATGGATCTGTTCGCTAAATATCTCCTCTACTTGAAACAAGCTTCTGGATTACACGAAAGAGGCGGTATGCTAGCTAAAGTCGAGTCTCTTATTTTGCGTTTCGACAAACTAGGTCTCCCTTACACAGACCACGTTCTTGTGACGGCGGTCAGGTCAAAATATATGGAGCGAATGGGGCTTACCGGTCCTTTAACGCAGTCGATGATATCAGCAATAAACAACCTTGACTGCGGTGTTTTGCACAAACCGGAACTTATGTGGATGTACGAGAAAGGAACGTCGCTCAAGAACCTTGGCAATGCGTTATTTGAACAAGCAGCGCTGGAGACAGATATCACTGACCCACACTTTCTCCATCGTTTACTGCTATATACGGAAAACAACGTCATACACTCTCGAGGGGTACTCCTTGGGCTCATTGAGAACCACAAGCCGCTTAGGTACGCCTTGCAAAAGCTACGATGCTCACCATCTGGTAAAGGAGTGGCAGTAAACCCTACCAAGTATTTACCTGAGGGAATACCTATCCTTGACCCACAAGCATGTCTTAACACGATAACTTTCCTTGCGTTGGTTTTTGCTACTGTGCCTGTTTCTGACCGGGTTGCATGGAGGTTAACATATCGGTGCTGTAAGCTTCTTCGAACGCAGAATGCACCGATATTGCCTGCCATGTGCCGGGCATTGTATCATGCTGGCATACAACGATACATTGATTCTGGGAGCAGGGTGCCTCATGAGCGACGCAAATATATAATGGACATATTAAGAGAAGTGGAAGGGCCTCAAGTCGGTGGATTGAAAGCCTATTGAATGGCGGTTTGATATTTTGTACGATCTGATCAGGTGTGTATATATGTGATTATAGCTATAGAATTATATACCCATGACTTGGTTCAATTGGCCTGATTCCCTCATTTCAATACGCAGGCCTATGTTTGATTTACGAGAAGGCAGGTCATGAAATGGGATATCGAATTGGTGAAGTCAAAGGAACAGAAACTCTAGTCTATTTAGACGTCAACATCCATCCGTTCTGCTACAGCTTCCTCTCCACCGAGTTCTTCGACGGTGACATATCGAGCTAGGTCAGCCTTTGTAATGACCTGCTCATCTAACCATGCCGTTGTTCCCCTCTGGAACTTATAGCTTCTCTCCTTCTCTCCTCGCTCATTAGGCGTAAGGTAGTTCCTCATCACTTTGGTTGGCTTGTCTTTCTCCATCACACAGACATCAACGTTGCTTCCGGAACCCAGATCGTTCCAAATACCAGCCTGAATGGCCTCAGATGCAAGTTTGATGGCTTCATCCTTTGTCAACGATGGTTTCCACATCGACTCAAAGACAGACATGGCGGCGAGAGAACCGGAGCCCATGGTCACATATGGGAGCTTATCGGTCGAGCCATGGGCATGTACAGTGAAGAGGTGTGTTCCAGTCGGGTCGACACCGGCTACCACTAGGTAGGCGCCTATGTGGCCTTGGTAGCGGAAAAGATGCTGTTTAAGCATGGTCATGCATGTTGCTACACGGGGAGCTCTGCCGGTTGAAAGAGAATGGAGTTCAATGTTGGAGCTGATCAGGTTGGTGGTGAATTCGGTGTCTGCTGCAGTACCGGCTCCGGCACACCATATCGACGGCGCTATGTAATGGATTTTCTCGCAGTTCTACATGTGCACAAGCGTTAGATAGCACTCAGATGGCGAGATAGGACACTATCAAATACCTTGTCTGCAACAATAGGTCCACTGGTAGCTCTGGTATCAGCAGCAATCTGTGATAAGCATTAATTTATATACCGAGCGAGGAAGCCAGACAATCGCCTTAGATAACGCACCACTACTCCTCCGTCAAATATACATCCCACGATAGTTGTACCAGTGCTCGTCGCCTTGGGTAGTGGTACTCCCTTTGCGTGGAGTGCGCGGTTGCGGTTGTAGTTGGAGAAGTCAAAGCCCGGCATGACTCCAGCGTTCCTCTAGACGTTTGCGAGCGTTTCCGGTAGCAGTTGCGGCGGGGTCTCAACCTGAATCAGCGTCGTCTCCTTTTCGTTTTTGACTTGTTCCTCTCTCTCTCTCTCTTTTTTTTTTTTTTCGTTACGTCGGTTGGATGAAGATGCTTGATGTTCGCTCTTCGTTGTTGTTGTAAGCTCGAAAGCTGCCTAGAAAGCTTCTGACCAATCAGAGCTCACCGCCTCCTCCAGCACCCAAAAGGGAAGTATCAAAAAACAATTTCAGCGTCAACTTCAACTTCATCAACTACAACGGCGTTTGACGCTTTTCTATTGTCCCTTGTTCACGGAAGACAGAGCCAGCTGGAGACGGCTGCTCACCTGTGACGGCTGTGTTCTGCTTCTTATAGGGAGCAACGGTCAAGATTTTCGGGCCTACTCTCAAGCTTTTCAACCGGGGACCTCGTGTCATCCTGCGCCGCTCCTTAGCTGCCTCAAGCCCACCTCCACTAAAGCTCAATGTCCCCAAGTCGCGTCTATCTCTAGGTAGCGGACCGAGGTCTCTTTCGGCAGATTTTGAATCGTCCTTCAGAATGGCCTTTTCGTTTGGTTCAGGCTCGTCCCAAGCTGCTGGTGGAAAAGTGACCACGGGAGCAGAGCTTCAGGAAATCGAAACTCAGGTATGCATACTTATTACATAGCCATAGGTATATGTCAAAGTACATGGCGGCTAACGCGAAGATGTGTGTAGCAAATCGGGTTTCTGTCTATTGGACACAATGCAAAACTTAAACTGCTTCCTACTCCCTGGCCAGAAGACTCATTACCCGCGCCTACCTCTTCGCTATTGAGCGTCACGTCGATAAAAGGGCTGCTTGCGGCTGCGGGTCCGGAAGGAATAGCGATTGCGCGCACTGATTCTGTTAGGAAGGCGTATGCGAGCGAGCCTGTGGATGGTAGTGATGTCAGAACTTTCCAACCAGAGCTTCAAATACCACTTCCTAAGAGGGCGTCTCATCTCGCATTTTCTGCAGATGGTAGCGCCTTGGTGGTGGCAGTTGAGGGCGGCGATGCATTGGCCATATATGATGTCTCGGGACTACTACAGGGGAGGACACAGCCAACAGCTACCCTCAATATAAACGGTGCGACACTGCGAGCTCTGGCCGCCAACCCAAACCCGGATACATCTGAGTTATTTGCGGCTGTTACAATGAACGGCGAACTGTTAATCGCCAATTTGAAAACGAATCAACTCGTTTCAAGCTCGGCAGGACCTGTGTTGAAATCCGGTGTCAGCTCTGTCTGCTGGAGTAATAAAGGCACTCAGCTGGTAGCTGGTTTGGGAGATGGAAATGCATATCAGGTAAAACCAGATGGGGAAAAACAGGCGGATATACCCAGAGCTCCGGAGATTGGGAGTGATCATCATGGTAAGTTGTTGCACTGTAGGACTGATTGGATAGAGAGTTGCAAACTAACCTAGCTTTAGTATCTACTATCTTGTGGCTGGCAAACCACGTATTTTTTGTTGTTTATACTCCAACCAATATGCCTGATGGCCCGCCGTCGGCATCTAATTATTATATAGCCACAAGAAAGCCTCCGGACCAGTATGAGTTCAGAAAGTTACCCGAAGTTAGTCCCCCATTCGGATTGGCAAGGCACCCTGCATACCAGTTCACGGCCCGTATGAGAGATTTTGAGCCACACCTGAAGGAAGCATTGATCATTGCATCTACTGCTTCAACTGATATTGGATTGATCACACAATCCACTGCAGACGGCGTACCGACATTCGCAACTCTTACAATGGCTGATGATTCCCGGAGAGCAGTGCTTCCCATGACGGAAGATATGAACGATACATCCCCCATTGGAATGTGCCTGGACCTTTCGAGCAGAGATAGTGTTATTTCTCCCGTCCCTGGAGATGAGGAAATTAAAGAATCTTCATCCCCGCTTCCTGCACTTTTGGTGCTTACAAATGATGGAATGCTGTCGTCCTGGTGGTTTGTGCATACCGAGTCAATTAAACAGCAAAAACCATACAGCGGCCTAGTCGCAGTGAACTCCAAAGGACAGCAAAGCCGACCCCAGGTTACCTCTGCCCAGCCAGCGGTGACGACGACTACCCCAGCTAAATCTCCATTTGGACAAGCCGGCTTTGGCCAGCCCACGGTCGGTAAGCCAGCCACACCAAGCTTCGGCATGAGCTCAACTTTAGGCATGCAAAGCAAGCCGGCGTTTGGTTCGCCTTCTCCTCTAGGATCATTTTCTCAAACTCCAGGTGGTTCTAGTACCACGCTTGGATTTGGCTCAACTACACCACAAACTAGTGGAGGGATCTCATTTGGTAGCCCAGGCAATCTCGGAAGTAATAGCCCTGCTTTCGGCCAAACAGGGGCATTGGGGGCTGGGAGGTCACTATTTGGACAACCTTCTATAGGAAGTGGCGGATTAACAACTGGATCTGGTTTTGCTAACATTGCTGGGGGAGGATTCGGATCATTTGCCTCTTCTGGTGGTGGCTTTGCCAGTGCCGCCCAAACAGCTGCCCCTGGTGCCAGTCCGTTCGGGAAGCCAACCCTAACAGAGAGTCCTTTTGGAAAACCCTCTTCCAAAGAAAGTCCATTTGGACGGCCGGCCTCTACAGAGAGTCCTTTTGCAAAAGCTTCTTCCAATGACAACCTATTTGCAAAGGCTGGCCAGCCGTTGTTTGGAGAGCCCAGCGCGCCAACTACGACAACTCCTCCTTTCGGACAGCAAGTTAAAAATGAAAAACCACCCACTGGTTTCGGTCTTGGGACTGGTGGTTTCACAGTGGGATCTACAATGAAACCGGATACCTCAGCTGCAATGGATGAGGACAAACCAGAACCATCTAGCGGGTCTTTGTCCATGGGCGCTGCTTTCGGTGATATGCTTGGTGGCATGAAGTCCAACATTCCCAAACTGGCTACTCCAAAGGCAGCGGAGTCTTCTATTAGCTCGACCCCTACAAGCGCGCCACCAGCCTCTATATTCTCGTCCCACAAACAAACCCAATCTCAAGATCAGAAGGCACCATTGTTTTCGAATCTATTCAACGCACCACCACAGCAGGAAAAGCCTCCACCCACCGCCAAAACCACTACTCCTACCGGCTCCTTCAGCATGATCCCTGTGGCGAAAAAAGCACCGTCTACTCCAGGTGAACCCATTCACTCCCCAGCAACTATTAGAGCGGAGACACCGAAGGAGACCCCCAGGGCCACTCCTCCGACGCCGTTAGCAAAAGCAGTTGAAGCACCTCTCCCACCAGAATCCACAAGCAAGCTTAGCTATGCCCCTGGGGACACATCTGCATCTTCATCCGGAGTTTCGCGTACATCAATTGAAGATGCCCCCCTTCCCCCTGACTTTGTAAAGCCCAAAAAAGAAGAGGCCCCCAAAGAAGCTACGGACGTATCACTTCCCGCAGAATCTGAGGAAGGTGATGCCGATTTCGAAGATAGCGGGGAGGATGTCGGACACGATCTAAGCCCTACGGATGAGGCGGCAGATCGCCGCGTACAAAGTCTAAAGACTTCACCTGAGAGCTCATTTGGTGGAGCTCCCGACAAGAGCCCTATGAGTGACTTGTTTACCAAGGGTAGCACTTCAGAATTGAAGACTGGAGGAGGAAAACCGTTATTCGGGGAGATATCAAAACCCATATTCCCACCCCCTACCTTCCCAGAGCCCCGACACCGCCTGAGCCCACGGTCACCAAGTCCCGTTCGTAGTAGATCCGGACATATGCTAGCCAGGGCAGACGGCTTCAGATCAACCAGCGCCCCTAGCGCCCCTGATCGAGCGATCACTCGGCGAAAAGCTACACTTGAAGGGTCCATGCTGGCGAGGCAAGTGTCGCCATCCAGAGACCTAGGCGAGGATCAAGCTAAGGCTAAACGTGAAGCCGAAAAGTTAGCTGCTGAAACACAACCGCTGTGTGAAGATGATGAAGACGAGCAGCTGCGCGCTGACCTGGCTCGACCTATTTCTCCATCACCTTCTCTAGATCCCTTCTTGCCCCATCAGGGTTATACCGGTGAGAGCATGAAACCAGGGATACCGGGGCAAATAGAGCTGCTATTCCGGGACATTAATACAATGATAGATACCTTGGGAATCAACTCCAGGTCTCTATCTTCATTCCTGCTTTACGAAGAGTCTGCCAAAGAAAATGACTACAAGAGATGGCTCAGAACCCTACGGAGTGATAAATGCTCTGATTTACTCAACGAAAGACAGCTGTTGTCAGAAGTGGATAAGCTGCGCGTCGGTGTTGATGCCCTTGACGAAGCACTCCAGAAAGGGAGGATTGAAGGAGTGCAGGAAATGTTTGATCAATGCCAGCAACTAATCAGCAAGGATCTAGTGACACTGCGTGGCCAGTTTGCCAATATTCAAAGGACCCTTGATGCCCATACTGATTCGATTGCCATTGCCTCTGCGCCACTAACTCCGGAGCAAGCTGCACTTCAACAGGATCTTCGAAAAGCGGCAACAGACACACGGTCCAAGGTTGCTGACTTGGAGCGAGACATTACGATATTCCGAGCCAAAATTGCCGATGCGTCCAGGTTAGCTGGTGTGGATGGAGACCGAAAAATGGCGCGGCCGACCGTTGATGCGGTGACATCCACGATATCCACGATGACGAACATGGCGGAACGAAAGAGTGGTGACGTTGATGTCCTAGAAGCTCAGCTTCGACGAATGGGGATTGACGTCTCCGCCTCTCCAGCGCCTGGGAGAAGCAGGGAAGCTTCTCCTTTCCTCACGCCTGCAAAGAAAGCTGCAGCTGGCCGATTCCCTATTACCCCTGGTTCTCAGAGTTCTCAGGATGGCTATAGCCGCAGTGTGTATCAGACCCCAGAATCTGCTGCAGCACAGCGCTTCCGCTCAAGCTTGTTGGGTCGTAGTAGCAGTGTCCAAGGCACTAATACCCCAGACGTGGTCGTTTCTGAAGACTTAGAAAGCTGGCGGACTAAGACGGCTAGGCGGAAGGAAGTTGTTGGACACTTGCGATCTTCGTTAAGTAAGCGCAAGGTGAAGATACGCACTCTTGATAGCTGATGCGTCCGGACAGTGATTGGGAAAAATTTCTTGGTTGATACCCGCCCAAGTGTACGGAGTATATTCATTTAAACCACACATTGTACGAAACTAGGTCATATTGATGATTGATTGATTGTATTTTGGTCTCTTTCCTATTTACCTTTGACGTAAAATGACTCACGGAGCTCTCCTTGGTCACAGTGGCCATACAATGGTCTACCAACCAGTATATTATTCTGGGACGTGTTTCAGCCCATGGCTCTCTTTCCGAAGCGCCCATCCACACACAACCTGTACCCCCTTGGCAATGCATGCACCACAAGTTCATCCACGGCCTAGCGATATAATTAACGCTTACAGATCGAATCGCAACAAAAGGATAAACAAAGAAAGCCAATTGGCAACCTCAATCTGGAACGATGCACAACCGGCGTATCCCTAAGATGGAGGGGAGCGGGATTGGGGCGTTAAAATTGAAGTACCCCTGCCTAGTGGCTTGGAGCTCCCCCGTATTACTTGACCAGTCGCTCCGTCAGATTGAGTTGCCCAGATGTTGAATGCTGATAAAGAACAGACGGGCGCCTAAGGAAGATTTCTCCCAGATTTCTTCGCCCCTTTCCCACTCTTCGGAGACTGAGAAACCAAAGCTAGAAATATTAGTACCTAGCCCTCCTGGAGCACTTGGGCCTGAGTTGGGAAGGAAAATCACAAAAGAATAAGGACAGGATATCGACAACTGTTGAAGAAGATCGTTAACATCTGCCTGGCTGGACTTCTTCATGCACGCTATACGAATATAGCAACATCCCCATCACTAACGGGCGTAACAGACCCAAGAGAGACGGACTTATCAAGCCTCGCGGAGTATCAGCCCACCAACGTTCGCCAGAAGCAGTATCAAACCCTTTTAGACCCCAAAAGCAAGGCGCCTATCGGGTGTTTTTGCATGGCCAGATTGATACGCTTTCGATGGATCCACTAGGGTACAGTTCAAGTCATCTTCATCCGAATTCTTCATCTGCTCCGGCAGCCTCTCACTCCCCATCTCCCACACCTTCGATACACCTCTCTCCAGCCGGATTGCATCGGGTTCCCACTATTGGTGGTAGTTCTAATATCACCGAAGATGCCAGTAATGGCTCTCAGCAGTATCAGCAGTATTTAAGCGGTGCCTCGACTTGGGGAGGGCAGGATGTTGGAAAGACAGGCGGCGATGATGGCAGCTACCAAGGGAGCGCGACGACTACAGTACCAAAGAAACAGCCTCAGCAACAGACTGCGACGACGAAAATCCGTCGCCGGAATCGAATGATAACATCCTGTCTGGAATGCCGAAGACGAAAGCTCAAATGCGATAGACTTCACCCATGCACCAACTGCTCAAAGTTCAAGCGTCACTGTCTCTTCCTATCCCCTACTACCGATGCTCTATCACGCATGAAGCTGATGGAGTTAAAGGAAAAGATGGGATCTCTAGAACTTGTCCTTGAGCAAGATGTTGCTGCTAGACAAACAGGCCAGGCAGGCCATGATGATTCGTCTAGTAGAATCAATGTTGCTAACACTTCGGCCCCTGTATCTGGCTTTGTGCCTGGAGTGATAGAACATACCAGGAATGATCGAAAGCCTGAAGGGTCATTCGACTTGGACACCTTGGAGATCCTTGACAACTTAGAGCACGATAAGGGAGATCCTGTCCCAGATGATGAAAAGTATCTACGACCTACACCTTTAGCCGTTATGGATGCAGCATATGATGATGATGCCGATGATGATACATTTGACATAGGCTTTAAACTAGGAAAAATGAGAATGACAGATCGACTAGGGGGTTTCTTTAGGCCCAGGATTGCTGATGAAATCTCCGTTGTACTCAAGGAACCAAAAGTTAGCAACAGGGTCACAGATACGTCCTTAAATACCCCAGTTAGAGTCCCAGAAATGAAACCACCACGGCTCAGAGATCTAATGCCAGAAGGCCAGGAATCTTGTTTCCACCCTGGACCTACATATATAGCCCCTCACTCCGACTTCTTTTTCGGTGGTGGCCGAAGGACGTCGCTTGCAGATTTCTTACCAACCAGAAACGCATCGGATAGGCTGTTAGAGCAGTATTGGGTGTCTGTCGATCCAGTCGCTAAAATACTTCACCGGCCAACTTTTGAGAGGCAATATTGGGAGTTCTGGTCTGATGTTTCCAAAAGTCTGGAGCCTCCCTATTCCCTACAAGCCGTGGTATTTGCAGTGCTCTTTACTGCTGTTGCTAGCATGCAAGAACACCTAGTACTAAGTACATTCGGAGTGGCCCAAAAGAAGCTCATCGAAAATTTCCAGCTAGGAACAGAGATGGCTCTCGGAAAGGCTCATTTTCTCAAGACCACCAAAACACAGACTCTTCAAGCTCTTGTCATGTACATGGTATGTTAATTACTCATCTGGCTCCTGATATAAGATACGCATTTAACCATCGAGCTAGATTCCAATGTGCAGGAATGAAGTATCGCGAACTCATTCTGCTCTTGTTGGAACTGCCATTCGGCTGGCTGAATGTATGGGTATCCACCGTGATCCCGAAGAATATGGCCATGGCCCAGTTGAAACTCATATACGGCGAATGATTTGGTATCAACTATGCTTCCTAGACCTTCGGACAAGCGAGTCACAAGGGCCCCGTCAAACAATAAGACGAGAAGATTACTCTACTAAATTCCCACTGAATGTGGATGATGCGGATTTTTTGCAGCACCGTGGTAGTCGCCTAACGGATATGCCCAAATTTACAGATATGACTTTCACTCGCATTCGCATTGAATGCCACGAATTACATCGACTAGTATATGTTGATAGAATGAAACTGGAGACCAACAGCATCTCGCTAACAAGGGTCTTGGGGAAGATTGAAGCATTCAGACGGGCTACATATGCCAAATATGGACCGTTGATTTATGTTTCGAATCCCAAGCCTATTCAGCGAGCAGCACAGTTGGTGTTGTCTATACTCATCTGTCGCAGTTACACAGCTGTTCTACACCGGTACCATAACAGTGTTTCGGTGAGAATTCCAGACCGGTTGCGACAGATAATTATCACGGCTTGTACACAAATTCTCGAAGATGCCATCGAACTCGAAACCGCTCCGGATTTACAGCCTTGGGCCTGGTACAGCGGTGCTTTCAATCAATACCACGTTGCTTTTCTGATCCTGATGGAAGTATGGGCGTATCCCATGCGAAAAGAAGCGGATCGGATTTGGAGGTGTTTGGATTATGTGTTTGAAACCCCCTCAACTCCTGCTATCCCAGACACTGCAGGCAAAAACGCCCGTCATCAGCTCATAATGCAGCGTGATAGAAAGGCTCGATTGATTTTAGAACAGCTCAGAGACAGGATGGAAGCATATCGCGAGATGAGAAAGCTGAGAGTGCCCATAAGCATGGCTGACACTAAGGTCCTACGAATGACGCCGGAAGTGGGAACATCTCGGGAACCAAGCCCGCCACAGACAACAGACCAAACCTCTGCCAGTAGTTCCTTGCAATGGGGGCCTCAGTATACGTCCCAACCTCCTGAAAGCCAAACAGCACCTGCACCTTCTAGTCAACCTGTAAACCCCTCTCGGGTATCACCCCCTCGAATGTTTAGCCATGAGCAGTATCAACTTCAATCGCAGCAAGGCCGCCGGTTGTCACCAGCCTCTCTGATGCAACAATATCAACATGGCCAACCAAGCTATCAAAGGTTACAGCCACAGCCGCAGCACTCTTCGGTCCTTTCCCCTACCTCATCCTCATACTCGCCTAGCCCGAGCTATAATCCAACCTTCCAGCATCAAGGCTACACACCGGATTACTCAACCCGCATGCCCGGTAGGGATAGTCTGGACTCAGGTACTGGATCTGAGGACTCTGGGATGGGACGCCTATGGTTTGCCTCTGGGGTCGACAATACCAACACCGGCGCTGGTCTTGCGCCGCCGTTAAACTCTGTACCACAGCGACCCTCAGCCATAACGGCTAAACTGAACAATACAGAAGAGGATCTCCCTATGCTTGATATCGACTGGGTAAGGCAATCACTCCATCAAGTACCAGTTTAATACTCGACCTGCTAATATGTAATTCTTTCCCAGAACGAATGGGATAAATTATTCCCGCCAGATATCAATAATGGAGAGCTGAATCTACCACCCTTATCGCCGATGGTTGGTCCCACAGACACCACAGCTTCGCTAGACAATCTATCGTCGCTTGCTGAGACGACAAACTCAAACTATTCCACATACCCTTACTCGAACTCTTGACAAAAGCATTTTAACTTATTGGATTTGAATTACGCCGGGTCGGGCCACATATCCTTTTAACCATGTGTACACTCCGTATATCCTTAGCGCCTATGACGAATTAACTATTGATTAGTCCACCTTTGCAATGACAACACCCGCTCTAAGTACGCCCCCACTGCTTAACCACCTGAACAGCCATCCAGCAACTTGCCATTTGGTATATCCACCAAGCCCCATAATAGCCATGTCCCGGCATCTCTTATCGAGGAATCCAGCTAGGCCCACAAATACATGGTCGGTAATATCCTCGATCACAATGTTTTCCGTTTTATATCCTGCTTCTTCTAGCATAGTTGTATATGTCTCTGGAGAGACAAAATTACCAAACGGGGCGCCAAGTGTAGGCGTCAGGAGACGAAGGAATAACGCGTTGAAGATCCGCTTCAGGCTCGAAGGATTCGATGGAGCAAGAAAGAGGTCGAACGCTAGTAGGTTAGCACGGAGTATGGAGTGTGAATATTTGAATATTTCCCGCCGCGAAGGATAGAAATGATACAGGGTGTCTAGACCCATGACATAGCGTTCCATATTACTGTTGCTATCGTTAATTGAGAAAGCATCGTGGAGAGTCTTCGTTACTTCGTCAGGCCAAGTTGATGGCCGAGCAGCATCGGCACAAAAGAGGGAGATCTTCGAAGGTCTGGTGCTGATTTCTTGCTGGTTTCCATGCAGTATCTTCTGTTGTAGCCTCTTCTGAGCGAATCCATGCTGTACTTTATCAAGCGTAATACCGATATACTCGTCAAATATTCGCGATGGTCTCGCAGAATTCATTGTGAGATAGATGGTTTGCTCTCCACATCCGAACCCAAGGTCTAGAAGGACTCTCTTCTTTGCGGTATTCGGTTCCTCCCGTGCTGTCTCGTCTCTTTCTTTGCCGTTAATTTCGAGACCGGCAGTTCTCAGGACCTTTTCTAGCAATGCTTGACATGCCTCAGGCAGTTCAACACTGGCGTTATCCTGCATCTCAGTCAGCGTAATGAAGTATCGACGGATTTTTGTAGGATATCAACCTTCCAGTAGCCCATGTTCATCCACATGGTCGTTGGAGGAAGCTGAATATTCAATGCTGCATGATCTAAGCCGTACAGCGACTCATCCCGTGCCGTATAATTGGTTTCTATCCTGGTGTTATCGGTTGAGAGTTGCGTGATAAGATATATGGCCATTCCCCTGACCCATGGTAAAAGCCATATCGAGGATGTAATACCAAGTACATAGGCTGCTATAATGGAGATTGGCAGTATATATGATAGCGTATTAGTAGAGAGAGCCATCTTTGCACCTGGAGTAGTTCGAGTGCAGCTACTCCGTACTCTGGGATTTTGAGATGAAATTTTGGTCAGATCCAAAAGAAAGCCTCAGCCTTGGGTATCTGAACAACCAATCAATTAGTTAACTAACTAGTATTTTATTTGTTGTATATTGAAAACCTCAATGCATAATCGCCGCAGAATATTTACTGTATGAAGGATATGTATCACAGTGGCTGAAATTAGTTACATGCTGATCACCAAGCCATTTCATAAATCGTCTTCTTTTACCCGCGTGAACATGACGGCACCCCCTTCAACCACCCCCTTGAGAGGATTCCCTTCGCCATCTGTAGCCCATCCCGCCAGCTCGGTAAATCCACATCTACGATAGAAGGTGTCTTTGCCCTTGGCTGCAAGCACACTAGCTGCGATACCTTCTTCTCGCGCCCTGTCCACTCCCCAGGCCACCAGCTCACGACCATGACCAAGTCTCTGGTATTTTGGCCGCACAGCAAGACAGTTCAGGGACCAGTTGGTCAGACGATGAGGAGGCGATGCATACAGGGCCCCTAGAACTCTGATAAGTGCTTGCCGGACAGACTCTTCAGTGAGCTGAGGAGGTCTAGAAGCAGCTCGGTTGGGGGTTATCAAGGCCAGGAAAAAATTGTGATATATCGATATCAACGGTGATATTACAAGTCCTGTAAGTGGTAGAATCAGCATCTGACACAGCTTAACTAGTTGGCTATTGGATCATAGCTTGATCAAAAGTCTTACTTGGATCCCATTTGCCAAGTGGCTTCCAGACGGACTCCCAGCCAGGTCCCATGCGATGCCACTGAGCAACGCCGGTTATGACCTCTCTTGGGGGCTTGCTAGGCTCTTCTGGGCTTCTATCATCTTTTCGATCATCCGAGGATGCTTCATTCACCTCCTCTGGCTTCTCGTCTTGTTCTATATAGCTCACGATGAAGACGTATGAGTAATTCCACCATTTCTCCCAGCACTTCCGCCGCCAATAGTTCAAATAATCACTTGGATATTCTCGACGTAGCGGATGTAGGAGAGGGCCCATAACCTCCTCTTCATGGAAGCCCTCTGCAAGCGTCGAGGAGATTGCCTCCAGGTCTGAATACCGTGCGAGACGAATCGGCATTTTCTTGGGCGTCGCGGCTTGCTAGCTTGTTGGTTAACTAGTTACCAAAACCGAGGGCTCTCTCGCAAGACATCACTTCTATAACCACCCAGGTGACTGCCACGTTGGTGCTCGTATCGGAGGCAGAAGAATTTCGCAAGTCATGATTATTAGCTAACTAACGGCTCGGCCGACTGGGATGCTGAATAGAAATAATTACATGCAGATTAAGTGGATATCTGGATGGGGATCAAAGTAGAGAGCGAGGGAGCGAGGATTAAGAGGCTGGAAGGAGAATTATTCATACATATAACTAAATACTATCGGTAGCGTTGGGCGGGATATTTTCCTGCGAAGGCTGCGTGGATGATAGGATCTCATATCTTGGTGGTTTTTCTTGATCGTTTTACTTATTGCCAGTGATAGGGCCCTGCCTTCTGTGGAGAGCAAATTAATGACCGCCGAACAGGATTTCGACACGGACAAAGGCGGACAGGGTCTTATACACGGTGTACGGTGCAGAGAAAATCAGGCCAGAGGAGCCGTATTTATAAATACTGTCGACCGTGATCCCAATTGCTGGGCTGAGTGACTCGACCCATTCGAAAAGACTCGTCATTGCCTCAGAATCGTGGTCGTCCGTGACGCAACAAGAGAAAAACCACCTTGTATTTCCCCGGTTCTAAAGTCGGTGAAAGGCGGGAGGGAGTAGAAGGGGTATTTTGCTTAGGAAAATATAACCGGACTGAAACAGCACCGTTCACATATTCATGCACTGGGATTTTGCCAAGGACAGCTGGTGCGACCGGTCGAGTAACTCTGCAAAGTCCACGGACTGAGCTCGCCCGCGGGCAATTGCTGCCGCCTCTGCAAGCTTCGCTGTGAATGTACGGCGTGTAGCAAGATACTCTGATGTGCCTAATGCTGTCTTCTCTCTTCAGAAGCCGCCGCCAAAACTTCGAAAGTGCCGGTAGTAGATGATGGCTGAAAATATGCAGGTCCAGCATAGCAGCAGTTAAGAATGCAGACAACATCAATCGGAATAGACGAAGTAGAAGACAGGTTCAATACAGAGTCTGCGACGTAGTCGAATCGGAAAAAGTTTTGGTATTGGGTGTGGCTTTGAATGTCAGCCCTGTAGTGTCATCACTGACACCATGACCGGCGTAATGTATCAGAACCAGACACCTCCTGGAGAGTTAGGCGAACAGTTCTGAATGGCAGCTGACAGGCGAGCGACCAGCCGTTTCATAACGGTCTAACCTGGCATTTTATCGTTGGGGCTAATGACACATTCCTCAACATTTGAGATTGCAAATATTGAAGCAAGGCCCTTGGAATTATTGAAATTCCTGAACGCTCCGGTATCATCATCCTCAAAGCGCATGGGAAACGCAGTAACATTTTGGTAAGTAGCCTGACATTGAGTGAGGCACAGCTGCAGAGCGGCCTTTATTTGGTCAACACCCGTAGACTCAGCCATTCTGGTATCATAAAATTGGTTAATAGAAGTCACAACATCGTAGAAGGGATCTAATAGGTAGGAGTAGGAAGATGCAGGATAGAAGAATTAATGTGTAAAAAAGAGTGAAGTACGGGCCAGAGACAGACTCCCGCAACAGATATTCAAGCAGTAGCTAGACTACAGAGACCCTGACGAGCAGAGCTTTGGAGCTCAACAGTAAACAAGGTCTATTCGGCGGAGAGCAGCGAGGACGGAGACTTGGGTGTTAACACGAGGGGTTATTGCGTACCACTGAGTGAAACTGTGTGTGTGTGTGTTTAAGAGAGAGAGAAGAGAAATGAAAGTAAACAGGAGGCGAATTCCATTTTTATAGTGCGCAAAAGTGAGGTCATTGCCACTTTGGGAAGGAGGACAGATATCGCCGCTTTGGGACTAGCTCGAAGATCGCCACCACGCGTCTCGGCTATGGCGTTTATTCAACCAACGCCAGAATTATCTGTATTAGTCATCAGATTTGGCTTCATATATTCGAGAGTGAACTACATAAGTATTTAAGTTCGTTAGCGCCGCCAAGTTAAGCGCGAGTTTATCCTCGAGGTCAAGCTTGCCCTTCGGTATGCGAATGACGTTCTGGCATCCATGAGAAACACTTGAGTTTACTAGTTGCTGGGTAGTATTTTGGGATGGTGCGCATAAAAAGTGAATTTCAAGCATAAATAAGGCCGGAGGTACTGGATTATGTTATGAAGAAAGCAGCAAAACAGCCCAGGGAAGACTATGATCGAATGTTGCTAGAATGATACCGATTCTAAAGGGGTAGACTGGACTGGGGCGTGGCGTCTATTCGCGAATGACATATGATATTTGAGTAATTCTCTGTCCGTGTCCAGGGATCCATGTATGAGAATAACAGTCTTGTTCTCTGCACTGGAGGAGTGTGTATCTGATCGCCACGCCCGGCGGACCGGAAACATCCCGTCTAAACGCGAGGGGCAGCTTCAAGTCTCTCCATTGCCGAAGATTCCAAAGCACCTCTATCAATAAGGGACTGGATGAACTGTCTTGCCCAGCTCTGGCAATTCTCACCCTGTGGTGATGAATGTCAGCTCCGCCTCAAGAAGAGAGAAGAGAATACTGAGGTAATTTCTTTGTCTATAGCTCAGACGTACCGCGAAGGGATCAAGGGGGGTGGAGCTTATCCCGGGTGCAGCAATGCTTTGCGCTACGCCAGCGAGCTGAGATTTCCAGCTGTCATCCAGACTCCCGAGAAAGACACAGGAATGTTTCTTAAACTCCTTGCTCAAATCAAACTCCTCCTTAACTTCGAGATTATAGCCATGAAACGGACTACCAATAGCCTGAAACTCTTGCCCGACCTTGCCATTCTCAGTGGTTATCAGCACAGCCCAGTGCGCAGGGGTTTTAACGCTCTCTGGGAAAACAACTAAGTAGGCGTAAAGTGTCATTTTTTGGACTCGTAGAATTTAAGTCTTAGCTGATGGGTTTTGGCGGGGTCGTGAGCCGGAAGTCTGAGTTTTGTAATCCGAATTTGTAATCTGCACGCTTACTGGGCAGTCAGTGAATTACCCCTGGATATCCTGGTTGCATGCCTTGCTGGGCAGAGCGAATAATTGGATATATCAGTCAGCATCTAAGCGCTTCAATCAGGGATATAGAACTTACTTGCACCTTGTTATATCGCTACGATGTTCCATCTGGTTGGAAAAAGACTGATAAGTTAATCTGATATCATTTAAGGAGACCCCTGCGCCCTGCTGTTCGTATATTCATATATATTTAGATAAACATCGTCATTGAAATAATGCGATAGAGCGATAGAAAAACAAGTCGAAAAAAACAACACCGGGTATCAACACATGAGATGCAAGGGGGCTAATATGCATGTATGGTTTAATGCAGAAACTAGGACACTGATAGACAGGGGGATATGAGGCTTTCTACCCTAGTCATGTCGAACGCTGTACCGCAAATCTCGTCGTATTATCATATCATGACTATGTATGCTCAACACCGACTGGTTACCCTGAGAACTCAATGAGTGACCATCGTTATCACCATGGCCAGAGTTAATCTCTAGGCTGTTAACAGCGCTTCGAACGTAGGCTCGATATTCATACTGCTCAGGTCGGAGAAAGCCACACTTACTTGATTCGCTTGGAGTTGGGCCTGTTTGTTTGTCACCATCTGGAACGCTCTTCAAAGATGATAGCTGCACGCCCTTGGAGCCTTCGGCATCTCGTGATGAGCCGTATGGCTCTGACACGTACCCAAGCGTTATACCCATGCCGGTGTGAAATTTGAGTAGATAGCCGCCGAGATTGGGGATGGTGCAGGATACAAGAGAGTAACAAAGCTCAATTTGCTGGTAGACGAGGGGCGCTACAATGCTGACGCTGGGTTTGGATCTTCTGGAGAACGTCGTTATCCGTTCAACGTGGAGAAGTGCGAAAACAACAATCCTGGCATAATGGCGAGTTAGCGTATAGTTACACATCCGCACATTAAAAGAAGTACCACGTACGGCAGCCTAGGCATAAAAGCCATCAATACGCGGGCTTTCCGTGAAGCACTCATTTGAATTCCCCAGATGACTGATATTGCCACTCCAAAAATAACCAGTTCGGTGAATGCGTCTAGTATACTTATAACCTGCCACCTTAGAACCTGTTTAAATAGTTTGCAGTTAGAACCCTCCATATTTGCGGGACAGGTTGATTGTATCTAGGTGCCACTCACTATATCCTTGCAAGAACCGTGAATAAAAGCCATCATTCCGGTAGGGGAACAGTTGATCAATGCCCCCAGCATCGAACCAGCGCCCCAGAGTACGCTTAATAGCAGTACCACATCACATGTCATGATATGTGACCTCATATCTGGGCTGAACAAACGGCGTATCAATAAGATAAGTGATACCTTTGCAAGTAGCAGTCCAAGGAGAAAGAAGACCTCGCTGAGGGCCAGAGATCGCCCGATTCTTCGAATATGAGCCATGCCAAAGTCCTCATCATTTTTCCCCAGCCCGTCAGACAAGCCAAAGAAGATAGATATATATTGTGCTTCAGCAGTCAGCTGAGACAAAAACGGTGTTAGTATATGGTTCATGATTATTTAGGGGTATTGTTGTATAGCAGAAGATATAGCCTGGTGGCTGTCTTACCGTGGCAAAGAAGGCTATCAGATCATCCAGACCATAAAATTCCCGTTTAACGTAGGCTCGTAGTCCCATGCTGAGGACAACGTAGATGGCACAGATAATTGAAGCAACCCAAAGAATACCGCCATGATCGTCAGGCGTCACAGTGGTGAATCGGTCCCCTCCTGTAAAGAGTTGGAGGTCTACATGGATGGACATCTCCGGGGCTTCTTCGATCGCGACTGGATGACCTTCAGACACTCAGCGATGCGCAAGTATCAAGCGACTAAACACAACTCATGTAGCTATCGATATCTGGATGGCCTTCTTTGATTAATAATGTTCAGGGAATCTGGATATACGGTGCATAGTGTAGAAGATTCTTCCGTTATGAGAAGGAAGCAGAATGGATGGATCTGGGAGCGGAACGTAACCCTCTCCACCCCCTGTACTCCGTAGTTAACGGCGAGCAGGAGAAATCAAGAAGCTTTTCAGATCTCCACTCGAGACAAAAAAATTTTCTGTTTTCTTTTTGCGGAAACCGATGCTTTTCGAGGCCATTTACTATGTTGACACGGGGTTGCATAGAGAAGGGTGTCAAATGCGACAGAGGAAACAGCTCTCCGCCCTGTATTCTCCATATGAAAGATCTTCGTCTCCAGCGTCTTGGCCAGCGTGTTATCCTTGCGATTAGCTATTCTGAAGTACCAACTGGCCAACTGAGAATTGGCAGATTTTCCACCAATAAGGCCTTTTGATCCCTGGTCATGATGGATGAGCACAATATGTACAAATTATGACCTAGGTAATTCCCGCGTGGGTGAATTACCCATAAATCATTCCACCCAACGGCGAGCACCCACCCACTATTGGTTAACTTATTTGAGACTTGACAAGATTGGGATCCTCCCTTCCAGAGCTTCCGCCTGGCCAAGCTGCAGGCGGGATCGCCCTTTGCTCAACCAGGATCTCGGCCGTCTTGCTGTTAGTTTTGCCGCCGTGTGCTGTCGTCCAGATAACAAATTGGCGCCCAGAGCGTGGGAAAGCTCTGGCGTCTCCCGTACCCTTAAAAGGCTGCGGTCACCGGGGAGAACGGACCGGAATTTGGCCTTACGAAAGAGCCAACGGGTGGGGCGCCTCCGTCGAATCTCCCATGGTATAATTGGATAGCAGTCCCTGCAGCTTCCCTACTGTCTTGGGGCGGAAAACAGGGGATGCCCAGCCGAACGAGCTTCATCCTTCTTCCCAGCAAAAAGAAGGGGTCGGTATTTTCCTTCCGAAGCTTGCAAACAACGCTAGGGTTGGGCTAGAACGGAACGAGAGCAAGCTCCCGTCGTGTCTCGTGTCTGCACGGCGGCCCTCTGGCTGACTAGGCAAAATTTCTCTTGTCAGGCTTGCTTCGCTGTAGGTCGGAAGTATGCCTTGGTCAGTCGAAACGATTCATGGACGTTCTGGCATGCATGTAACCATGCAACGCCGGCGCGATGGTACGAACCAAGCTGGGACTATCACTTAGGACTGGCGAATGGATAGCTTCGGGGTGAACGAGGGCCCTGGCTCACTCATGGGAAATTTACTTACGCTGGCCCTCCTCCCCCCCCCCCCCCCCCATAGCATAAACCCAACTTGGTAGGTCAGTCGCCGAATACCTCGGGGCCTTCGTCACTTCAATCCAGGGTACAACTGTCCTGTTCGCGATATATATATCACTATCAATTTCACATCCCGTGTGTTTGCGAGCTTCTTGCGCTCTTCTCCATCTCTTCCAAACCTCATACGTTTGAGTTTTCGAACGATCAGCAGACGCAGGTTGTTTGAAGGAGCCGCTCCGGTTCAGGCTAAATTTGCGCCGCCGGTGGTTATATATACGCAACACCTCTAGGAATCAGGGAAGCAGAAGGTGGTGGCCGATAGGTGGGAACTTGGGTTTCATCATGGGCGGAACATCTGACATTGAGGTTAACGATGCCGGATCTGATGTCCCTGGGGACACTTTCATCAGCCTGCGAGATGGCACCGCAAACGATGTGCAGGATATGAAGCGGATGGGCAAGCAGCAGCAGCTCCAAGTGAGTGAACAGTCCAGTGGGTTGGTGGGCAGCATGTCGTACCCAGCATGGAATGCCCTTACTCTGATTGTCTTCTAATGCGACCATCTTGCTGCAACATAGCGTAATTTTGGCTTTCTATCTATATTTGGCTTCTCCATGATCCTGATGAGCACATGGGAGAGCACTCTTGGGTGAGTGTTCGAAAGACTCGAACCTGACTGACTGTTTTATTATCTACCAATACTGACACGGTCGCAGGACCGCAGCTTTTGGCCTTGGAAATGGAGGAACAGCCGGGTTGATCTATGTTTACCTTGGGACTGTCGTTGGGTTTTCGCTGGTGATCGCATCGATGGCTAAGATGGCTTCCATGGCGCCAACAGCTGGTGGCCAGTATCACTGGATTTCAGAATTTGCGCCCCAAAGTTCTCAGAGGTTTCTCTCCTATATTATCGGCTGGTTGTGTGTGCTTGGATGGCAGGCTGGTACAGCGTCCTCCTGCTTCCTAGCCGGGACTGAGATCCAGGGACTAGTTATCCTTAACTATGACAACTATGAACCCCAGCGATGGCACGGAACCTTGATGGCGATGGCTGTTATTGCACTTTGTGCCCTTTTTAACACGATCCTTGCGAAGCGACTCCCGGTGGTCGAAGGTGTCGTTCTTATCCTCCACGTTGCTGGCTTCTTTGCAATTTTGATTCCACTGTGGATTCTTGCCCCACGGTCTTCCTCGAAGGATGTATGGACAAAAGTCGAGGATGCGCAAGGATGGGGCAGCAAAGGACTGGCCAGTCTAGTTGGAATAATCACGCCCGTCGTGTCACTCCTGGGAGCTGATGCTGCAACTCACATGTCTGAGGAGTTGAAGAACGCATCGAAAACGCTACCTAAGGCGATGCTCGCAACCGCCTTGTTTAATGGTTCTCTAGGTATCATAATGGTGATGTAAGTCGTTCGCCTGGTTTCACGTAATACTGGTTTATGATTTCAGGGGCTGATAGCCAGTTATAGCACTTTCTGCTATACAATCGGTGATGTTGAGAGCGTCCTTGCAACACCAACGGGATACCCCTTCATCCAAGTATTTTATAATGCCACCATGTCTAAGCCAGGCGCCACTGCTATGACAGCAATCATGACTTCGCTGTCCATCTTCTGTGGCATGACGAACATGGCTACTGCTTCAAGACAGCTCTTCGCATTTGCCCGAGATAACGGCCTTCCTTTCGGCACATTCTTCCAAAAGGTACGACATTTTCAAAAGACTTTTGCCTGGGTCATAAGAAAGTTACTGACTCTGAAATCCATAGGTTCCAATTGGGTGGGATATTCCACTCAATGCCATCATTTTCACTGTCATAGTGAGTTCGCTGCTCTCTCTTATCAACATCGGTAGTACGATTGCGTTCAACCAAATCACCTCCCTTGGCCTTTGTGCGCTGTTATCCAGTTACATTGTTTCCATCTCCTGTATGGCTCTCAAGAGGATACGCGGCGAAAAACTGCTTCCCTCGCATTTCCGCATGGGTTCTCTTGGCCTGCCCATTAACCTGCTCTCCATTGCCTTCCTGGTGCTGGCATATATTTTCTGCTTCTTCCCGCCAGCACCAAAGCCGGCGCTAGATGCGATGAACTGGAGTGTCGTTATTTACTTTGGAGTGTTGTTATTTAGTCTGATATACTTTGCCTTCCGAGGGAGACATAAGTATGTTGGGCCCGTGGAGTATGTGAGAAAAAGCGCTTGATCTAGCTCTGATATATTTTCAAATTCGTTTGGGCGGCATTTTCGTATAAAATAGCTTGTTAATGTGTATTTCAACGTTCTTGACGTTATATTTTTCAGTCTAGAGGCCATCATTTCGACAACCTGATTGTATAACCGCATTTGAACCGGGTTGCAGAGATTTAAGAAGAAGCCTAAACTGGTAGAACTGTTAGTCTGTAACTTCATTTACTTACCTGCTTTGGTTTTTACGTATTTGCTCTCAGGTGGGATAGTCAGAACGGTCTTCCAATTCCCAAGAAAAATGTATGAAAGTAGATTTCGAAACGTATTAACCTGCAATGATGACTTCAGATGGTGTTTCTCATCAGTTATCCGTTTGCAGAACTTTGATCGGCCATAGTTCCATAACAAGAGCGAAGTCACGATACGGGCGAAGCCAAAATGGGGGTGATAAAGCTGTGTGAATGTTGGTAGGCAATGATTTTACCAGTCACAGCTGTATTGTCCTGATGTAAGGGCAAGGTCGGGATATAGATGGCTGTATATGATGGATGTGCAAGTGTTACGGTAGGTAATTCATAGATAGGGCGTAATTTAGTGTCCAATGTGAGAAGGGAGACGAGGAGGGTGGGCAATTATGAGTCGGGCTAGGTAGGATAACATGGTAAAGGCAGATAGATCCTGATTTGTTCTTAAGGCGGCACGATGAGCAATTTCGTAACAAGTAGCGGGATAGAAATACACCAGTGAAGGAATTACATCCAGGGAACCCGTGATAGTAGAGAGGAATGCCACAAAAAGAGATGTCAAAATAGGAAGCGTAGGAAGTAGAGAGTTGCAAGTTAAAAATACTTCGGTAAAAAAAAAAAAAAAAAGAAAAGAAAAAGAATAAGACTGAGGATTGAGGAAGTATGTTTTTTGTTTAAAGGAAATCAAGGACTTGGCCAGAGGACATTAAGCGCCCGAAATACTATGGTTGCAAAACAAAAAAGGGATCACGTAGTTTCATACCAAATTAGACTCGGTGTTTTTCACTCTCTATAAGGTGAAGTGGTTAGCATATTGTTCGGGTATTAAATGTGAGAAGTCAACTAACCAAGTCGTGAATAGAGCATGTACAACGCCATTTGGTTGCACTCCTGAGTACCAGTTATAGTGACCAATCGCTCATTGCTGTTATCTTGGGGCTCGTTGATCTTGATAACGCTACCACTGAGGTGTCGAATCTCGTTGATCTTTGCTCCTCCCTTCCCAATGATTGCGCCTACCATGTCGTTGGGTATGTAAATTTGCTGGGTCAGTGGTTGACCAGGAACGGCTGCACCCATTGGTGGGCCATTTGGAGGGACGTGGCCACCATGCGGAGGCTGAGGAGCGCCATATGGAGCTGGTTGATGAGGTCCAGCTCCGGTATATCCCGTCCGTGGGGAGGCACCGTAGTGAAGACTCGGCTGTGGAGCATGGGGGTGAGGAGCAGGCTGCTGCATATATGGAACACCATATCCTCCAGGGGCAGCACGGTTGGCTTGAGGATTGTTCCGGCGCAGGCTGTCGGGATGTCCGTATTGTCCTCCAGCTGGCTGGGGAACGTATGGCACGACCTGCATACCACCGGGGACGACACCAGCAGGGCCACCACTTCGGGTGGCATAAGCAGATGCAGCAGGGCCGCCAAATCTCTCAGTCAACTGCTCAACCAATGTGACAGCAACGTAGTAGGTTGCAATGTGCACGGCGTCAGCAACACCAAGAATAACAAGTGATCGCTCAGTAGAGAGGGGGAGGCAAGAGTCCGAAGCATTGAGACGAGCACCAGATGCCTCTTGGATCTCACGGATGCGAACACCCGATTTGCCAATGATAGAGCCGATGAGAATATGAGGGATGAGAAGACGGAGAGGGTAGGTCTTGGACTGGGCAGTTGAGGGTGCTTCAAGTGGCTCATTGTTTAGGGTACGAATAATCAAACCAAAAGCCTATAAATAGTTAGAACAAGAAATAATACCAAATTATATAAAGTTGTATGTGACCATACCTTTGCGACTGCATCTTGCATGCCACTAACGGTCAGGATTCTCTCCACTGCTCCGCGAGAGTAGTCGCTAACGGTACATTTGGCGCCAGACAGACGTCTAATCTGAGAGACGTTTTCTCCACCTTTGCCAATAACAGTAGCAGCCTCAGCGCTGGAAATGACGGCTCTGATGTGTACCCAGCCAGTTTCGTCCTGAGCAGGTTGGCTGGTAGTTGGAGGGTTGGACGTAGCACGGTCGTTGTGAGAAGCTGTGGATTGAATTGGCTGCGTCTCCAAGGCAGGAGCAGGAGCGGTTTTGCCATTGTTAGGGGCATCAGGGACTAGCAAATCACCTTGACCATCCTTGACGCCATTTTCACCACCAGCACCATTTTCGGTGCCGTTCACACTCTTTTCGTTGGTGGGCTTATCACCTTCTTGGGCTTTCGATTCATCGCCCTCAGCCTTTACGACCTTATCCAAAGCTTGACGCTTGGCCTCCGGCTGGTCATTGGGCCCGGAAGGTGAAGATGGGTCCTCGAGGGGTCGTTTAGTCGACGGACCGGCTGAAGTTGGCGAAGCAGACATGGCTGAAAAGCGCGTGTATAGGTATTTAGTGGTTTATTGCAACCTTTTTTGCTCCTTTTCTGTCGTTTTTTGCGGTAATCGATCACCTACGTTTGAGAGCAGAGGAAGACTGAGAATAAAAACAGGGTAGAAGCCGGAGTGAAGCTGAAATTTTCTTTAGATTTTTTCTTTCTTTTCCTTGCTCTTGTCAAATCGGTCTTTTCTTATGTACACCAGGAGTTCCCAAGGAAAACTTGCTGGTGCAGTGGTCGGACTGAGAGAAAGGTGATGGGAGGTGTGGTGTTGTTGAGAGCGGAATTGGTGTAGATAGATAATGTGAGGGTGCAGGACGTGTTGATTTGTGTAAGATTCGAGCGGTTGAGTGGTGGATAAGGATGCGAGAGTAAGGTTGATATGTAATTTTTTTCCCGAGCCCAGAAGCTCTGAAAGAAGGACAGTGGTGTTTGTGGGAGAGATTAGGAGGCGTGGTGATTTGGAGTTGAGCAGACGGGTTTAACGAGAACGTCACCACTCAGCGAGCAGGAAAACAAAGGATAATTGACGACTGTGTCTGAAAACGCAAGTGAATAAAAGGCGAAGGGCCAGAAAACGAAACTTCTAGCTTGTTTGCCCAAGTATGGATCGAAGCTGCTGAGACGCGGACGGGTGGGTTCGGACGTGACGGCTGCGCGCAGGACACCAAACAAAGGAGCTTGGCGAGAAAAGGGCCACCGAAAAGTGTCGACTCAACGGCGAGAACCTAGCAAGACAACGCCAGAGGGCTCGCTCTTCGTTTGGCGATGCGAAAGTGCTGAAGCTGGAGATGAAGTCGAGGTTGAAGCTCGCAAAGTCGAGAGTTGAGGTTGAAAAAAAAGAAGTTAGGGGTATTTGCGCTAGTCCGCTTTGGGACATCCGGGGTAGGTCACGTGAATCAACATCGCGAGCAGCCAAGGAGACGAGCAGAAAGGAATGGGGCAGAGGCAGAAGACAAGCGGACGACAAAAAGCAGACGAGAAGCAGACAATAAGACAAGGCGGGACAGGATGGTGGCTGAAGAGGTGGTTGAGAGGATACGGGCCTACCAGGAGTCGTGCCGGGAGATTGAGAAAGAGCGTGAAAAAGGCGCGTTGACAGCCGCCGACTACGAAGAATACAACAGGCAGATAGACAAGACACTGCGTGGCCTACGCGAGCAGGTCCAGCGACAGGAATCTGCTTTGAGAGAGGTATGTCATCTGTGTTTGGCCGACACGATATGTTTTGGCCTGTCTAACCAGTGACTATAGCTTCGTGCGTCTACAAATCCTCTGGGGCTACCGCGTCCACACTTACAGCCACATGAACGACTGGCACAGACACGTAGGGCTATCCAGGCATACAAGTCGCTCTTATCTGATGGAGAGCCGCAGCTCCCAGCCCCGGACTCGCCATTGAATGGTCTCTTGGCTATTCGGGAAGCTCGTCGATTGGTTCAAGAATTCAAACATACCATTCCTTCAACAGCAGAACAGCTTGTCCGTGATCGTGAGAGACTAAAATCCGAAGAAGCCGATCTACAAGACGGCAATGCAATAACTACTGAACTCCAACGGAGAATACAGGATATTCGCCAGAATGGACACGGCGAGGATGATACAGGACGGAAGAAATCAAGACACGACTTGAACCGAGCTGCAAAAGAGCAGATTAGACAATACCGAAGGAAAGGCATTGAGATAGATGAGAAAACTGCAGAGCTGCAAAGTGCATTGAAGGAGTTTATTGAGGAACATCTTGCACCGATGCTTGCAGCAGAGGACATCGGTGGGCCGGTTGTTGGTGATCAGGTTGAGGTGGCTGATTCAACTCTTGAAGCTGGATATACAGCAAGAGGCAAAGAACGCAAAGCCTCCAGGGTTAGCAGCGGGCAGAGTGCTGGTAATAAGAAGCAGCAGCAGCGCATAGATGAGCTAATTCACCGTGGCAAGAGTAGGCGCGATGGAGAGGATGAGGACGGCAATGAGGAAGATGATGCTAGAATCAGTAACCCAAGGGAAGCTGCTGCGCAAGAAATGCAGTCTCTTCTTGAGTCGCTGCTAAGCATGGCGACTACGTCATCATACGTTGAACTAGACCAAGACTCCGCGGCTTCGAGGTTCCTAGTCAAGGCCAAGATTGCGCAATTCCATCCGCGAGATTCACAGAAGCTCCGACTGATCGATGTTGCAAGAGAAATAGCAGACTAGAAGACGCATATATATTGACTCTATGGATGTGTTTTTGTCGACGGCACATGTCCAAGACGCCGCATATCATTTCCAACACAAATTTATACTTCTAGTCAATCGTATCATCACGAAGAGCAAACAGCTGCGCAATAAGTTCAGCGGAATCTGAACGCAGTCCGTTGTGGTACATCGTGTTGGTGATGAACTGTTTGCAATTGTGAATAGTGGCAGCTGTTTCGTTGGCGTAGCTGAAGTGCACGTACATATCCTCGACATATGTAGCGGAATACACTGGCACCTCGTTGCGCGCGAGCTGTTCCTTATCATACAACTGCGGCCAGTCATTGTAGGAAGCAAGAATATCGGCTACCTCTTTGAGCTGGCCGAGTTCTGTGGACGACTCAAACCAGTGTTTGTATACCATCTCCCCAGTGAAGTAGATGCCATCAGGATTATGAGCGCCTCGGAAGCCAGAGAACTTTGGTAGTAGTCTTTCGGCAGCCCAGTTTGAGGCCTCCCTACGGTATCACGTTAGATTCTGATATTGACTCGATCAGGAGAGACGTTTTACCCTTGGCAGTAGATAGATTCATGCATTATGGCATATAGAATGCCGTTGTCTGCACTCGTGTCGTTCTCAATCAGAGATAAAGTAGGTCGTGTGAGGAAGCCAAAAGTATCCAGTTCATTAATGCACTTCAAAATTATGCCTGATATTTCGACATTGTTAGTCAGTGAATAAGTATAATGTAAGTTATTGATGGTATCATACTATGAACTAAGCCGATGCCCCCTATATGCATATGTTAGTCATTGGTTACGAGAAGTCACCTGCGAAGTATGGCGTACCTTTCATTCCAAAATGAATTCCTAGCTGGAGAAAGCGTTCCGGAGTTAACGGTGAGCCATCGGGGAGCTTAACATCGTGGGTTTGGAGATGCTTGAGTATAATCCGCACTCGATCTTCGTCTTCGGGGAAAGTGGAATAGTACACTTTATTCCGGGACTGGACCTTGTCTGTAGATGTCAGCTGTATATTAAACTAAAAATAGCCCAATCTATCCCAACTTACCGTAGGTCCTCTCGTACACAGGATCAGGCTTTGACACAAGAGGGGGTAATCCACCAGTTGTGAAGACTTCTTTAAGTCCCTCAGGACTAGATGATGAAGGTTAGATTTGCACGACAATCTATAGCAGGTGGATTTGAAGGAGTAGTTACTCACTACTTAGAAACATACGTGACGGCACAGAATCCTCCAAAACTCTGGCCAAGGACGCTCCATTTCTGCTTATCTGGAGGGTAATAAGCAGTCAATAGTTTACGCACTGCTTCACAGTCTCGCACGATATTATCGGCACGGAATAGCCTAAGATATTCGGCTTGCTTTACTGCGTTTCCCTGAAGAGCAAGCGTCGCAGCGGTTATAGGGGTTGAAAGCCCTGTTCCTCGCTGGTCAAGGAGAAGGATCTAATCAAGAAATTCAACAAGGTGTTCTACAGTTACTCATCCCGATTCTGGAGACTCACCTGGAATCCTCGATCCAGCAATGGCCCAACCCAGCCTACCTCCTGAGGTTGTGGGCAAGCTCCTCCTGGTCCACCCTGCAGGAAAACAATCCAGGGTAGCTGTCTGTCTTTATCATCGAGAGAGGACCCTGGAATTCGCCGCTGCACACTCCTGGCGAACAACCGGAGCGAAGTGGAAGACGGGTTTGAGTAGTCTAAAGGGACATCGAAAAGGAGCTCAGATACCCTCAGTCTTCCTATGGTAGCCATTAGCAAAAACGCAATAGTAGATTGTGTTGTGATACTCGGTTAACTATGCATGATGTGACTCAAGATTAGCTGCACTAACCAGGTACATTTTGCCAGTACCGGCTCAACAATTTTGCTGCTTGCATATCTTCTACCATAATATATTTAGATGGCGTTCCGCAGCTGGCTGGCCTTGTTATATGACAAGCAGGAGATAAACAATCAGCCTTAGCTTTGCTAGAATGGTTCGATTGGCGTTGTTGAATAATGCTTGATACCCGTCGTCCGTCTCTTTAGGCTTTGGGAGTGTCAGCTTGGCGCTAAAATCGGCTATTTCCCCCCCACTATTAGTTACTTTCATGGTTTTATTGGTGGGAGTAAATCATATCAAACAATGATATGCTATTAAACTGCAGGAATTTACTGGCATCAATTGATAGGTGCTAGTTACAAGTAAGTCGACTATGAAGGTCAGGACCTGAGCCAGAAGGCGTTCTGTCTCCGATTCCTTCAACTAACTTTGTTAGATTCTTGAAACTCAACGGTAAAGATAGTCCGTATTGTTCAACAATATATATAAATGTATATCCAATGACTCCATGGATTCCGGGCTTGATTCATCTCGACTCTTGGATCCAAAGAATATCACGGGGTTAGGCCGTTTTCCCCTTTACATGATTAAGGTATCAGGAGGGAAGTTCCCAAGTTTAATGAAATAATGACCTAGGAATGGAGAGAGGATGAGAGACAGTAGGTTCATTGATTCTTCACCTCTATTCTAGATGGAAATCCTAATTTGAACTAATCTTTCTCTATCAACGTACGATCCTTTAAGTAATTTCCATCTTTCGAGCTGGAAATGTTTGGCTTCATAGAAGAATCAGCGTCAACGCGGCTGCTGACTAAAACATTCACGTGACAATGAAGGAATAATATTAATCCGGTATGATACATAAGCACGGGCCACATCGTCCCTGTTGTGACGACAAAAACATACAAACAAACCAGGAGGACATGAAGTGTTTTTTTCTGAACTTGCATCTATATCACTACGGCGTGCCATATTCTGGCTATTTTGCTGCTATCAATGTCTCGGAGGTACAGAAAGCCGCCTCACTACTCCATCTTCCGTGCATCTTTGGCCCAGCAAGCCTAATGCGTCGTCCCAACGGGTTTCTTCGCGGTAGCCACGATGGCAACCCAACTCATGGGAATAAGCCTATCAACACCATACCTTGATGTGAAGTAGCCCGAGACTGCTGATGCAAAACCCGGCCCGTACTTCTCCCTTTGCTCCTCGTTCCAGAACCTGGCGGGTATATGCGACATAATTGGACCCAGTGCTGGCATGATCTCCGATTGGTTGCTTGTTGCCATGGTCATTTGCACGAGTTGTACTTGGATATCTTCGAGTCTCCGTTTCTGCAACTGATCTTCAACCCAAGTGGGGTCATGCCATTCATCGCCGCTGCCGAGTGACATTAGAAATTCATCGGACGTGGGCTGCGGGAGGTCAGGGGCCATGGTAGCAATGACAGCATTGATATCATCGCTCCATCCGGCTATTGAAAGGACATGGGTTCAGCAGGCAAATTTGGGAGTCATCAACTGCCGCAGATATAGCTTGGCGGGCTAGCGTTAGGTGTCAGGTCCTAGGGCATACGTACTCTTTTTCCAGGTGGTGAATGCGAGTGTTCCACCCGGCCTTAGAATCCGGAGGCACTCTATATACTAGGTTATCAGTTGATGGCTATTCCTGGTATACAAAGTCTGGCTACAAGGATTGAAAAGGCCTCACCGTCTAGGCTCTCCTGGGGCTTTGGCACACCCATTATTGCTGAAGGGCTCAAAACGTCAGCAAACTGATTACCTTTGTCAAGGAGATATTTTCCGTATAAAACTAACCAAAAGCAGCAAACACATGAGTGTAACTGTTAGCCGGCAACCCGGTCTCCTGCATATCCACGACTGCAGCGTCGGTGTTTTCCCATCCTTCAGCTTCTATCTTTTCCTTGACCACATTGATCATTGCCTCAGACAGGTCTGCACATGTCAACGTCCACTTGCACCCGGTCTTCCAATCAGGAAGCATCTCATGCAAAACGGCCGAGACTGCCCCTGTCCCGCAAGCATTGTCCAGTATAGACAGTGGTTCCTCCTCATTCCGAATGGATAAGATACCTGATTGCTCGACCAACGACCTAGCAAAAGCAATGGTCACCTTTTCCGCAGAGCGGTAGCCCTCCACGACTTCTGGATCTTTCCATATGGCTTCGGAGCACTGTTTCGGCTTGGAGGTGGTAAGAGCGTCAGGCCCCATGCTTGGGAATGATTGTGATATGGCTAAGAGCAGTATCAACACGAACTTGAGATAGAAAGTGTAGGTGAATGTATGCTGATAGCTGAGGCTATAACATGAGGAGTGGGGAAGTGATATAAACACGATATATTGTCACCCGAACAACAGAGCCGGACACTAATATCACCTGTTTCTTGGCAACAATGCCCCCGAGCAAGGCAGAAAATTTGGAATGATACTCAGCTGCCAACAGCCGCTATTAACCAATAAGATAGTAGTGCATCCGGAGGACTTTTATTTGCTTACGTCGGGCTAGAACCTATATGACTCAGCTTACTACCCCTGTCTCTCGAACGGCATGGTGGGGTAAATCTGATGCCTGTATGACAGCTCTGCCCTATGGAATCCATGATGCGGAAGTTCGTTCACCATGATGTGGATCTCTGTTTCGTTCATAGAAAAGCTGATGAGTGATCCATTAATTCTATATCACCCTCAGCTTGTAGGGCCATCTACAGCATTGGCTCCTCTCCCTGCCCTGCTGCGGGGCAGTCCGGCTGCAAACACTGCCCATAGTGCCAGCCCCGATGTTTGCCGTGGACTTGGTTTCCCTTTCAGGCCCCAGTCGACGCCGGCACCGCCCAATTCTGCATAGTGTTTGCGTATATTGAGTTGAAGTTACATAACCAAAACGAGCAAAGTCCGGCCCTGTGGGGCGTTGATTAGGCTTGTGGGGTCACGGGCTGGTCCGTAAGTTAATTTTCCAACATCCCCACCATTCAATAGTAATCATCAAAATGAGCTACAACTACGGAGTATATCTGATGGTTATGGGATACGCAAATCTCGGCGGTTAACAGTTTGGATGAATAATTGCTCTTTGATATTGACATAAAACTTACGCAGTGTGACTTTAACTAAAACAGTTTTCTTAGCAAGAAGTATCTGTGCCGAATAGTACGAAGGGTCTCTCACTCTCCAGTATTTCTTTGGCTATTGGGCACGGTATTGCGGAGGAACTAAGCCCGATAATAGAACTACCAATTGATTGCAATCTCTTGTATATAGCGGTTTTATCCTTGGGTATAGTTGCTGGCACATAGACTCTAATACGGAATCTGGGCCTTAAACATTGCGGGACTTTGCAACGTCTCTCTCGGCAACTGCACTTACGTGACGAAGCAGATGCGAATAATCCCTGCAAGTCACACTCGCTAACGGCTAGCCCACAACTCTATCAACGGTTATGATAGGCTGGAAGCCAATATAAGTGTGTTTACAGGGACCCTAACCTACAGCAACTTAAATGCTCATGTTTATGCAAGAACACATATTGACGCTATGTACCTTTCACCTTGTTCAAAAGTCGGAGGCTAACTAATCTTAAGTGATACATGAGCTGGGAAGTTGCAAGTTGTGGGAGGTAACCTGCACAAGTTTGACATAATCGTTTACTTATGGGCCTCGATGTGCTGGTGGACGTGCTGGGTATCCGCATAGGCCCTTAATTCAGTGATCTTCCCATCGTGGTTGAAGCGCATGAGAACAGCCATCTCGTGATTCCATGGGGTGTCTTAGCAAGGTGATTGTTAGCCGAAGAGGAATTCTGAATCTTTGAAATCTATCAAATAAACTTACTGTTCTGGGTGGTTGCAGTGCTGTGGAGAACAGCAGCCTTCCATTCGTCTTTTTCGCCGCCAATGACATGCAAAACACTGCCCTTAATCGGCTTGTTGACATCAATAATGGAGTTCAAGGATGGCATGTCATCGGACTGAAGGTGCTCCTTGAAGGCATCAAGACCGCGGTGCTTTCCATTCAAGTGAAACTCGTGGCCGGAAATGTGAACTTCAACATCATCGGAGAAGAGCTCGTCCAAATGTCCGAACTGGAAGAGGCTTTCAGAGTCATCGGTGAGGTCGGACTTTTGGAGTTTGGAGTGGAATTGAGATTCCAAGAGAGACTTGATTTCGGCGTTGGTTGGGTAGCCCATTTTGGTGGTGATAACAGGAGAGATTGCAGTGAAGCTGTAGATCTGAAGCGATAGGGTTTCTGATATTGATGATAATGGTGATGATGATGAGTAGATAGAAGCTTGCTTGGTGAAGGATAGTAAGGGCCTTTTATATTCAAAGGGTCTCCGTTTACAGTTATATTTTTGTAGATGCCAGCTGAGATGTAGACCAGGGGGGATTGAAAATGCATTGTCAATGTAACCCATATAGACAAGGTATTGAACCCTGAATTCAGCTGTAAGAACCATGACGGGCAATGCCGGAAAAAGATTCGACCTTGGCTCGCTAAGAGTAACATCAACGAGGGTATTACTAGTTGGGTGACTGGTTGCTAATGCATGGAAGCGCTCTATGTGGATGTCAACAACAGCTGAGTTAACGAAGGATCAGGACCCGCTTAAGCAGGTAGCACGTCGTCATTTTTCCAGCTAACCGTTCACATGAGTAACAATTGTAGCTGAGAAGACAACTGGGATTTGTGGTATCAGCGAGCAATTAACCTGCAGTTCAAAAAAACATTTATCATCACCCGTTTACTTGACAGTAAATACCGACATATTCCTCTCAAAAGAAGAAAACTCGACATTTTTTATTAATAATATTGCGTAGTTTGGGTGGCTAGACACAGTCTTCCCGTTATTTTCGTCTGTGTTATCAAAATGGACTCAACACGAGTGCGCAGTTACAATTGCACCTCGAATGAAAACAGGGACGACTCAATTGGAAAGTTCCCCTTGTTGACTGATGGCTATTCTCCACCTTGCAGCAAATTCGAGTTGGAAACGAAACGCCACAACGTTTGTGTGGAAGGAGATCTCACGCCAGGAAACTTGTCAGAGTCCATTGTCATTTCAGCATGGGCATTGACCCTATCAATATATATTGGCACATCCAAAGTTTCCTTTCATGTCCTGCTCAAGGATGAATCCCAGTGGCGAACTTCGATATTCCATATAGATGCCAGTGAGAATCAGACACAGCAACAGTTCGTTCAGAAATCACACAGTTTGCTCCAGAAGCTTAAATCGGAGAGCATTTCGAATGAAGAAGTTGGAGACCGCGAGATTCTTGAACAACCAGTTAATACTGCAATTCTGATCGGTCATGTTTCGAGTAGAGCAGATTTATCAACCCTGAAATCTGTAAAGGTATTTCCATTTTCCCTCTACTGTTCAACATCGATAGTGGCTGACCAACGCACTTGAAGCAATTTATTACTCTAGATGCCATGGGCCCAACAGTAGGAACAGACTTCTGCCTGAGTTACCAGAACTTTATGCTTTCTGATAAGCAGGCAGTGAACGTCGGTTCCACGTTTGCGAAAATCTTGTCAGGTTTTATACGAATTTCCGATAGACCGCTTGGTTCTCTGGAATACATGAGTCAGCTGCACATTTCTCAGCTGTGGAAGTTCAATAGTGGCATTTCTAAAGAACCCTGGATGGAATGCTTCCATGCTGTCGTTGAGAGACATGCACGAGAAAATCCCCTATCTCAAGCAATCGATGCATGGGATGGGAGATTCACATACGCAGAACTGAATAATCTGTCAATTCTGCTAGCCAAATACCTTCAATCCCAAGGAGTTGGGCCCGGTAGTGTTGTTCCGATATCTTTTGAGCGTTCTGCGTGGGCGATCGTGGCTATGTTGAGCGTGTCAAAAGCTGGCGGCGCATTCGTGAGCATTCCGCCATACTTGCCATCTGGTAGAAGAGAAGCAATGGTTCAAATGATATCTCCGTCAATCTTATTGACAACATCAGATTTTTGTCACCTCTGGGCCACTGGACCAAAATGCATTCCGATAGAGGGCAGCCGTATATATTGTCTACCAACATCCGAACTGCCCCTAATAACAAAACCCAAACCGGAAGATACCTTTTATATAATTTTCACCAGCGGTTCAACAGGGGCCCCAAAAGGGTGTATGGTATCCCATTCGTCGTTCTTGAATGGAGCTTTAAGAAAAGCTCCAGAATGGAAATTTGGACCCAAGCGCCGTGTCCTTCAGATGCTAAGCCATACATTTGACATGAGCCTCCTTGAAATCTGTACTAGTTTAGGTTCTGGAGCATGTGTATGCGTACCCCGGACGGAGGAAATCGAAGATAGCCTTGCAAATGCAATTAACAAATATAACGTCAGTCTCGCAGTTATGACCCCGTCACTTGCCAGACAGTTAGAACCTGAAGCAGTACCTGGACTACAGGTTCTCTGCCTCGGAGGAGAATCATTTCCTAAAGACCTGGTCACACTGTGGTCTGAGCGAATCAACCTCTTTCAATTCTATGGCCCAAGTGAATGCTCAATCAATTCATCAACAAGAGCTATAACACACAAGAATACTGATCCATTGAATATTGGAGTTCCTAATAACGCAGCATGTTGGGTGGTATCCCCGGAAGACTACAACAAGCTCGTCCCTATTGGCGCCACCGGGGAGCTTTTGGTCTCTGGTGCTATTGTCGGCCAAGGGTATTATAAAAATCCTGTCAAGACTGCGGAATCATTTGTCCAGAACATCGCTTTTCTTCAAGGAGATCCTCACTACAGCGGCTGGCGCTGTTACAGGACTGGAGATTTAGTGCGATGGAACTCAGATGGGACGCTTGTCTTTTGTGGGCGTTTAGATAGCCAGGTAAAGCTCAATGGTCAACGCCTTGAGCTGGGTGAAGTTGAATACCATTTGACTCTCGAGGAAGAAGTCGGCCATGCAATGGCGATGGTTCCAAGGACAGGACGATGTAAGGATAATTTGATGGGGATAATATCCTTAAAGTCGTCACCTCCTGTCGACAGCAACGACGAAATATCAACTCTTCAAGGTGCCTTGGTTGATCAAAGTATACAATCCATCCAGAAACGATTACAAAATTCTCTTCCAAGGTATATGGTTCCAACTATATGGGCGTGTATCCTTAGGATGCCTATGTCTGCATCTGGAAAAATTGATCGTGTTAGAGTACGCCGATGGGTTGAAGAAATGTCAGAAAGCACATTTCGTGAGATAACTGGGGGTATACAACAACCTGAAGACAGGAAGCCTTTGAGTAAGATAGAACAGTTTGTCCAAAATATATGGAGTTCTGTTCTTGACTTGTCACCACAGGATGTTGGTCGTCATCAATCATTCATACAACTTGGTGGCAGTTCTATCCTAGCCCAAGAAGTTGTAGCAAAATGCAGGAAGGAAGGTATAGGGCTGACAATGACTGATATTTTGACTTGCAATGGTATTGCCGGAGCGGCATCCTTGACAACAGCACTTGGGAACAACGAGTCGCAGACAAGACTGCTTTCCTCCACTTCCACACCAGCGTGGCGAAAACTTCGAGAAAAGTACGATTTGTCTCGCCTAGGGGTTTCACATATAGAGGACATTGAAGATGTGTATCCTTGCACACCTATGCAAATAGGTATGTTCCTCGGCCAGATTCGAAAACCAGGCTCATATCATCTTCGATTCTTCTATAAACCGATTGTGAAGGGTGGTAAATTGCCAGAACTCGGAAAGATTAAATCAGCCTGGCACCAAGTTGTTTCTCACCATACCTCATTGCGTACAGTATTTGTGGACGACCTGGGAGTCGGTGCCGAGTACCATTCCGTTGTATTGCGCAACGCCCCGGTAGATGTGTGTATAGACGAAGTCCCAGCGAATCTTTCACCCTCTGAGGCTATGGAAACATTTACCAAGTCAATCAAACGATTTGCAAAGCGTTCAACGTTCCATAGAATATCCCTATGGGTATGTGGTGACAAGGTCACGTACCTCATGATAGAGGTATCCCATGCCTTAGTTGATGGTGCCGCCATGGAGAACCTGATGAGAGATTTTGCAACTGCCTTCGATGACGGACAGCTCCTTTACCAGCCACAGCCCTATCGAGAATTCGTAAAATATGTGGCTTCACAAAACAATGAGGCTAGTGCTAGGTACTGGACGACGTATCTCAAAGATTGCCCACCCTGCATGATACCCGTCAGTAAACAGATGATGTTTGACGACCTGCCCACTCGCTTCTTGAGAAAGGACTTCGTCTACGAGAAAAGCAGTGATTTTCTAGCCAAGTGCAAAGAAAGACAAATAACAGTGGCATCGGCTGTTCGGGTTGCTTGGGCATTGGTCCTCAGGGCATATATTGGGTCCAGTGACGTATGTTTCACTTATGTTGCTGCTGGTAGAGATGTACCCGTGAAAGATGTGAACAAAATGGTTGGACTATGCCTAAGCATACAGCCTTGTCGAGCGCAGCTCTGCACTGGCACAACGTTCGTATCTCTTGCAGAAAGAATGCAACAAGAATATATCGAAAGCATGCCATACCAACACTATCCTTTAACGGAACTAAAGGCGAGGTTATATCCAAGAGGCAGTGAGGCTATGTTCAACACGGCCGTTTCCATGGAGTGGACTGCTCGAACTGATCCATTTTATAACACTTCCATTGCATTCGAGGAGATTAGGGAGCAAGATGACCCGACAGAGGTAAGGTTCAATGCATTGAATTCCCCTAGACCATTACTGATGATGCAGTAGTATGATATTGTTGCCAACGTCGAAATTGTCGACAATATCATGAAGCTGGGCTTTTTATATTGGCCATCTTTCAGTGACATAGATGTGATACATATTGCAAATGCTTTTAAAAAGGCATTGGATCGTTTGCTGGACTCTGCGGATAAATCGGTGGAGGCCATCTCGTTGGATGGTGAGCATGTATTTCATGCCATGAAGTCTCCAGACCAGGAGTCACTGCATCACACAGAAACGTGTGTATTTGACGCTATAGAGAGACAAGCTATGGCACAGTTGAATACTCAAGCGGTGGTATCTTGGGATGGAGAATACTCCTATGGCCAGCTTACTAAATATTATACCACCTACGCAAAGTATCTTGTCGAGCAAGGAGTCAACAACGGAGATATCATTGTCGTATGTCTCGACAAATCTTGCTGGTCTGTCATAACAATATTGGCGATTCTGAAAGCAGGTGCCGTCTTTGTTGCCACAAATCCCCTTCATTCTCAGCAGCGACTCGAGAGTATAGTGAATCATTGCCAGGCAAAGCTCATCATCGTCGAGCCTAGATATTCCTCGCTTTTCGAGACGGTTGATACGCCAACAGTTGTAGTGAATAAGGAAACAGTAGAGAGGGCCCTACTTACAACAATACTTCCAACAATTCGTGACTCTGATATAGCGACGATCGTTTATACTTCGGGAACCACTGGGTTGCCAAAGGGAATTATAATCGATCACGGCTCCCTGTGCACAAGTGTGCTCCAAGGACATGGAAAACGCTATGGATTCGACGAAGAGACTCGTGCACTGCAATTTGCTGCTTTCACATTCGACGCTTGCTTGCAGGAAATCATTACCGTTCTATCTCATGGAGGATGTGTATGTGTTCCGTCAGAGGATGCGCGTTTATCAGATCTTGGAGGTTGCATAACCCAAATGCGAGTGAATTTAGCGCTCCTCACACCAACTGTCGCGAGACTCATTAGATCTCAGGATGTCCGCTGTCTGAAAAGGATGATATTGTGTGGAGAGCCAATGTCTCGCCAAGACCTAGAAGCATGGGCGCGAACGGTTACCCTCTACAATGGATACGGACCAGCTGAAGCAACTATCTGTGTCTCCATTAGCGGTCCTCTGGACGTTTCGGATGACCCTGCCAATATAGGATACGCTGTAGATGGAACAAGACTTTGGATAACCGAGGCAGCAGATTATAACCGTCTTGCCCCTGCCGGATGCATTGGAGAACTGGTCATTGAGTCACGTCAAGTCAGCCGAGGATATCTACACGATGTAGAGAAGACGAATGCCATGTTTATCAACCCTGCCTGGCTGCCGGGATGTAGGGTATATAAAACAGGTGATCTGGCAAAGAGAAACCCAGATGGAAGCCTAACATACTGTGGTCGCAAAGACACACAGGTTAAGCTACGTGGACAGCGAGTGGAGCTTGGAGAGGTTGAATACCATGTGTGCGAATGCTGGACAAATGCATCAGGGGTAGTAGCTGAGGTTATATACCCGACGGGAGAAGAGAAGGCGACATTAGCTGCATTCGTCTGCACTAGCGATGCACAAAACAATGCACTCGGTGATCTCGATGGACCCGAAGAACCCAAAACTGGGTTGTCTCCGGTTTGGGTATCAAAGGAGTTCATTGAGCAACTAGAAGATCGGCTGCCATGTTACATGGTTCCGTCCATATTTTTCACAATACCTTCCGTACCCCTCACCCCGAATGGAAAGACAGATCGCCAGCACCTCCGTGATATCGGTTCCAATTTTACTAGTGAACAGCTTGCCCGTGTAAGCGATCACCAGAATAATTCCAAACGTATGCCGTCAGAAGCCAGAGAACGGAAACTGCAGCAGTTGTGGAGTTTCGTTTTGAATATCGACAGGAGCCAAATAAGCTTAGACGATAGCTTCTTCCGCTTGGGTGGGGATTCAGTCTCAGCAATGAGGCTGGTAACAACTGCAAGGAAATCCGGTATTAACCTGACAGTAGCAGATGTATTCCGTCACCCTCATATCGATGAACAGGCCAGGATTGCATCTTCATCCTCCAACAATATTTTGAAGACTCTGATAGGCAAGCCGTTTGCACATATCCAGAGAAAGGACTTGGAGAGAGTTGTTTCTTTGGTGGGGCTTGGGCCCTACGCTAATATTGCGAGTGACATCGAAGATATCCTTCCAGCGACCGATTTACAGTCATTTTATGCCTCACGCGTAGCTGAAGCTTCAAGGGACGCATTAAATTATTTCTACCTGAGATTTGACAACACCCCTGATGTCACCAAGTTGCGTCACGCTTGTCAAAGCATTGTCGACCAATTTCCAATATTGCGTACAATATTCATACCGACCCAAGGCAGGACTTATCAAGTTGTCATTCGAAGGCTTCAGGTACCTTTAGAGATTCACAACAGCGTGAAGAACTTAAGCAAGGCAAGTGACCTATTTTGCCTCCAGGATCTAGAAAACAAAATCATTTCAGGCTCGCTATTCTTATCTTTCACACTGATTCGACATGCAATATCTGGGTCTCAACTTATCATCCGTATGTCCCACGCACAGTATGATGGCATGTCGTGGCCATTAATTCTTCGATGTTTCCAAGAATCATATGCTGGAGTTCCACGGAGCCCAACTCAGTCATTTTCAGGTTTCATCTCATACACCATTGGGAAAGTGAGTGAGTCAAGGAAATATTGGACAAATCTTCTCCAAGGGTCACATATGACGCAAGTTTCCGCTAGATTTATGATGGACACCCCCTTGCAAAGGGTGGAGAAAACCCATGTTGAAAAAACAGTGGAGTTGCCAATCCCGCCAAAGGGCGTCACTGTCGCGTCACTCGTGAGTTCAGCATGGTCACTTGTCCTCAGACAAATAACAGGCAAGAGGGACGTTGTATACGGGTTTGTCGTTGCTGGGCGAAACATCGGTATGCCACAGATACAAAAGGTTGTTGGCCCATGCATGAGCACAGTTCCTGTCAGAATATGTTTCAACTCTATGCGGACAACAATAGATCTCCAGCGCCATACAATGAATCAGTACTTTGCCATGGGAGATGCCGATTCTTTGGGTTTCCAGGATATTGTGGAGAACTGTACCCGATGGCCAAGCGGTACCAAGCTTGACACATTACTTCAGTATCATGACATTGACGAAACTCCAGTGGTTACATTGAGCGGTGGCCCGGATTCGGAACCCTGCAGTGCACAGCTAGACTGGTTCCGAAAACCATACGCCGCACCCACAAACATTGAGGTATCTGCTCGTCCAAATGGCAAAACACTTGGAATCACGGTCTCTAGTGATGGAAGTTTGCTAAGCACTGAGTCTGCCACGGCAATCCTGACAATGTTCGAAAGATCTATTAAAATACTTTCTAACGGTCGTGCAATTCCGTTGGATTCGATCAATCTTCTCGCTGTTGCAGCCCGCCGGAACCAACCCAAGATTCCCGATCTCTGTCCGCCAGCTTACTTAACATTTCAGCTGTTAAGTCTGATGCTTGGATCATGAATCTCCTATAATATCTATTTAGTAGAAGGGTGGTTTGTCTTTTGTTTGACGTTGTCGTTCACATGCAAGTTGGCTGAGGTTCAAACTTTTAGCACGTTTCCTCGCGCTAGAAACACATGACACCAGCTTATGTAAACCAATTGAGCTGACTAATTGCTAAGCGCGCGGTTGACAAATAGAATTATATTAGTGAAAAGGGAGTTCTTATTGGTCTAAATCGTTAATTGGTCGACAAGTGAGTTTAGAATGTATTCAGCTGATTATGACAATTTTCTGCACCGTACACACCCGCTAGTCATCGCTTATATACAAGTAGGTATGATTAACGTGGTATCATATTTCGCGAACCCATGCTCTGGCTCTGAGCCAAGGTCATATTAGGAAAATGATGACTTTTCTTATGCAAGGAGAGCTCAAGCCGAGTGCTCGCTCGCCTTCCTTGATGACACCGTGACCGAGGTAATATGGAGAGAAGAATCAGAGCCAACCACTACTATTAGAGTTAGTATGAAATCACAGAGCATACCACTAGTATTATTGTAGTTATCAAAGGCTTAAAGTATCCGATTCGACAATGCCCGTTGAGAGTCATATACCCATCCCTCGAAGAATTTCCTTCACTTGACTAGATAAGCATAGCAGAATTGACGCATAAGGTGGAAATAGTTGCTAACAGTCTAATGAAGGAGAGCACCAAAGATACTCATGGGTATATCGGGAGCAATATCACTCCTGGAAGCTACTTGTATCTGCGGGCAATGCGTCTAAGTGCTTGATGGAAACGCATACTCTGTACCGGCCAGTACTCATGCCAATCAATGTGATCCTCGTAATAGCCGAATTTCTGGAGATTTTTTCGCTTGTACCACTAACTAGCTAATCACAGCAAGAAGCAACACTTGGAATATTCCTTTATCAGCGTTAGGTGTGCTTACTAAGCTAGACAAGACGATGCCCCTGCAAAAAGGCGCGTTCTGGGCTTGCTGCACCTAGCCTACGGTGGAAAATTCCAGCCCCAAAGGACAACTAGCCAGGGTGAAACAGACTATTGACGAGCTGAGAGTGAGGCGCTCCCGTCACAGCCCCGGATCACGTGTAGTTAGGCCATTGGAGAGTGCCATATCGTTCCAGGCCATTTGATAATTGACGCCCTTGTTCGGGGAGAAAAGGTGTTTAATGCACCGCCGTTCCTGGCTCGCCCTCAGCTGGAAGTCTTTCAGGAAGGGTGACTTCACTCGCACCTGGGCAATGAGAAAATCAAGGCATTTGCCATAGCAGATAAACCCCTAAGCCTCTACGATGCTGTTTTACCAGTCAATTCTACTCCTCTGTTCCTGGGTTTCGGAAGGATGCCTCAATCAGCAAACTCCTCTGGATCTCGATTCTCGTTCCGTATACCACCCGAGTACTGCCTTCGAAGAGAAGGTGAGTTGGGCTTTGGAGCAGTTTAAAGTACCGGGCCTTGCAATATCGTTCATAAATGGCAGTAGAGTATTCACAAAAGTCAGCAATGTCCCTTTCACTTTTCTTCTACTCATTTCAACCTTATTCCGCAGTATCAAGGTCGAAATTTTGGCTGCTTAGATCTTCATAGGGGTATGGTGTTGCAGATCTTGCTTCCTCACAGCCGGTGTCAGAACACACCCTCTTCTTTGGTGGGAGTACAACGAAAGCCTTTACAGCAGCGTTGATATCAATTCTTGTGGACGACAACGAGAACTTCCCGGAGATACAATGGGACGCAACGGTTCACAGCATTATTCCAGACGATTTCACCCTGAGTGATCCATGGTTTACTACGCAAGTTACGGTCGAGGATATGCTCTCACACCGGTCTGGCATGCCACGCCATGACTGGGTCTGGTTTGCCAACATGACACTGCAGGAAGCTGTGAGGAAGATGAGGTACCTTCCACTTACATCGACTATCCGTACAAAGTTTAACTACTGCAACTTGATGTACATGGCTGCTGCTCATTTGATCGAGACTAAGACGGGGCAACTGTTTAAGGATGTACTGCGCGAGCGTATCCTAGAACCTCTAGGGATGACAGAAACATACGTTTCTTTGTCTGATGCCCAGGCTGCTGGTGGAGAAATGGCACGAGGTTACTTTCTCAATTCAACGGGACAGCTACAAGATACGGACTTATCGTTCCATGAGAGTATCAGAGGTGCAGGAAACATCATTACTTCAGCAGCGGATTATGCAAAGTGGGTTCAAGCAATGATACAACGAAGTCCGCCAATCTCACCTGCAGGGTATACTGCCATTCTGGGTGGACACACCATCATATCTCCAGAACCAATGGCTCCCGATACATCCCCGACCTTGTACGGGTTTGGATGGTTTTTGCGTACATATGCTGGAGAAGTGATATTTCAACACCCGGGTGGAATTGAAGGGTTTGGCAGCCTTGTGTGCTTCCTACCTAGAAAGAGGATTGGATTTGTTATCCTAGGCAACAATATGATAGGGACAAACGCGGCTGTCACATTGCTTGGAAACCATTTAATCGACGATATTCTCGGAATCCAGGAAAGACACCGTCCAAATTGGCGAAAGAGGTAATTTCATGCAATAACCTATCCACAAACCATATAAACGTCCAAAAGTACTTACCGATGTTGTAATTTTATAGAGCCGAAGCCACACTAGAGAACACCAAGATTTCTCCGCGAGTCTTGGATGATCTCTATCCACGTATCCCTAGTCCGCCTCTTCCTCCTCCGTTGAAACTATCAGAATACGAAGGAACCTATACACACCCTGCCTATCCAACGCTGAAAGTAACAACTGACTGCCCCAACCACTCACTTTTCCCTAAGGTGTCTGGCAAACGAAAGCTAGGGCCTCATCGTCTCTGTGCCAAACCCTTACACAGCGCGTTCGGCAGTTCGGCACTGGTTCTGGAACTCAGGCATGTCACGGGTGATTTCTGGGTAGTTGGGACGTTGATGTACGGTGCCACTTCAGCCACGAGGGGGAAATTCGTCCTGAGCCCAGAGGGAGCTATCAACCAGATTTCCATTGAGATGGAGCCGACCATGGCGTTAGAGCATAAGGGTATACATTGGAAGAAGACGACTTAGCCACACCGCTATCACTTCATGCTACATGCAAATGTACTGTGGAGGAGGCATATCAGCATATACTAAGTATTTAGCGGCCCTTGGGAAATATATAGCCTGGTTAACATTGGACAATGGTTTCGATAGCCAGATAATATACTCCATATTGAGTATCAGTTTAAATAGGATTCTCTGTATTTTCTAGATAGTTCAACTAACCAGGCCTACGGCAGGGAGAGCAGAGAGGCTTGGCCCGGTTATGGAGTAATTGTGGGGCTTTCTAACTAGTTATTGTGGCTTGACTGGGCAATCTTCAACTAGTTAACTACTCCGTAGTTAGTTTCTTTTATGTCACACCAAGTTGTTTCAACTTCCAACGCCCATCACACATCACAACGAAGCATCGTTTACTCCGCGGCTGCTCAATGGATGCCCGTATCCCAATTATCATAATACCAAAAATCAAGTCGAAAATCGTTATAAGATTCTCTTTTCGGGCGCGCCCTTAACACGTCTCGCCATCGCGGTTTCGCGGAATTCAGATCTCAGCCCTTGGGTCCCCAGGCCATTAACTACATGATCCCTCGCTGCAATTCAATAGAATGAGTGAATGTCCCTGTTCTTACACCATCTCAGAGATTGTGGAATCTAACAGAGAGCGTGAACCAACAATGTGCAAGAAGAACGAGGATAATATCGTGTCTACACAGCTCCATCTGGGCTACACGAGTTGGACTACAGGCTGAGCAAGTGGATTCATATAATAGCTCCATTTAGGATGGCCAAAATAGCCGGTGGACAAAACTGAGTGCTTTACCATATACCCGGCCATCCTCTTCAAAACATTATGATTTATGCAGCGCTTAATCAAGGCCAAAAATTTAATCCTTGCGCCTATACATAACTAACCAAGATTGCGGCTGCATATCTCTGACTCAAACACCGTCTGAAAAATGAGTGATACCCTGCTCAGTTCAAATAACATCTACGTCACAGTAACTCACGCTATAGCTCACTTAATTGGTTCAAACCTCCCGGACTTAAAGTCTCCTTGTTTCCATGGTTATTGGGACTACCCACCGATAGCCCTCTTTTGCACCAGAAATTACTGACGTAACTAACCCAATATTCAGTCTTAACACAAAGCTATCGCTCGCCAATATATTTCACACATCATCGTGAGTCACCGACGTGATGTGGCGCTCAATTTACAAGAGCAAAGACAAAAGCTAAATTGCCCCAAGCGAGATTTACCACTGCACGGTGACACTACGAGAAAATTTCAGCAAACCCTATGGTTGAGCCACGGCTTTACCTAACCCATTAACTAAGGAGTTATATCTAAGGCAGCTCGTTGCTAATAAAGTTATAACTTCGATTGTTGTTTGACTATTTGACTACTTATCAAACTGCCAACCCAAAAAGCGAGGAGTACGTCATTCCAAGCCTAGTCAATAGCAGAGTCAATGACGTCAAAGGCTCGAAAAGATGCATCAAGAGCGCAATCGCCCATTATGCCCAAAAAAATACATCTCACCATTTATTCATATCACTATATGGATCACCTACTACAGCTGTCACAAAACTACCGCCGAGAGAAATACAAGGACCAGAAAAGTACCACGAAAAAGACCTACCAAGATTTAACTCATTGACTTGCATCAAACCGTTGAACCAAAGAGGTAAGTAAGCGTATCAGCTCATGGAAAGAGAATATACCTCTTTATTAACTATTGTTTAACAGTAACAATGGACGCCTGCATCCGAATGATACTGCAGATACTCATGTTACTATGGCCTACGTTCTCAAGGACCACCGAATCCCAGGCTGCTCAACCTCAGGCTACTAAATCCCAGGCCACTAAATCCCAGGCCGCTAAATTCCAGGCCACTAAATCCCTGGCCGCTAAATCCCTGGCCGCTGAATTCCTGGACGCTGATTCCCTGGACGCTGATTCCCTGGACGCTGATTCTCTGGACGCTGAATCTCAGGTCATTAATAAATCCTTTCCCCGGAAAATTCTAGCGCCTATACATGCACTCCATGCCGATGCAATATATTGCATTGTTTCATTGCTGCCATCAGGTGACGCCGCTGCATTTGTTCTCGCATCCAAGTCCTTTTGGCAAGCTGCGGGTGGGCAAAGAGTCGTCAATAGACTGTCGAAACCTAGTGACAGTCGTATAGATTTCCTGGAGAGGATTGAAGCCCAATTTCCTGAGCATGTGCTCTGCTACCGTTGTCAGATATTCCATACCCAGTGCAAGAAAAAGCCCCTTTTAAAGCCAGGTCAATGCGATACAGAAACTGCCATTCATTTTTTCGGGCCTAGGGATGAAAGGAACATTCCGTGTCTGCTATATAGACAGGCGAAAGAGGTCATGAACCATTATCGGTTCGGCCCTACGCACGGTCGGTGCGCGGCCGCAGCTATGAATATCAACACCTTTTACTTGAAACCCCACGGTGAATACTGGTCAACTAAGGGTGTCTGGAATTTCGATATCAAGTTTATATCTAATAACTTGATTCTAAAAGAAGACGTATGGATTATGTATCGAGCATCGTTTCCACACGATGCATCTGACTATTTGAATGGCTTCAAGAAACACCTGCTGCCTGAAATTACGCTACGTAGCCAGGTGAGTGACTGTTACTACTGTTACCGATGTCCCTTAAGCCATTCGGAGAGAGAAATTCGAATCTCCCGTCTACGATATAAACCCAGTTGTATATTGATTCGAAGCACCACTTGGGAGAATCTCGGGGCCTGCAAAAACTCCAAAGGAAGCTTATGGGAGCATGGAACCGAGTTTTCTCCCTGCAATTTTGCCCGGGTTGCCATAGAACCTAGAGATCTCAAGTACAAACACCATTTCGACTCCGAATTGCCCTCTCGAGATTATCGGGGAAAGGAGATTGATTTTTGGTGATCTATTACAGACTGAAACTGTTTGCCGAAGAGTTCCCACTGACTCAAAGCGAAAACTCCTAACTACTACCTAGCAGCTATAGGCATGCTTCCATTGATCCCTCCTTTACGACCACTTCCCTCCTTACACCCGGCCCCCCTTTTTATCTTATATATCAGAGCAGACAACCCGCTTGCAGATAAAGACGAAATGACTGCTAATTGCAATCCCTCCTTCCCCAGCTTGGTCCCTTGAAAGGCAGGAGCATTTCATGACCTTCCAAGATATCAATCACTCCTTCTTGATGCTCATATTTACTAGGCAAACTCCCTGGCTCTTTCCTTTAAAATACTCCTCCTGTTCGTTCCTGCACTCTCAACTGGCCACTTCTTTCCTGTTGTCACCAAAGGCATAGTCGTGCCTTCCAGGATACCAGTCGATCCTTCTCATCAACCTGTGTTTATTGACTGACATCACAAATAAACAAAATATTGCCAGACATGGAAGGCACTCGATCGCCCTATAAATCTCTCTCCAAGTTCCCAAATTCTTCCTCTTCCTCCTCTTCTTCTTCTTCTCTCCTCCAACGGCGCTCATATCTATTCCTGTCGCTCCAATATAAATTACTACTGTATATAACACCGTTGACTCTCGTTTTTTTGTTTTTAACCTCCGTGATGGCTTGTCAGTGTAACCTCACCATGCTAGAAACGGCCGTGCGAAGAGGAACAGCCAAAGAAGCCATCGACTACCTGTCATGGCTCCTCTTCCCGGTCCTAACTGGGATAGTATTACATTACTTTCCCCAGTTAGACTCATGGGCACGCGACAAGCTTGCCAAGAGGACAGTCGAAGACGCCGAGAACCCTGAACCGGACCGGCAAACTGAAACCACCCGACCCGTTGCTCAGGGTGTCAACGCCTCCGGCCCTCTTTCTCAGGGGAGTGGGTCGGGGGTAACTCTAGAGAGCTTCATGACTGAGTGTCAAAGCTTCATAGATTCAGAAACGCAGGCGAGGGCCGAGTTACTGGAAACTTTGAACGGCATCAAGACGGCGCTCCAAGCCCGTCAACACTCTGGTCATCCCGTGGCTAGCCCGGTGGCAGCCCCTGAAACTACAGCCGCTGACGCTGGAACCTCAACCACTGAGGATCAGGCTCCTGAGGAGGTTAGACCCCCAGATGCTGCAGACCCAGTGCCTGTCAATCTTGAGGTTCCAGCTCCAGAGGTTGTAGCCGAAGGGGTGGTGAACCCAAAGCCGACAATTTGTTGCTGCCCTAGAGCGAGGGCCCCTCGATGTGGAAAGGTGGTATCTCGCCGGATCAAGAGGTTCATCCGCGGGATCCTGCGGTCTGGGGAAAGGTGATCGGCGTTTTTTTGGGCGTTCTGTTTTTATATTTCTTAGCAATGTATTTTTTACCCCCCATGTAAATAGCCTCGGTCGAAAGCTCACATCTCTTCGTGGTGGCCGAGACGAGTAGTTAACGACCAGGTAACTTTCCCTGGCCGTTGATGAAACCAAGATGAGCTGCCTTGAACTAGCTGACCTACACCATAATTAACTAATTCACTGATCATTCGAATTGGGCTTGGATGTACTGCGTAGACTTACCCTCTTTTTAAGAACATCCAATTAATTATCAGTAATTTGTCATAGTAGACCGTTAATGTTGCTAAGGTAATGTCAGGATATATGTACAAGCCATCTACTCGCTATATTCGGCTTGGCCTTTAGCCTCGCACATCAGACAACTAAGTAGCCGAACATCATCCTCCTATTGACAGGTAATCATAGCGTTCATTGACCCAGGGTAAAGATGTGTTATTTTTGCAAAGCAACTATTAAAATCGCCCTTTCCTGGAAGACTGATTCACTAGATGCTCATTTCACCTGTTTAGCATGTTAGGAGGGTGAACCTCTGCTTTTGAAAAAGACTGTGTGCTACTTGAGTCTCAAATCGACGACTGTACGCGATAAAATTAAAGTTCATCTAACTATGTAGTTAACGTAACTAAGGGATTCCATTTTAAAGTAAAACAAGCTCATTTTTACTTTTGTAATTTGACCAATCAAAAAGAATACTTTTGCTTATTTGTGATCTCCTCGCTGACTTATATTATGCACACATTATTGGTTAGAGAATTTGTCGGCTGTGTACGACGCTAATCCGTTCTGGAACTGCTTAGTCATTCATTTTGTCGCTCAGATGCCATTGACATGCAGGCTGCTGGCCGCCCCCAGGTGCCACTCTCTTACTTCAACGTCTCAACCAGAGGAGAGGTGTCCAGCGATAAAGTTAGGATTTATCCAATGGAAGAGATTTTCTTTTAAAGTGAACTCATCGGAGCTGAAATGTGACCAATCATTAGGGGTAATTTTAGGTTAAGGTGGCGTCCCCACTGAAATAGCCATATTACTCATTTATTATTGGCTAAAATATTCGTTAGCTTCAACAACATGATTACGCTAAACCGTTTCTGGACCTGCTTAGTCATTGTTTCATATTTGTCCCGTCGACGACTTCACAGCCAATCGACAACATATCAAGTTGGAGATACATTTGATCCTCCAGAACTCACCCCACAAACAAGGAATAATAAACGATTTCTGCACTTTAGTGGATTCTGCACTTTGACGTCATGAAAGTTGTTTTTCGACGCCTTCGTATTTGCCGGCATATGATACCCCATGTCAAGTTTGGAAGATAAGATCTGCTAACCGATGTCAAGGCTCTTACTGGACCATTCCACGATGGTCCCATCACAGGGTTGCTGAATCCCCCTTGCCTAGTGACAAGGGCCACAAAGCTTCTTACAGTTAGACATCCAGTGAGATTGCGATATTTCACGAGGAACTCCCAACTGTGAAGCCAAAACAACCAGGGATATCGGCGCTTGAAGGTGCATGTCAACCAGCCGCCAGTATCAAAGGCCGTGCTGCTGCTATTCTTATTCCCACCCCTGCCTCAGGAATTTGCTGGACAGAAGGAATACCAGGAACTGTGGCAATCTATAGGCTCCGGGCCCTCCAGTCAGCGAGTCCCAAGTTCCACGACGGCTGATCCCGTCAGGCCCTCTTGGCCAAAAGTGAGCCAAAGATCTGAAGCAGAAACACTGTTGTCTTTGGCCGAACCGCCCGGAAGGACAGGGTTTGGAGAGCCGGTTGCCTATCATGGTGGCCACTGTGCAGTTAACATGGGGTTTATGACACGTTAGGGGCAATGGGCTGCATATCAACTTCATCTTTGTGCAGTTGCAGCGCTATCTACAACAACTGAGACCGAAAGCTGCAGATTTGCCTGTCTACCCTGCCAGAAGGAAGGATTCGGGCGCGTAAGTCTGATGGAATATCGCCATCCACCAGACATAAAAGGAACATGTCTCCCTCAGTGATTTCGGCCCTTTTCTCTTGTTCAGCATAGCGATCTTTTCCATTCTTGCCGTACATTTTCAAAAAGTCTTTCCTTCTTTCCTCTCTTTCCACCACTCTTTCAATTCTATACACTCCTTACAAGCGAAGTTGATCTTCCGTCATCTGCCAATATGCGTGCCTCTACATTCACTCTCTATGCCCTTTGCGCAGCTGGATCTGCCATGGCCCACATGGAAATGCAGTGGCCATATGCCCTGAGAAGCAAGTTCAACAAGGGTATGAATGGCCATCTTCCTGCTCTGATTGACCGAGATGTGCACGGTGCTAATAATGTTTATAGAGAACACCAACCCTGACTGGTCCATGACTGGCCCTCTGAACCCTTCGGGTAAGCTCGACCCAATTGACACATTCATGAAGCGTGCGGATACTAATGGCTCCCTATAGGAGCCGACTTCCCTTGCAAAGGTTACCACAAGGACCCATTCAAGTCTGTTGCTACCTACGAGGCCGGCCAAGAGTACAACTTGACACTTGCTGGAAACACCCGCCACGACGGAGGATCCTGCCAGGTCTCTCTCAGCTACGACAACGGCAAGACCTTCAAGGTTATCAACTCCTATCTCGGCGGCTGCCCCATGAAGGATACCTACAACTTCAACATCCCAGCCAACGCACCGTCAGGAAAGGCTCTCCTTGCATGGTCTTGGTTCAACCTCGTCGGAAACCGTGAGATGTACATGAACTGTGCCCAGGTCACTGTTGACAGCAAGAGCGCCTCCACCACTCAGTTCAACTCTCTCCCTGACATGTTTGTTGCCAATGTTGGAAATGGCTGCACTACCGTCGAGGGACAGGATATTGTTTTCGAGGACCCCGGAAAGAAAGTGCAGTATGCGGACGGCGTGACTGCACAGACCCAGGTGTCCCCGAAATGCCCCAAGAAGAGCGCAAAGAGGTCTGAGAAGTGCGGTGGCACTCACTCTGCTAAGTTCAGAGTCTAAGAATCCACGTTTCTGCGCTATTTACATGCCTTTACGGATTCAAATTCGGAAGGCCTGTATATTACGAGCACATTGGAATGATGACGGTTTCATTCTTTTGACCATCGCCCTCTGGTAGGGCCATGCCTTTTTTACCCATCCCCATTTGACTTATGATTTTCACGCTCACCTGGTTCGGTGTTGCATACGCTCGTTTACAGTATTGGAGTTTTTTGTTTATGGAAAACATTGTGTATATACTTCTGTCGCTATCGCTCGAATATATGATCAAATCTTCACGTACTGCTGCCGTGCTAGGTGTAACATTCAGGAATTATATATATCACTCTCTGAAGCATACATCTGAATACCATGCTTCTCTCCTGACTTGCTCGGTTACTTGTTACGAGATAACCGAACTACCCGGCACTAGTTCGTACCTTGGCCTTTGAACTAGTTAGTTAAGGTCTGGAAAGGCGCAGAGCCCCTGGTGATCTAGGTACAAAATAATCTGATATAAAACCGGGATGAGCCCCGCGTTTCCACCCTTTGTACAGGACAAAAACCAAGTGGCCAGGACTTTAGAAGCCAATATCACCATTTCATACTCCAAGAGTAAAGCGAAATATGGAACGGAATCATTTAAAAGACGGCGTTGGCATACAGGTCGACGATAGTCACTCAAAGGAACTCTGGGATACGGCACTCAATCCCCCCAGCCGTAGTGTTCTCCCTCCAGCAGCATCACTGGCGCACTCGCGCTCATCCATCATTACTGAACTCTCTCATACTGGTCAAGGATACACTCAAACCAAGGACCATTTGTTCAATGATATCATCCCCGGGTTGAATGACTCTGCAATCAATGCAAATTACTATGGCTTTGTAACCGGCGGAGTGACTCCTGCAGCTTTATTAGCCGACAACGTTGTCTCTGTCTATGACCAAAACGTCTGCGTTCATCTTGTCGACCACTCGGTTGCAACAGACGTGGATTATGCTGCCCTTTGCCTGTTAAAGGATTTATTCGGGCTTAAGAGGGACGAATGGCCCCATGGGATATTTACTACCGGTGCCACTGCTAGCAATTTGGTTGGTCTAGCGTGTGGAAGAGAGTACGTCTTACGAAAGGCAGCTCAAAAACGAGGTACCAGTGGAAATATCGCTTCCGGCAACATTACAGATAGTGTGGGCGAGTATGGTATGCCTGCAGTTCTTGAAGCAGCGGGCCTGAAGGGTCTTCAGGTATTGTCTACCATGCCACATTCTTCTGTGGGAAAGGTTGCCGGTATCTTAGGAATTGGTAGGGCAAATGTCAAGTCCATAATATCAAAAACTGGCGAATCTCACGGACAGCCATTGGAGTTTGACTTTGAACTGTTTGAAAAGGAGTTGGCAAGGGATGGTTTTGCTTCAATCGTGTCTATTTCCTGCGGAGAAGTCAATACCGGACGCTTTGCAACCAAGGGAATAGACGAGTTCAGGCGTGTACGGGAACTATGTGATAAGTACAATGCATGGCTTCATGTTGATGCTGCGTTCGGGATGTTTGGGCGTGTCCTTGATGATAGCCCGGAGTTCGAAATTATCAAGAAAGGTAGTGAAGGGATTGAACTTGCGGATTCAATTACTGGGGACGGGCATAAACTACTGAATGTCCCATACGACTGCGGATTCTTTTTCTCTCGCCACGGAGATGTTGCAGAGGAGGTCTTTAGAAATCCTAATGCCGTCTACCTCTCGTCTTCATCCGGAGAGCATATACCAACACCCCTCAATATAGGCGTGGAGAATTCAAGGCGATTCAGGGCCTTGCCTGTCTACTCGACTCTTGTTGCATATGGCAAAGACGGTTATAGAGCCATGGTGGAGAAACAAATTCGGCTTGCCAGGCTGGTTACCGACTGGCTCCACGAGCATCCCAAATACACGATTCTCGGAGGTGGAGCTTCAAAAGAAGACTTGATCGCTGCCACATACGTTATAGTTCTATTTAGAGCCAAAGATGAAGCACTCAATGCCAGGCTGGCTAGTGCAATAAATGGTACTGGCAAGATGTTTGTCTCTGGGACTAAGTGGGCTGGGGAGCCTGCATGTCGGGTTGCAATTTCGAACTGGAAAGTACAAGTTGAGAGAGATTTCACCTTGATTAAGGAGGTTCTTGATGAAGTTTCTAGATAGGTTATGCCAATGAATATATGAGGGATGGAAAATATATTATGAACTTTTTTTATATTGGTTATGGACTGTACCATTCTATAGATCATCTCCGTCTCGGCCCTGAATCACCCCGAGTAGCCATACTAACCACTTCACCAATTCCCGCCTCTGCTTGCTCATCTTCGAGGGCCGTAATCTCCTCGCGGCAATCCCACCATTTCTCTTCAGCAAAGTCAAACGCAACCTTCCGGAGTTCCTTGACTGACATTTCGGCGCCACTATCTTTCTCCCTCAGTTTTGCCAGAACAATGTCTTGCCATTCTGTCGAACTTCTGCTGTAGAACTCGCGCAAACTCTCAAATGGTCGTGGGTGCGGTCGAGAGTCGACTACAGTTGGTTCTGGCTCCTCTTCCTTCTCGGCCTCACCCTCGATGGATGTAGGCTCTGTAATTTCAGTTGCAACTGTAGAAGGAGCAGTAATAGATGAGGTTTCTTCTATGTTCTCATCTTCATCACCCTCGTCATCATCCTCGTCATCTTCATCTTCTTCATCTTCACTATCTGGGACAATCGCATCGTTCCAGTGTTCAGGTTCTTCATAGAATATTTCTCTCACACCATCCATCTTGAGTAAGTCGATGGAATACATATCACAAAGCGTGAATTCTTGATCTCCTCTTTCAAAAGTGCCACCGTACATAAACAGGGTATCTTCCTGGACAGTAAGTTGTGCGTTAAACCGGCGATGCGGCATCTCAAACCGGATAGGTAGTGATTTCTTCCCCGTGGTTTCGGGTATATCTTCATCCTTCTCGTCTGTTTCCGGTAGCAAGTCTGCTTCAGCTTTTGATGGGTTGGCCTTAGCCTCTAACAGTGCTAAATTACGAAGTAACTCTTCCTCATCTGCTTTCCCCTTATTGCGTGACTTTATGGCCCTCTCAGTAGCTTGCTGTTTTTTAATCCCTGATTTCGGAGCTCGGAGAGGAAGAGGAAAGAACCTGTTTCTCTCAATATTCCACGCAAAAAGGTTATCAAAGAACTCGCTTTCTATACCTTCCTCTGTTGCCTCAACATCATGGACGCCTCCAAAAAAGATACCTCGCCCTTTATGGAATGCCATGGTAACACCCGCGCGCGGGGGGTTTGGGGCATTGACCGGCCGTTTCCTTTTCTCCCATCGGATGGTTGGTGAAGCAGTAGATGGTGCATCTGGTGGGGGAGGGGTTACCCGTAAAAACCAGGTATCTTGGTGGATCATTGGTTTAAGCACTGAGCGTTGAGCACTACTGCCGCCACCTTTTTGTCCTTTGTTCGCTTTGGTTGCTGCTTTCACACGGGAGTATCCACCAAAGAGCACGGCGCCTGACTCGTGTGGAAGAAAAGAAAAGGACGACCGGGCATCAGGCTTTTGCGTTGCCGGTGGCAATGCAGGGTTGTACCAGGTAAACTTTTGGCAGTCATAGAGCCAAACATCTTGCAAGTACTTCGTTTGTTGCGAGGTATCTTGGAAACCGCCAAATAGTATGATGTAGTTCTAAACTCGAATATTAGCAAGGCATTATAGAGCTAAGGCGGTAGGTATACTTAAATCACATACCTTATAATATGTCATTCTATGCCCACTTCGAGCTGGAGGGCCTTTACTTTTGGTCTCTATACGAGTCCATTCCCTAGTAGACGGATCGAGGTGCCAAAAGTCATTGTAATGGTAGAATGTTCCTTGCTTAGGCGATGAGAATTCTCCTGTTTAAAAATGCAATTGTCCATGATGAAACATAGTTAGATATCATTTTTAAGAGTAGAGGTACTATGAGATTGAAAATAGTTGCCCTACCTCCAAAGAGGTATATTCCTCCCGCGTTCCCTCCACGACACCATGCATGTCCACTCCTGGGAAGCGGGCTGTTCGGGCTGGTAACAACCCTCCATTCATTCTTCTCAATTAGATATACATATAAATTGTTGTAGAATGTAGCCAGCGACCCATCAAAGTACTCTCCGCCAAATAGGAAAATCTCCCCTCGATTTGATGGTGAAGCAATGATGGTTGAAGAAGAGCGGGGTGATGGCGTGCCGCTCGCAACTTCAGTGACTTTTAGAAACTTGGCCTGCTCTTCAGCATAAGCAGCTAGAACAGCATCAAGGTCAACGTCTTCTGCATCGCTGTCATCATTCAAGCCCTTGGCTTTAGCCTTCTTCTCCTTTTGAGATGCTTTCTTTGATTGCTTTGCGGCAGCTCGGGCTTTCTGCTCCGCCTTTTTGGCCTTTTTATCTTTTGCCATGGTGGTAGAGTAACGTCTCTACGAATCAAGTGACACGTATATCTACCTGATTCGAATACCAAAAAAGAAGAAAACAAAACACCCTCAACCCCTCGATGCTTCGATGGCTTCTTGTGATAATCAATTGTGTGAAGTTCGAAGGCTTGATTTCATTGGACGAGATGGAAAAGTAAAAACTATGACTAATGGCTTTGATTATGTAATGTTATGCTTAGTCATACACATGGGAATATATTTATTCCGAATTACGTAAACTTCCATTGTCACATGATTTCCTTAATTTAATATCACGTGACAGGCGCGTCTATCGCGACATCTCGAGTTGATGTTAAATTGATAAAAACACTGACGACAACAACAACTTGAAAGCATGGGAAACCTAGAAAGTTACGAGATATGACAGGCATCTATGACAAAGAACAATTTAAAGGCTCACCTGGCCTGGCTTTTGGAGCGTCCTAACCCACTCGACGATTTTGTGATTCCCCAAGTGACGCTCGATTCGCAGGTTGCGTTAGCCGATTCCGCGAGCACTGAGCCGACGACTTATATCGAGCCAGAGCTTGGCCAAAGACCATCTACTGCATTACACATAGAAGAAGTTTCATCCGCTCCGCGGGCTGCTGCTCCTGGTAATGATGATGTGTCGACTGATAATACAATGGCCGTACTCCAGCTCGCATCTCCCCCACCACGCAATAGGCTACACAGTACACTAAGCGCCAAATGCTCAATCGATGTACCAGGAACTCCGGCAGAAAGGAATTCCAAGAAACGGCCCCTGTATAGAACCGAGTCAGAGACGCCAAAGACAAGAAGTGTGTCCTGAAATCCGAAGATGAAATACATTGATAATAAGCTAATATGGTAACTAGTAAAACAACGAAGCCTAACAAGCATAACTCCCCCAACCAGTAGCAACAGCTCAAGGCTTGCGAGAAAAGCTGGAATATCTGGTTCAGTCCTAAAGCAAGAGGAAATTGAGTCTGTTGATCTCACGAAAGATGCTGAACGCAATCTATCTTCTTCAGGCTCCGCGTCAACCTTCGGAGAACCTCGGCGATTATGGAGAGAGGACTATGCATCTCGTTCGGGGCCACATAGTAGTAGCAGCGAGAAGAAGAAAAGGCGGAAAACCCCCGATTCGGAGGATGACTTCTATCCTCAAAAAAAGCACTCTTCCCCATCCCCCATAGTTCGGCAATTGAAAAGGGAGAAAATACGGCCTGAAAAGGCCAAGACCCCAGTTGCGCAACGAGTCATCAATGACTCTGAAGATGATGGTGTTTATCTTGACATGATGGAAGAAGATACCTTCTACCCTCGCCTGTCTCAAGGAAAGGAAAGCACGGAGGCTTCCAAGAAGATAAATGAGCGTAATGCCATATCAAAACCAAAGCTTGATGTTTCACAATCATCATCAATTGCACAGCCTCCTAAAGGAACCCAAGCACACCCTCTTCATCCCTCTACTCCTGCAAACCCCCTCCCTAGTGAGAGGGCAGATGCACTGATAACGAGATACCTGAACACACCTCCAACATCTTTTCGTCGAATAATTAATACCCTCAATAACGACAGGACAATAAAGGCAAAATCTGCCTATGACCTGATCTTGGAAGGGATTGACAGTCAGGATAAGATGAAGGAAGTCAGGATTCTGGCCTCCCGTATAAAAGCCATGGAAGAACTTCAAGAATTACATTCCGATTTCTGTTCCTCCAAAATGAATCATGACAAGTTGAAGTCAGCCCTAATAGCCTCCATTGAACAGATGGGCGATATTCCTGACAGCTTCAAGGTTACTGAGATCAGGGAGTCAGCCCAACGGCTACAGGAGAAGGAAGCGAAAATAGTTTCCTTGATACAGGAGTCAGAAATGTTTAAAGGGCAGAGTTGTGATATTTCGACGACAGATAGAGATTCGTTTGCAAAAGCGGATCAAGAACCAGATTCCTTTTCTCAGGTCAAATCAACTGTAGTACCACAGGCTTCCACCAGTGAGGATGAGAGCCGTCATCATACTTCTGCCATACCAAGGCCCAATGATACAATATCATTCCCTAGCAACCACACTGGTGGAACGAGAAAAAATGATATCATGCGTCCTCCAGTACCCGAGACACGGTGGTCACAAGAGTTCCCTTCTGCTCCACGTAATGTCAAGAGCCCCCTAAGTAGTTGGGATACCCAATTTGACGATGCCGAGGATTTTGTCGATATGCTTGACGATGACCCTCCTTATTCTAGAACCATGGACGCTCCATGTGGCCTGGCAACAACGGCAACTGCAGTTGACTCCGACTTCGATGATCGATCTGCCTCCAATCCATATGATGAACTTGAGGACTTTTTTGATTCTCCTAATTCCAAGCCCGCTCCGTCTGCTCCTGCTCCGCCTGAATCCCACTCTCAATTCCCTAATAGGGAGGTGTTCCGTGAAACGTCCGGAAATCAGTCAAAACCGCCGTCGGTGAAACATCTCAGTCAAAAGGATGTTGGCCAGATAAGCTCAGTGGAAGGCCATCCCTGGAGCAAGGACGTCAAATCTGCCATGAGAGAAACATTCAAACTACGCGGCTTCCGCCCCAATCAACTCGAAGCTATCAATTCTACCCTCAGTGGCAAAGATACCTTTGTTTTAATGCCTACAGGAGGTGGTAAATCTCTTTGTTATCAACTGCCATCTATAATACGAACTGGGAAAACGAAAGGAGTTACTATAGTGATTTCTCCTTTACTAAGTCTAATGCAAGATCAAGTTGCCCATCTTCAAAAACTCAATGTGAAAGCCTTCTTGATAAACGGAGATGTGTCAAAGGATGAACGAGCTACGATTATGAACAATCTCCGGAGCCTCCGAGCCGACTCACTTATTCAATTGCTCTACGTTACACCCGAAATGCTTGCCAAAAGCCGTGCCATGGAAAGCGTATTGCTTCAACTCCATAGTAATGATAAGCTTGCTCGCATAGTTATTGATGAAGCTCACTGTGTCAGTCAGTGGGGCCATGACTTCCGACCAGATTATACTGCGCTGGGTACGATGAGAGAAAAGTATTCCGGTGTCCCAGTAATGGCATTGACTGCCACGGCAACCCCAAATGTCCAAGTTGACGTTATACACAACTTGCGGATGAAGGGGTGTGAAGTTTTTACTCAATCGTTTAACCGCCCAAATCTGACGTACGAAGTGCGAAAGAAGGGAAGAGCCCAAGATGCGCTCAAAGATATCGCCGATCTTATTACAAATGATTACCCTGAGAAATGTGGAATAATATACTGCCTCTCGAGAAAAACTTGCGAAAGGGTAGCTATGCAGCTCTCCTCCAAATTTGGCGTCAAGGCGGCTCATTACCATGCCGGGCTGAGCTCAAAGGACCGGTTTACAGTTCAAAGAGATTGGCAGTCAGGAAAACATAATGTTATCGTTGCGACAATCGCTTTCGGGATGGGGATAGATAAGGCTGATGTGCGCTTTGTTATTCACCACTCAATTCCACAGAGCCTGGAAGGGTATTACCAGGAAACTGGTCGGGCTGGTAGAGATGGCAAACGATCTGAATGCTATCTTTACTACGCCTACTATGATTCTACTTCGATAGGTTACATGATCAAGAAAAACAAGGAGACTACCCATGAACAAAAACAACGCCAACGACAGATGCTACGTCACGTCACCCAGTTTTGTGAAAACATCACGGATTGCAGACGTGCTCAAATTCTCGCATATTTTGACGAGAAATTCAAACGAGAAGACTGTAACAGGACATGTGATAACTGCAAATCTGACTTCACATTTGAAATCCGTGACTTTACGCAGCATGCTGCTGCTGCTGTTAGGCTTGTTGAAAATCTGGAAAGCGCGAAAGTGACAGTCCTGGCGTGTGTAGATGCCTTCAGAGGTTATCCACGCCAGTCAGAGTTCTCTCAACTTCCAGAATTTGGATATGGGAGTGAACTTGAACGTGGCGATGTTGAACGATTGTTTAGACATCTCCTTTATGAAGATGCGATTGAAGAACACAACGTACCAAATCAACGAGGATTCGCTGTTCAGCACGTCAAGCTGGGACGAAATGCTCAACGGTTCAAGACTGGTCGGCACAAGACGGAGCTGCCGATACGTATCACTCCTGGCAAAGCAACTACTACCCGACGGGCTGACACGAACTTTACTGGTGTTCGAGTCGCTAGAGATGATCAGCCAGAATCCACCAATGTGTCTTCGCCAATTCGAGGCCCATCTCATTTGCGCATGCAAGATCGGAGAAGTAGCAAGGTGCAAACAGAAGATGATGAAGATGACGACGATAGTGATGGTTTTGCCCCTATTCGTGATGCAAGAAACCCAGGCAGTCCATCAAGATCGCGTCACTCACAGCTTGGCCCTAGAATAACAGATGATGGAAGCCGTTCTGGCCTGAGCGATCTTCGTGAAATGGTTCTAGACGATTTTTTGCTGAGGGCAAAAGGGAAATGTGAACAGGTATGCCCCCTCCCTCAAAAAAAAAAAAAAAAAAAAAAAAAAAAAAAAAATCCTTGGCTAACTTCAGATTATAGATCAAGATGGAGAAAGGTCTTCGGGAACAACCATTCCCAGATGCTATCCTCCGAGAAATGGGCATTCGTCTTCCTTCTAGTATGCATTTCCCTCAAATTCTTACATCAGCGGATAGATTTATTGACTTGATTAATTAGCTCTCAGTGAACTTTCACGAATTCGTAACATTGATCCTGACAAAGTTGAGCGGTACGGCTCAAAGTTCTTAAAACTTATTGCTAGGTCAAAAAAGTATTACGAAGATATAGCCGGAGGCCAGGAACAAGGCGAAGATGTTCACGATCCCAACCACGAAAATGTTGTTACTATAAGTAGCGACGACGAGATATATGGTGACTGGACTGAGGATGAACTAAACTATGCAGATGAAGCTCAGAATCACAGCCCCTACTTCCCAGATGACACAGCCTCATCCTTTAAGGCAAAAGGTTCGTTATCGCCTTATCCATAAGTTCTCGCGGTATCTAACTTCAGCCTCAAAAGTTTCTGAATATGAGTTCTCTAATGCGGGGTCATCACGGCAAGCAAGCCATTCGAAATCAAATTCAACCCAACATCCCACACCACGGCAGGCCAATTCCAAACGCTCTCGTCCTCCCAAAGCAGCCCGCGGAAATAAACCCTCTGGGGCTAGGTTTAATAAGAAGTCTCAAAGTTCTAGGCCTGCAAAGAGAAAATCCTCACCCACTACTTCAAGATCTCGAAGTAGCTCTAAACCAGCAAATACTCGTGGCCCATCTATTGGAATGATGCCAACATGAGTATCCTTTTTCACCCGGATCATAATTTTTTCTTGTTTAGACACAACCCTTCCCTTCATAATACCATGCATTCTTGTGTTGGCACCGTATAATACCCACATTAATAGATCCAGGTATGGGTACAATTCTACGTGAATATTTATTATTTACCTTTCTATGACTGTGAGATAAAGTATGTGGTATAGCGATATTACGAAAATAATGGAGTGTGGATGACTATATCCGAATGATCTGGTGTGCCTGAAAAATTACTACATATCGCGTACTCGACTCTGCACGAGGTATCTCCACACCTTCAGAATACCTGATTGCAGGTTAGCATCGTTTCCGTCCAACTAATTGTAGGCCGCTTGGTATGAGGAGATAGGAAAAACGTACTGCGCCACCAATTATAAAAAGCCGTTCTTGCTCTCGTTGAGCCCAGAATGCGATTTTATTTGCGCCCTGGGATAAAGCGTTTCGATTGGAGTTTGGCGATGCCACACAGTAGAGTTCAAATGTTGGCGTTACCCAGGCAAGTGAGTTGAAAGAAGATGAGACACAGTATTGTACCTTGACATTTGCAGGTTTTCCATGAACGCTTAGATGAAGTGAATGGTAAGCCGACATAAGCCTGTATTATTATGGTCAGCATTATTGGCATCATATAATTGATTGTTGAATCAGGGAGAGCAAATACCGTCGACGATCTAGTATTGACATAAACTCGGGAGAGTAGGATGACATGGTGAACTGGACATTCGCTTTTGATTTGTATAAAAAGTGCCGGACCACGGTGCCGGGGACGATGTCAGTAGGAGCCGGTCGCCCCTGTTCTAGAGCTGCTCTGAGAACTTCCATGCTTCCGTTCTTTTCCATTTGCTAGAGATGATGTTAATTTTTAAATCGTTGTTAGAACTCCCTCGGTTTTACGAAGCCTTACCTCAACAAGAGAATCACGCATTTCGTGCAAAGTATAAAAGCTCTCTTTATTGGGGCTTATCAAGATGATCGCCACGACATCATCCTTTTTCATTTCTTCTGCACTCTTATCGGCTTCTCGATCCCTCTGGACGTCAAGAAAGCTCACGTACATGTACAGGTAACCTCTGTTATTGAAACCAGGCAGGCATATGGGGATCCAGCTTTCCCCACCACCGGCCTTGACCCCATCTGCTTCGAAGATCATGTTGAAGATTAGCTGGAGGTCTCCTGGATGAAGAGAGTGCTTCTTTGGCCTAACAACGCTCACAAGTCTCCCACCAGCAACCAGCAAGCCGTAAAGAAGAGGTTCAACTCTAGCTTTGAGGAAGGTGTTGCTGATAACCTGGCGGTGAGACTTCCGAATTTTTAACGATTCTAAAGCGCCCAATAGAGTAGAAGGGGAGCCTTTTGTGAAACTATCGGCAAGTGAGGACAAAAGCGATTCAGTCCCTTGGAGCGGCCGCCGTAAGTCTGAGCTTGGTCTAACAGCAAATATATGGTCAAGGGCGGGAAGCGTCAGTGTCGACAGTATTTGCATGTACAAAGCTTCGAGCTGGGCTCTTAAGTGAGCCTGGCCTTCAAGCAATGAGCTGATGGCCACGAGATACAAGGGGCCCTGAGAGAGGATCACGATTTGTGTCTTCCCGGCGGAAAAGCTTTTGAGAGGACCCCCCGACTGTTGGTAGAACGAAATGATGGTTTGAATAATACCAATAAATGGGGATATCAATCCACTATCTCCGTGGCGGGTATATATAGGTTTCCCGGCTGAGGAGAGTATGAAAAAATGTTTCTTCTTCCTCCTCCACTTTTCGAGTTTTTCCTCTGTCTATGTTAGCTCTGCAAAGGTTAGGTAAACAGGGAGTCATTGGTATACCTTCGTTCTCTCCCTCATTCGAGTTGTCAACTGAATCAAACTCATCCTCAAACTCAACAGCGATATCATCTTCTCGAGACTGTGCATTGAAAATAGACTGTTTTTCTCCAGGCTTCATTGATGCGTTTCTGAATGGAATCTCAGCTTCAAAGCCGCCGAAATCGCCAAATACACTCCCTGCATCAAAGGGAGTGTCACTTTCAGGCATAAAGCTTCGAACGCTGCCATTATCTCCTATGTCGATTCCCACTCTGCTCCCTCGCCTGGAAGTACCGGAGGTGGCTGGTCTCACCATCCTTTCAGGGCCTCCTCCTGCTGCTGTTGCAAGAGATACATAATTCTCTCGGGTAACATCATCCAAGGCCTGAACATTAACATTTGCCAGTGAAAGAGCTGTAGTTGGTCCTGACTGAAGTTTATGGGCTGCCGAGTAAGGGTTCAAACCAGCATCTAGCTGCCCATGGGGCGGCTTTTGCGGCCGGGGTGGAAGTGGTGGGGGTTTGGCATCAGAACTCCCGTCGTTGGCATTTCCACTCCCCTTGTCTGTGTCTCTCTTTGGGCTGACAGGCTGGTTTCCGGGGTCTTTATTCCCTGAAGGCGTCTGCGGTCTTGAGGGAGCCATTGAATATATTCATCGCGGACGTTCTTCTGGACTGCCGAGTGCCTGCATCCGACCAATTGTAGATATCATCGGGTAATCCTAGTGGTAACCATCTAAACTCCGCTGCTCTATCACCTTCTCATCGCCGGTGTTGCTGTTCTGCCGGGAATAGTTATCGTTGTCCGGCCGTCGCTTTGGTGGTGGTGATGAGGTGAGGTCATAGTTAGGTTGGTGACGGCGTTTTGGTTTGTGGCCAGATCAGGCAAACATCAACCTCACAACACGAAAAAAAGAAAAGGCCACTTTACGTACTTGCGTACCCATTTGGTGATTCGATAGGATAGAAACAGAGATTGATAATGGCCGGCTTGCGACGCAAGGGTCTTTTATCAGTTAAATACAATGAGCCTTGAACCGAGCGGCCTCCCAAGATCCTCTTCGCCCGCCAGCTCCGAGGCGTCTCTACCAAAACCTCCAAACCGCCCATACGAAGGTAAGCAACCTCTGGGAAACGATCTTATGAACCACGCCTGGCCTAACCAGCATTAGTAGATGCAGAAGGCTTGAAGAAGGACAAAAGTTACCGTCGCTACGCTGCGAATGTTGACCGCGCTCTCTCTCTGTTCGATACCGCCCTGCAAGAATGGGCGGACTACATCTCGTTCCTCAGCCGCCTATTGAAGGTGCGCACCACTCGTTGTGATATTTCATACATATGGGGAATACCACTGACATTAGGGCGACTAGGCGCTTCAAACTCATCCGCCGTCACTATATCTTGTACCGAATAAGTTGCTTGTTGCGAAAAGGCTTGCGCAATGCCTGAACCCTGCGCTCCCATCCGGCGTTCACCAGAAGACATTAGAGGTATATGGATATATTTTTGGGTTGCTTAAAGTAAGTTGAAGTACTATTAACTCTTAGCTCTCAGATAACTCATATATTCTTTAGTCTGATGGTCTGGCTCGAGATCTGGCCATATATCTCCCAGGAATTGCTCCCACATTGTCGTTTGCGTCTCTCTCAGTCCGACCGATATTTCTATCCCTTATCGAGAGCCATATCCTACAACTTAGCCCCACTGCGCTACGTCCAGCTATCAAATCCATTATACTAGCCCTTCTTCCCGGTCTTGAAGACGAAACAAGCGAGGACTTTGAAGAAACGCTGAAGTTGGTGGACAAGCTTCGTGAAGTATCAAGTACTGCCGGTGATGACTCTGGTGCGGCGACTGGAAGCCAGTACTTCTGGCAGTGCATGTTTCTTGCGTCTGTTACGAATCCGTCTCGACGAGTAGGAGCCCTCGCATACCTAAATCACCACCTACCAAAGCTCGCCGGTAAAATACCATCGGATGATATCGTCAATGAAACTGGCGATTATGAAAAGGGAGAAAACAGGACTCATGATATGACCAGTGCTCTAGAAAGCGTCACATCACCCGAGCCAGGCCTTCTGATTCGATGTTTTGCAACTGGGTTGGCGGATGAACAAGTACTTATACAGCGAAATTTTTTGGACCTGCTTGTCACCCATCTCCCCCTACATTCTTCTGTTTTACAACGGCGGGTTACTTCTAAGGACCTAGAGCTACTTGTTGGTGCTGCCGTTGGAGTGGTTATCCGGAGAGATATGAGTCTCAATCGTCGACTGTGGGCATGGCTATTAGGGCCTGATTTTGATAAATCTTCTCATGCGAATGATGCCGGAGTCCACAACTCAATGTCTTCTAGCTCCGCTGCTATGGCTACATTTGACAACAATAGCTCGAAGTCACATTACTTCGAACAATTCGGTTTTAAGCCCCTTGTCAGTAGTGTCAAGTCTATGCTTGCGAAGAATTCTTCCAACCCAAACGAGCGATCCCGGCCATACCGTATATCTTTATCACTTATGGATCGGTGGGAAGTTGGAGGATTGGTAGTTCCGGAAGTTTTTCTCCCCGTCATCCGCAGTACGCAGAGATACAAACATATTGCCAAGTCAAAGGCCAGTTTTGATGAAGTATTCCGGAGCGCCAGTGCTTTCTTTGATGGTGTAGAAAGCAGCTTAATATTTTCGGAGCTTGTCGGTCTAATTCTCTCACCTCGTTCGAGTATATCACGGCCAAATCGTATGATGGACGACTTACGCCTGGCTACATTCATGTTGTCCCACTTCAATATGAAAGAAGAAGAGATGCTAACCACACATATACCTCTCCTGATCTTATCATTACTTCTGAAAGCAAAAGCCTTATGCACATCCAGTGCATGGAACGAACCGGGCTACTCTAGTGTAGCAAGTTCCGCTCTTGATGAAATAGGGTCCGTTGCCAATTTACTGGTTCGCCTTGTTCCTGAAAGAGCATTCACTCCTCATCCGGAGAAAAGTCGTGACTCAAGCATGGATAATGCTACAACATCTATGAGCAATGAGCAAGTAACAAAAGCAATTCTAAATTTCTATTCTCGAAGCAAGGATTCGCTGCGCCTCCCAGAGCCCCCTTTTTCGTCCACCGGAGTGGCCACCATCATTCTCCGCGAAGCTCAGTCTTTGGTTATGCTTTCTTTGGAATCAGATACTCAAACCCAATTCCTCAGAGAAAGAATAAATTTGTTCGTTGCTCTGCTGAGTAAAATGCAAAGAGCAGAGCTCCCAGAACCAGGAAAGCTATATGAAGCCATCGAGGAAAAGCTTACTACTGCAAACGATGGCCATAGTGTCCTCTCTATGTCTGTTGTCAACTCAGCTGTATTTGCTCTTACCTCCTTATATTCCACAAAAAAGTCCAGTCGTTATATCAGCTATGAGCAGATTACAGATCTGATTCCAGTCTTAGTCCAGCAACTATGGGATTTTCTGGAGCCGGCAAACTTGCGCTTTCATGTTGAAGCTGCGGCATGTTTATGGCTCTTACACTCTGTTAGCTGGAGAGACCATCTTGTCGAAGCCGCAATAACCTCGGTCATGATCTCTCCCTCGACTTCTTCCCATCAAGCTCCACTTGATCAAGCAGAGAAATTTTTTGTACTTTGGAACCATAGCCATCATTCCAACACGGATTCTTTTGCATTACGTACTCCTAGTGATGACGGCCCAGATATAAAAACAGTATATCGTGCAAATCTCTTGAGTCAGCCACTGTTTAATGTTCTGGGTCTTCTGTCATCTGGTTCAGAAGATACATCTTTGGCAGTCAGAGATTGGCTTCGCGATTTACCATCTACATATGAGTAAGTCAAAATCCATAGCGCAAACCTCGGTCACCAGAAACTAACAAGGCGACGGCAGATTATTTCGTGTCATTTTGTTGAAGTTCCGCGACTTCCATCTCCTTCAGGAGACATCGACAGAGGAAACAAGCGAATTCAGGGAAACAATGATACTCAGCCATGCCAACCAGTGCATTTATATGCTTCAGCTAGTGCGAAACGTGTTATCCGTGCTAAGCCCAGCTGGATGGTCGTTGATATTATCAAATACTGCCACGCAGCCATCACGAACTAAATCCGTACCATTCGATGTAGAGGGTAAGTGCTCCCTACTCGCGTTGTACAGTTTCAGCATTACTAAAGATTAAGTTAGAAAACAAGGGAGAGGTCACCATCCAAACCGAGATTTCACAGATATGCTTCCATGCACTTCATGGTGTCCATCGTGTACCAGAGTGCCTTCACGAACAACAAAACCAGATAAGAAAAGAAGCCTTGTCCCTTCTGCGTCTACTACTGTCCAGTACAGGAGCAGAAAAGTTGCTCTCTTTAGATATCGATTCCTACCTCCTTGATCATCTATCCCTAGCCTTAGATGAGGGGAAAGTAGAGCACCAGTCTTCCATAATCGATGCTCTGACTCCGGTTCTTAAGATGAGATACGCGCATCATATAGGGCTTTCAACTGCTGCGTCTAACAGACATCAGAGAAAGGGATCTTTTGATATATCCCGAATGTCGTTTAGTGCGGAGAGGTCTGACAAGAGCCAAGAGAGCCAAACATTACCCCAACCGCCTGCAAAGCTCTTGGATTGCCTACTAAAAGGCATCAGCTCAAAGATATCCCGACCCATCATTGACAAATGGGTTAATTTCCTTGCGGAATGTCTACCATTATACTATAAGTCCATTTTCAAGGTACTCCTAACGCTCGCGGAGTGCTTCTGCAAGGAAATAAGTTCTTCATTCAACGAACTTCAAGTTATGTTTCAAAAATTATCGGAAGGATCCCCTAGTTGTTCGCCTGAACATACCACGATAGCTTTATTGAGTGGCCTAGAGACTTGCGTTGCAACTGCTCATGACCGCCTTCAAGTTGAAGAGGTGAACACGGCTGCTGTGAAATCACCAGATCAGCCGCAGGGGTTTTTTGGCAGCATGTTTGCATCTGAAGGAGCCCAAGCCCAGCCCACAAGTAGCAACAACACGAGGCTCACAGTCCTTCTATGTTTCCAGGATGCTGTGCAGCTATGCTATTCAATCTGGGCATGGGGTCCTGGTGGCCGAAGTAAACAGCCTCGTGATCTTGACTCCGTGGCGTCTTTTCAGTATACCTCATTGAGAATGAGAAACAGGGCTAGAAGGATACTCGAACATTTGTTTGCAGCTGAGGCCCTCGAGTGTCTTGAAACATTGATCAAACTCTGGCGTACGTCAATAGCTTTGGATGAACCTGCCAAAAGTAGAGCAATATTTAGCCTACTCCATACCCTGGACGGATCAAAACCCAAGGTCACGATTCCTGCCATCTTTAATGCTATATATAGCCGGACTAGCCCAGCTGCACTAGAACCCAGCCGTAAATCGTCCATGTCTTCTGAATTGTCAGAGACCGACCTCGCAGCTTTCCTTGTCATGTATGCCAAGTCGTTGGATGATGACTTTTTGGATGACATCTGGGGTGATTGTATCACCTTTTTGAAAGATGTTCTCACAAACCCATTTCCACATCGCCAAATCTTACCTCGTTTGCTAGAGTTTGCTGTAGTGCTTGGAGGCAAGATGGAAAACACCACATTTGGGGATGACCGAAGAACCCGGAGGGAACTGGGGGTAAGTTACTCACTCTAGTCTATTCAGTGCTTGTAAAAAATATATTAATTTGCCATGCTAGGATCTGATATTGCGACTTCTCCCGGCTATATTCACCAGCAAGCCGTTATCTGGGACCCATGAACCATCAGCGCCTCGGGACCAAGAGTCAGAGCAATCTAGCTCGCCCTCTCTTTTACAGCGCATTGGGCCGGACGATATCATTGGTATCCTGTCTGTCAGCCTTCCAACGCTAACAGCCACTCTTGATGAGGCAGATAGGGTATCCAACGCGCTGTCCAGCATATCAACAAATATTATATCTCCTACATTTCACTCACGCTTATTCCCATCCAATGTGGACAAGAACACCTTAGATCTCCTGCAGCAAATCTCCAAGATCCAAGGAGCATCCAAGATCTGGAAGAAGGACGTTAGCGATGCGTTCAATGACAGCAAGTTTTTTTGTTTCAAGTATGGCCTGGTCAAGAGCCATTGGATACGCCTCTTCCGTCAATGGGCCCTAACAGATACAGAACGCCTTACGGAAGTGCTCACCCGCCTCACATCCCCAACATCTGCTGGTATAATGTTCGGTGTTGGTGCGAGCGCTGCTCGACTGGAAGCGGATCGTAAAGCACAGTTGAACCTCCGTCGAATTGCATTATTGATAATTGCATCTGACGAAGACCATTTCAGCGCTGAGCTATCAGAACTTCAGCAAAAGCTAGAAGATCTCCTTGCAGCTACTCATGTATCTTCCCCATCCTCCGTGACAAGAGCAGAGATATACATGGTCCTAAGAGCCTTGATCCTCAGGACTGGATCCACCAGCATTGCTCCCTTCTGGCCTATGATCAGCACGGAACTCCAAGATGCAATTTCTGCTATTTCTCCAGACCAGGAGAGCGAGAGCTTCAACCCCTATTCACTTCTTCAGGCTGCAAAGCTTCTGGAGACACTACTTCTTCTCTCACCAGACGATTTCCAGTTACAGGAGTGGCTTTTCGTCACAGACACCATAGACGTTGTTTATCCACCAAATCGTTGGGAATCAAGAGCCCTTGCCGACGAACTCTCTCGTTCATTGGGGAAGAGCAAAAGTCCCCGAAGTGAACATTCAGCCTCCGCTCAAGACACAAATGGCTATGATGGTGGCGGCGATGACGAAAGCGTTGGTACGGAATCTAGCAAAAAAGATGGGTTTAAGAAAGCTTGGTTGAACTCGGATCTTAGCAGGGAAACAGCCAAGGATGAGATCGTAGAGAAGTTGTTGCGGCCCTTCTTTGACCGGTTGAGTATACATTCTTTTGAGACCATGTATAGTATGGGTGTTCCAGACATCGCGGCCTGCACAGATGATCTTCTGGCTGATTTGTTTAACGAGTTCACCATAGTTAGCTAATCTAGCAACTAATCTACCTTGTTATATCCGAAATTTTAAGGAGAAGCAAATCTCTTGAGCAGAATCTGAGGGTCCGTCCCTGTTGTTCACCTCTCCAGCGCATAGCAGACGCCAGTCTATACTCAAGTCAGACTCCGAAATCATCGAAGAACGTAGAAATACTAACTGCCTGCGTATACTATAGACATAGGGTGTCCTTTCATTATTCCATATCGAACTGAACTTTCTCTTTTGGCTCTCCGCAGTGTATGCCAAAGCAATGGAATGTGTTTTGGTGCATATTATGATACCATCCCGGTGCTGACGCGGGATAAGTTAATACTGCATTCACGTACCAGCATGCGTATGCGTAATTGGCCTCGCGTGAATAAGCACAGGCTGGTTTGCAGTTGTGTTTCACCCACTGGAAGGGCTGTTGAGAGTGAAATGATCAAACCCTTGAATGACACTATCCAGGGTTGCACAGATAATCCTCAGCTGTATAGAGTCCATAAGTTACTTATCCGAGACCATTATTCCAGAATAAGGACTTATACTTTGTCATGCATAGAACCGGTCACATCTTGTCTCCAAATGAATTCTTGAGCATTCCAAGCCACAAATCCTTGCCTGGCACTTGATGCATTTTACTTTGCCCCAGTAACCACATATACTGCAGAAATGTCTCGAAGGACGAGAATCAGGAGGCAAGGTAGCACGAGAGGCATGATATGACAATGGAGGTTCCGAAACGAGAGCCATCATGATGCGTTCGGAGGGCGCTGTTGGGATATAGGATCGTAGAAGCGGATCATTGTCATATTCAGACACGATTAGACCGGAAGGTTGATCTGGTACCTGGAGGAGCGGTCTGCTGGCGTTGGTGTCTGCTTGAGGGGCAGGAGTATCGGGTTGTCTGGCTATATTCGTGCGCTGGCTCAAAGTAGTTGCAGTTGTTGTAGAGGAGGCGGAGAGTGCTAAGGTGGCAGGCTCTTCAGCCGCAAGATAGTTCTTGAACTGTTTCCCCGAAGTAATAATCTTTCGTGTGTTAGATGACGTTTTGCTTCTTACGCCTGTATAGCTTGACGGTCAATATATGTTGTCTCCAATATAACGTGGCAGGAGATACACAAACCTTTGACTGTATGCTCCCTTTGACGTCTCGGTGGGACGGGAATCGAAACGTCTGAATGATTCTCTTTATCGAGGGCTTCTAAATGCTTAGCAATAACACCCCTTTGCCTCGCACTCAGGTCAGATCTCGCGGTGCTGGTGTCTCCTCCAATTTCCCTTGCAGTCCGTTTCCTCCCGCCAGTCTCCCTGCGCCCGCTGACAGGGGCTTCAAACCGCGCAGCAGAGACATATTCCCATCCTGGAGCCTTTGATGCTCGCGTAGATACCACCTCCACCAGCGAAGACATGGCTCGTCTATTATTCTGTCACAACAGTAGCCGTTCTCTCCTTTTTCTCTACTTCTTCAGCTGTCGAACAATCAACTTCTTTGATATCAGCAGCAAATTCTTGTTTGTCTTGTTTGTCTTAAACCTAAGCTCTCACGTGATAGTTACGTAATGTAGTTTACATACTTCACTTCCGAGAGTTCAAAAGTGATTCGTTCTCACTTTCAATCAACGCTACATTCTACCATCTATTGGTTCTGATATCGCGATACTCTTAGCTATCAAGCCTCACAAATGACTTCATGCGCGGAATTACTCACTACCTCAAGATAGCCAGATCGATCCCTGTTTTGAAAAGAATTACTTAGATAATAGATTACGTAAATTTCAATATCACGTGATTGTTGCTGCCATTTTTTGGTCGCTAAAATTTGCACGAACGGAGGATATAAAGACAAGAAAATCGCAGCATTTACAGTGCCGAGATCAAGGATAAGAAAGGAGAATGCAACATAGACCGGGGCATCGAGCATTTGCCGTAGAAGATGGGGCGAAAAGATGGGTCAATGGCTCGAGAGCCATGGTAGGAAAAGGGGTCTTTCACAAGGGCTTTTCTCATCGGGTGTTTCTCTGTATCTGGTCTACTTTGCCTTCTAACTCATTGATATAAGCACCCAGGCGTTGCGTGGCAGCTTGCAGGGCCTACAGGCAGAATATCCAAAGTCTCAATCAGCGCTCATATCATGACATATATCTAGAATCTATCGTAACTCGTCTGAGATCATCAGGGGAAAAAAAGAAAAGGCAAAAAAGGAAATCTCAGTATGGCTGGCAGGCAGATTTGCTAGTGCAAAAGCACGAAGGAAAAAGAAAAAGGAAATATGCTTCAAGTGTGCGAATCAGTGGGCAGCAGTCAGCGGGTTCCAGGAGAGTGGAGCAGGAAGCCTTCCCCAGAAACCAAGCCCGCTTGCATGCGGCTTTCACGCAAGGGTCAACCGAAAATTGAACCCGGTCACAGGGAAAGGGAGACAGGGAGATAAAGAGCAAGACCAAGAACAGATAGACAGCCGAGATCGCGGGCGGGCCATAATATTGCATGCCGTGCTTTTTTTTTTTTTTTTTTTTTTTTTTTTTCAAATGCAGTAACGTACGTAAATGTCTCCCTTCAGGGTCTCGTTGGATAGGCGGAATTCTTTCAGGATGTAGTAGTAAACGGAGGCGCCAGCAAGAGTCGAGCCAGCAAGGAATCCAAAGACACTATGACAGAACGAAATGCGCGTTAGCATGTAACTTGTACAAGCGAGGCAATTAGGACTTATTCAGTGAGAAAACTCGGTTGCTTACCCTCCTCGAAAGGCGCCTAGGCCTTGGGACGGAAGAGCAACCTCGGTGGCATTCAGAAACTGCCTCGAGGTAGAGAACCGGGCAGATTTCTGAATATTGGAGAGAATCGCCGTCTTATTCGCGCGGAATGCCATCTGAATCATCTTGGAGGCCATATCTTTATGTCTGGAATGAAATGCAGTAGACTGGGATCGTTTGCTCGGGTAGGCTGTGACTATGTTCCGTACGCCGGAAAATAGAAATGGAGGACAAAATTAACGACAGCGACCGTACTCCGAAAAGACACAAAAGAAACCAACGCGCTGAACGAGTGTCGAGATCAATTGTTTCTTCTTCTTCTTCTCGTCTGCCTCTCGCAGTGATTTTTCATCGAGATAAAAAAATAAAAAGATAAAAAAAAGAAAAAGGGGGAGGCAGAGATTACATAAGCACGACTCTTTCTATTTTATTTCGTCAACAAAAACAACGAAAAAGACGAAGTGAATTGAAAAGAGACGTTGATCTTTCTATTCAACTACCTGTGCAATCGTCATTATGCTCCATTGGTCGTTATACGATGCGAAACTTGTGTATTTTAATTGTTAGCAGGATCCGATTTCTTCTAGAGGAGTCTGCATAGGTTTTTTGGGTGACAGTTCGATTGGCCTGGCTACGTGTCGAAAGAAATATCAGCTTATGAGCTGGGGGCAGATTTCCCGTACATTCAGACATCCAACAACACTATATTCTACGAGATCTACCTCTGTCAATACTAATATCCCGGTCTTACTCTATTCTCTTGCCCAACTTTCTGATCCTTCTCAGCTCTCATGTGCTAATGTCCAGGCTCATCGTAATGATTGCCACGCAAACCAAAAGGCTGCCTGATACCCTACCAACAAAGCATCAAGGCTGAGTTTGTCTCTCACGCGAGAATCCTGGGTCACTTTGCTTGCAATGAGCGCAGTGAGTGCCGGGACAAAATTTTTCCCTGTCTCAGAGACGGTGTTGTAAACCCGGCCTGCCAACCACTGGGTCTTGGGCAGGAACACGGAGGTGGTCAACAGTGTCGATGCGGTGAATATCTCATCAGCTCTGACAGGATTGAGGAAGTCATCAAGGAACGCACTGGCACCGTAGGTCCAGCTGGGTTTAGTTACGGCCATGATTATGGGCGCAGCAGAACTAAGGATGGGGTGGCTGTTATGATGCAATTTGCTTGTGCCTGATATACTGTCGGAGTCACCGCGATGTTGATAAGTGCGAGCCGCTAAAACGTTCCTCGACACCTACCCATTTCACGAAGAAGGTGAACAGTACTCAGGATGGTACAAGGAGTGAGGGATCGCAATATACTGCCTGTGACAACTCCGCGTGGCTTATCAGAAGGAGATACTATAGTTTTTGGCACCAAAGAATACAAACTTACGCAGTGGCATAGGATATAATAGCCAGGGCAACGCTGGCCAGGCTTACTCCGACCCAGTCTATGTCAACAATCATCTAGGTGCTGGTTTTAGCCAGTCCGTATGCCAGAGTTGACGCTTCATTGGGAAATATCAGCCAAGGAGAAACACAAGCTTGCTCTTTATTACATTTGATCGAGTCGCAGATCAAGAGGGCACATGCACGGATAGAGAATGGACAGTGACCGGCCTGGGACAGACGAAATACGAAGGAACAAGTACGCAATTATATGGTTATGAGCTATCAACACATACCAGAGAGCGAGATTGGAGAGCAGACGTAATTCGATAGTAACCAGCCATGCAAGGGACCTCCTCACTTCTAACCATCTTCTTTCTGTTCACAGGCTATCACGTTTGGTTGGTTGAAAGACCAAGTACGAGACGGAGTATTTTTTCAACACAAACGCCAACCGTCGACCAATCCAGCCAACTGCAAGTAAACCGGCGACTGTGCAAAAGGCGTTGACAGCTTACTATCCTGGCGTCAAGATGCATGTCCATGGCTTCACAAGGTTTTTAAATTAAGATTAATTCATTTACGCAACGGCCTGGCGCAACATAACACCCCATATAAACTAGCCAACCCGCAGCCTCATGCACGCCAGGGCGTCTCTCCTTCGCACCTCACCCAACACCAGCAACGCGGGCCGCAGCGTACAAGATCCTGACAAGCGTGAAGACGGAGACAAAGACGGGGTCCCACAGAGCCAGCATGAAGCGTGCGACGAAATGAGAATTATTATTATTCTCCCTCTGCCAGGGTCTCTTCCACGCCAAGGGGATCGCTTCCACTGTGGATCGGGATGGCTTTTTTGCTTCTCCCCCAGTCCCATCGAAATTTTCACAGTATCCGCTCTCGCCTTCAGTCCTGGCTCAAGGGAACCAAATTATGGCCCAACATTATGGGGTTGATATAGACGTCCTCGAACGGTGCGGGATGCGTCCCTCGTCGTATCGTATCGAGGGCGGCCGCACCCGCATAGGAATCTCATCTGGCGGAAGCCCGTATATCAACGCCCCGATATTGATGACCTGCCGCAACGACGCCCGGCAGCCATAATAGTGGATATGCTCAACCTGTCACTCTCAACTGTTTGCCTTCTGCCTTGGCGGCTTGACTCCTGCTTGGCTTTGTCTCTCTCTCCTCCCTCAGAGTCTGCCTGTTGCTGCTCGCCTTCCTTGCCACGCGGCATACAGTAGGGTGTTTTATTTTTGGGCTGACCCCTGACCTCCTTGTGCCTGTGCCTGTACCTTTTTTTGCCTGCGGCCAGTCAGTCCTTGCTGTTCAACCTGTCCCCTTCTTTCTTTCTTTCTTTCTTACTTCCCTTTGCCTGGCGGAAAGTAACATAGCTGCTTGGCTCGTTAAAGCGCAACCTAGTCTGTCAGTTTGGTCCCCTTACTCTCTGTGGACACGCAAGCCCCCCAGATTCTTCCACCAGACAGGGCTCTCTACAATATCCGTACTCTCTCTTTCTTTTCCATTCATTTTCTCTTCTTCACTGCGGGTGCATTACTCGAGTCTGCTAGTTGGCTGTTGATTAGCAATTGATATTTAGCTACAGGCCACGCCGCGCTCCTTTTTTACCTTCGAATGCAGTCTCCTTTGAACAAGCTCCATTGAGTGGGACGCCTATTCTTTGGACTTCTTTGATTGAACTTCTCCTTCGAATACCACGGCCCGTCCTAGCCATCCACTCGTTTTATAAAAAGATTTCTTTGTTGTTCTTTTCTTCCGTTCCAGATGTTGACGTTGGCATAAAGTCTCTTCCCTTCCTCCCCCTTTTTTACTCCCATTTACAACTGAGATACGTTAGCCATGAATCGCAACCGTATCTTTTCCGTCCGCGAGGTCGAGGATCGCATTGCTCGAGGCCAGACCATCGTGATAGCGGACAATCGTGTCCTTCGACTGGACGGATGGCTCAAGAACCATCCTGGAGGAATTCTAGCTGTTAGGCACATGATTGGCAGAGATGCCACCGATGAGATTAATATGTAAACAATTCCCTTCTACCTTTTCATAATTCCCCCAATTGGTCTCCCTTTGGCTGCCTGCATATAAAGGGTGAGTTCATAGCGCAAGTGCCGTACACTTCTTGGTGCGAAAGTGGCAGATATCGTTGACAGAACATATGGGCTAACTACTCGGGGGGGAAACCACTCTTCTTATTCAATACAGTTATCACTCCGAAAATACCCTCGCAACCATGGATAAATTTAGGATTGGCCGTGTCGAAGGGCCCTGGATAAGTATGACGCCTCCCATCCGGGGTGGCATATTCTTTACCATGGATGACTCCATCACCAGCTCCTCAGACGAAGAGTCCCGCGGATCTGATACAAGCGTTACCTCGATGGAAGACATTATGGAGACTCAGGAATTGGCCAAGACAGCAAACATCAGGAAGCGGGCAGCTTCACGCAAAGTTGAGACGCAAGTCCAACAACATATGACGCCGGAGGAATATACACAAAAGCTGGTGCAAAAGGAGCTTGATGATGATCACCGCAACTATCCCTCCCTGGAACCAGAGACGCAGCGCCATATTGCTACCAAGTACAAGCAGTTGCACCAGCGTATCAAAGACGAAGGCCTCTACGATTGTCCTTACATCGAGTACGGAAAGGAGCTGATACGATACTCCATTCTCTTCAGCCTCTTTATAATCACTCTCAGGGCTGGGTGTTATATCCCGTCTGCAGTCTTCCTTGGCCTGTTCTGGCATCAGATCATGTTTACTGCGCACGACGGTGGCCATCTAGCCATCACACACAACTTCGTAATCGACACTCTCATTGCCATGTTCATTGCGGACTTTTGCTGTGGACTATCAATCGGCTGGTGGAAATCCAGCCACAATGTCCATCACCTCGTCCCCAATCACCCTGTAAGCCTCACTTCTCACCCTCTATCGTGTATGGTAAACTAACCTCCTTCAGGAACATGACCCAGATATCCAGAATATCCCCTTCTTTGCAACATCCCCATCTTTCTTCAAATCCCTAAGATCTACATACTATGATTTCGTCTACGTCTGGGACGAGGCTGCCAACATCATAGGCCAATACCAGCATATCTCCTACTATCCGATCATGGCCATAGCTCGGTTCAACCTTCTTCTACTCTTCTGGATGCATCTACTCTCTCCTCGCTCCGCTAGTTTCGGTGCCGTTGCCTGGACCAAACCAACTGAGATCCTCTTCATGGCTTGCTACTGGTACCTCTACGGATACTGTCTTCTATGGTGCAGCATTCCAACTTGGCCCATGCGTATCGCCTTCGTTCTCATCTCCCATATCATCACCATGGGTCTGCACGTTCAAATCACGCTGTCACATTTCGCCATGTCTACCTCTGATGTGAGTGTTGCTGAATGTTTTGCCCAGCGCCAGCTACGCACTACCATGGACGTCGACTGCCCTGCCTGGCTCGACTGGATCCACGGTGGTCTCCAGTTCCAGGCCATCCATCACCTCTTCCCTCGTGTCCCTAGACATAATCTGCGCAAACTCCAGGGCTGGGTCAAGGAGTTTGCTGAAGAAGTTGGCATTGAGTATAAGATCTATGGCTTTGAAGACGGTAATCGGAAGGTCTTGGGACGCCTTGGGGAGGTTTCCAAGCAGGTAGAGATGTTGGTTCAGTGCCAGAAGTACATGGCTGCTACTGGAGAGAGCGGCCTCCATTGAGAAATGGTTTTAACAGTACAGAGTACACCAACAGCACCAGCCTCAAAAAACACATTCATTATATTTGCATTATTCTCCTTCTGTTCATCAAGTTCTGAAATGTTGCATCTAAAATTTCTATTCATTCTTTTCTTTTTCTCGTTACTTGCAGCTTTCATTTGGACATATTCCGTTCAATAGACAGCCGGATATTTTCTATTTACTCCTATGTCTGTCGTTGAAGTCGAGTTTGTCCCTTGCGTCTCGTCAGTTAAGCTTATTTTGCTAGTGGAACCTTGCGCCGCGTGGGCCCCCACAGCCGCAGACGGGCTCTTCCACCAGCTTCCGCCAGCTTCCGGTCAGCTCGACGTGTAAGAAAATCATTATTTTTATTGTTTAAATCCTTCGGAGCCAGGGAAAATCCATGTAGCTATAAGGAGATTTTATTTTAATCTTTATTAACTAGGTTGACATTATGATTAACACTTCAGTCTAATGCCAGCCCGAAGCTCCGAGCCCCTGACTTCAAACATGACCTGGACTCCAACGAATAGCGTTGCACACGCTGCAGCAAGGAACGCGAGGCCGGAATAAGAGCCGACAATGCCGTGTATTAGGCCCTTCAGTCCGTCCAAACCAACGGCAAACCCGACGAGATTCGCTGCCATCATTGGGAGGATATTCCCCACTGCTCCAATACCACAGAGCACACGGTATGCATTTGGATGTGATTGCCATTTCTTCGCAGGGAAGAGCATGGTACAGATAACTTCTGGAAGGACGAATAGCGTGATAAGCCAGCCCCACATGAGCAGTCGGAGGTTGATGTCATGCCAGATAGCAACAAAAGTAAAAACAGCAAGGAAGTTCATCACACCGCGGGCTTTAGAGAGTAAAGACGGTTTACTATCACTAGGACTGCTTGTGCCAGATCTAGGTCGCCCACCTCCACCGAGAGGAATGTACATGTACCGTACAACCCACCTATTAAACGACCGGTGCCAGCCGCGCCAGAACGCGAGGGCAGAGTAGTTGTTGGACATGCACCGGACCATGTTTTCTGGAGGGTCGATGCCGTCGACTAATGCCCACAAGCGGAAGAACCGCCAGGGGATAAGTAGCTTCAGCCAGATAATGTGTAAGTTGAAGTACCCCAGCATGCTGAGCTGGAAGGGCGTATACACCGACCAGTCAGGAGAGGATTTGGAGATTGCGACGACATATATGTAATGGAGAACCAGCTCCATTGACAGCAGGGTAAGCAGGAAGCGTACCCCATAAAGAACGGTGCGAGATCGGGTGAGGGAAGCGGGAGAGTAGTGTTGCTGGTTGATATAATCGTTGAAGGTAAGGATTGGTCCGGCAAGGTAGAGAGGCGAGTAAAGAATATAAGCTACGTAATTTTGTAGATTATACGTGGCAGGCGGAGCGGGCATCGATACGCGGTCACGCTCTGATAACGCAGAAGGATCAACTTGTTTCTTCTCGGGAGTCAGTCGTCTTGGTCTTGCTGAAGATTTGGAATTCCAAAAGGTACGTACCTCTGCAGGGCTTCCGGATCGATAATCCAGACTCCAGTAATAGTCCATGTTAAAACTTATTAGTCGGAGGACTGTAATTTTAAATAGCACCTCCCATCTTGGAACAATTCCTCCAATACAATCCACCCACTTGGCCCAGGTTACAAAAGAAGAATCGGTATTGGGGGAGAGTATTTTCGCAAGGTCCACAAGTGGATATCCGTGAAGCAGTTCGTTTGAAAAGAGGATACCAATGTTGAAGATCCATGTTGCAACAGGTATCTGGGCTCGTTGGAGCCTGGTCGCAATCAAATAGTTGATCCAAAGAATAGCCAAGATCTTGAATGCGGATACGCCGTGCAGTGCTAGGATAAGTATTATCCCAAAGACGTAGTCAAATGTCACTCGCTGCTTTAGTCGAGCCTCTGTATCCGCAGCAGAGCCCTCAGGCTTATCGTCATCCTTTGCTTTTCCGCCGGTCGGGGGGGCAGTTGATATCTTTGCGGGGGAGAGATGTTCGTAAACTCGACGGAGACAAGGATGAAAGACCAAAAGTAAGGTCATATAAGGAATGTTATCGCGAAACGTGGAGTATTGGGAATCTGAGTTGTCCTGCAATTGGTAGCAACATGTCAGAAACCTAGGTACGGTAGATAAGAGAGTAATGCTCTGGCGGACACGACTCACAACTTTACGGCCCGGTATCCAGCCTGGATCCAACAACTTAGAATAGCTTGAGTACGTAGGATGAGTTGCTATATTCCGAAGGACGCCATCAGGGGTTGGTTAGTAGTTGTACGCCGGCCATCCCCTTTAAAGCTGGATATTCTGGTGAAGGCTCACGTTGTGAAATATCAATTACCGCCTTGAACATCAGCGGTACTATCGTAAGGAAGGCGAGGTAGTAAAAGTAAAATTCAACTGTATTCCATCTCGAAGGAGGCGCTCCGGCTTTCACGGACTCCAACCTCTTCCCGTCCGCGTCACTTGAACTCGATCCAGGGGCAGCATCATGTGAAGACGTGGTGACGGCCTTGATAGGGGTCGTGGAGGAGACTGTAAAACGAGTGTCGAGGGTATCCAGAGAGTACAACCTCCGCAACCAGCGAATGACCCCCATAGCGGCGCTGGAATAGGAGAACAGCGAGTGTTCTTCAAGGCTCGCCTTATCGTGTGTCAAACATGAGCGGCGGATAACTAGTGATGAATGATTGGCTACAGCGCTTGCAAGGATGTGGCGCTTAACGCGCTTATGCTTGGGGAGTGTGATTATATAATAAAGCTCCTGCTTGATATACAAGAGTGGGAGCTAAAAACTCCTTCCGTAGGAGAATAATTATTATATAGTACATTATTTTAATTTCTTACATGATTACCAAGATTGGTTATTTAAATAAGTTGATATTGATTTTATGGCGATGATGACTCACAAAACTAAGTGCCGACTGTATGAGGTGCCAATCAATTATATGAACTCCCCTTCCATTGCATCTCAAAGTCAAATAAATGTTCCTGGTGGTCCAAGTCTAAAAGGTTTATTAGCGTAACGAAGGCTCTCATAATGGGAAAGAAGAAAGCAGCCACAAGGAAGAGACGCCAGTGCCTCTGGATCAAGGGTGATCAGCCAGTTTGATATTTGAATCGATCTTCGCTTCTGGATATTTTCAACATGCATACTAGTCACCAGCACTGCGTAGAAGTATCGACCCTCACTGGTGGTTTTCGCGTTGCCACCCTACCCCGGCTTGCATACAAATCATACATTATGCCCCCTGAAGACGAGATTTACAATGTTTCTCAAACGACTTGTGCTCACTCCTCTAACTCGGTGTTGTTCAATATGGGAATCTCAAGGGCGGCTGGGGCCCCGATGTTTGTATCTGCCGCATTCTTGTTTGCTGCAAGTGCTGCAGACATGGAGGTACTCATGTCTGGAGTGATATCTTTCAGCTCCTCTTCGTTGCTGGCGTTCACCATTGCGGTAATATTAGAGATGACGAGGTTTCTAATGTTCTGAGTCATTGAATATCTCGGCGGGACGGAAGTTGTGGATTTAATTAAGAGCGCTGAAATTCCTTCATTCGACTTTGAATTAGCAATCTCATCGTCGTCGATGTCACTTTCGTATGATATCGGTCTGGTTTCTAGTGGGGGCTCGAAGAAAAAGATCGGTAAAGGGAGTAATTAGAGGACCGTCGGCTATACAAATAGGGCTGTTCTGCCCTCGTTTCTTAATAGTAATGGCCTGAAGGACTTCCGCCCTTATAATTCCCGGGTAGCTATATCTTTAAACTGTAAGCTTAGTTCGAGACACGTTAACAGCAAGAGCTACCTTTATATCTCTCTTAAATTTCCGAATCCTCTGTCTCGCGACCTTATTGTGAGTTTGTGATTTCCCCATTTCTATAACTAGGGTTGGCCATTTGGTTGTCTGGCCTCCGGGAAGATGACGTGGCTAGACGGCGTAGTAAGGCTCCCTATGCTCGATGGTGGCAGAGCCAGTGGTAATGAGATATGCATGATACCTTATTCCCATGGTCATTTCATCTTTAAGCCAACGTGTGACTACTTGATGCGCTTTAGTGACCATTTTTGCAATTAGGATTCTGGATTTCGGGAAAAATTTCTTTTCTTAATTCCCTATTGTATGGTGTCGAGGAGGATAAAGCTCTCTGCAACGTCACAAAATACGCAGTACTCGCCGCTTCCATTGGCGATAGAACGGGCTGCAGCTTCTATCTTATAAGCTTCTATCATATTTAGAGACTGGTATATCCTTCAGCAAACAGCTCAGGGCAGCTTCGGCCTCACTTCCCTGCGGTAGCAATTTTCTGATCTGAATCGCGGCTGCCGCAGGAAAACGCCCATGCTTTGGGGCTGCATTTTCGTCTTCTCCCTTCTCTTTTCATTATTTTTGAGGAACGAGAAATGCACTTCCGCTTGCACTCGGCTTATTGTGTATATATAGGTAAGTATGCAGGATATAATATGCTTTTGTTCGCGCCTTCATAGCCAAGCATATAGTCAGATGATGTCACGCATTCAAGCTTCGGAGTGGCGGCAGGAACAGCATCCTCTTTGCGTCCAAGAAGCCATCGTGCGTCAAGGAGCCTCCTGCTTTCCAGCAGAAACTGATACTGGGCGGTTATGCCCTCGGTGGAGATAAGTGAGTTGGACATACGAGCCTTTGTGAAATCGTGGAATTTAACATGAATTTCGAACCTTACCAGAAAAAAGTCTAGTGATTGGTCAGAATTCACTCCCCAGATTAGTTAACAAGTTAACTAGTTAGTCGCGATGTGCCCACTTAAGCGCAACGCAGACTAGTTTGGCCCGTTTCATATTTGATATTGATATCAGTTAGAACAGAAACCTGGATAGACACTGGTAAGGTTACAGATGTATGAGAATATCACATAGTGCATTCTGTTTTAGATTATATTGTCTAGCTTCCTTGTACTAACATGTCGGATAGTTATGATCTCATTTCTGATGTCACCGACTATGGCTATAAATATAAGGAGAGAAACCGCCATCACGGAACCAGTATAAATACAAATGTGGTCTCGCAATTTCACCCGAGGCCTTCTAAATCGCCATCCACTCAGTATTTTACAGATACATCGAGGAATTCCACAGATTAAAGGAATCCCTAACGTCAAAATGACATCTTCTAAAGCTGGCATTGGCGGCGCTTTCCAGCCAATAAAGGAGAAACAAGCACAAAATCAGCCAGGGTATGTGACTTCGTCAAATATACTATTTGTAAGTAGTACTAACCAATTCCCCTAGGCTGGAGAAGGATCTAGCCCCTACGAGTGAATCGACCAAGCTTGAGGGAGCCCACGGATTTGTTGAGTATGTTGGCAGTGGTAAACTAGAGGACAAAAAGGCCATCGTTACAGGGGGCGAGTATGTAGCTAGCACATTCTCTCCTTGCAGATGCAAATATACTAACTAGGCCTTCATAGTTCTGGCATCGGCAGGTCTGTGGCCATCCTTATGGCCCGCGAAGGAGCAGATGTCACCATAATTTACCTGCGTGAAGAGCAGGAAGACGCTGAGGTAACAGCCGAAGCGATTAGAAAAGAAGGAAGAGAATGTCTTCTATACCCTGGAAATCTCACTGACGAACCAACCTGTAAATACGCGGTAGCTGAGCACGTCAAGAAATTTGGCCGCATCGATATCTTGGTCAACAACGCATCGAGACAGTTTCTATGCAAGGACTTTACAACGATCAACCTCAATACTGTAAAGGATACCTTTGAGTCCAACATTCTGCAAATGATTACTATGTGCAAATATGCTGTGCCGCATATGGAAAAGGGAAGCTCGTAAGTTGCTACATTCTATGTCAGGTCTGTTGCGGTGGATTAACTCAAGTTGAAAGGATCATAAACACCTCTTCTGTCACCGCATTCCGGGGTTCGGGATCCCTTATTGATTATGCTTCCACTAAGGGAGCTATCATCAGCTTCACTAAGTCGTTGGCTAAAAACTTGATGCCAAAGGGTATCAGAGTAAATGCAGTTGCGTTAGTACCATCTTTACTATCATTCTTTCTCACGCAGAATGGCAGTTTTAACATGTTCTGTCTAGTCCCGGCCCGGTTCACACACCTATCCAGCCTGCCTCGCGACCAGCTGAACAAATGGAAGGATTTGGATCCGGCTCTCAAATCGGTCGGCCCGGCCAGCCAAGTGAGGTCGCTCCAAGTTTCATATTCTTGGCGAGCAAGGAAGCCTCGCTCTACTGTGAGTCCTGTCATAAGATAGCAGTTAAGTCATCAACGTGCTGACGGAGGGATATAGATGGTCAAGTTTTGCACCCATACCCGCTGGGGGATTAAAGCAAGGTAATGGCATCGGGTGCGTGGTGGGACACCCTTCAAAGAAAGTATGAGCATATTAGCAAGTCTGTCCAAGAAAAGAAGCAAAAGAAATAGGAAAGGAGTGTTATGAAATGAATTAAAAATAATGCGCTAAATATTGAACGCTTGGTAGACTCCGCTTTTTCGGAATGGAGAATTTCCGTAGACCCAAAACTCCGAGCATCATACCCGTAGAAATACAGTCACAAAGCTCTGGCGGCGTCAAAAAAAGTCCCTAAGTAATACGACAAAGGCGAGCAGTAAAAATGGATTGAAGGACGCCTAGATGACATCCTGTCGGTCCCAACCGGTAGGTTTGACAATTTCGGCAGATTTAGTAGGATGAGGCTTTTCCGGATTCTCATACTTGGCAGCATAAGGATTGGGATCGATCTTTTGGTTCAGATTAGCCAGTGTATGGTTGACCTCTCGGTGTTTGGCCTCATCAGCCCTGATATAGTAGAGCAAGTCAACCATTTTCTGGTTTCCTTTTGGCATGTTCCAGTATTTAATGGCAATATCTGGCGCCGGCAAATCTGTCCAAGCCGGTAGTTTACCGGCTTCCAAGTCCTTTATGGCATGTGTGTATGTCAAAACAGCTTCTTCTTCTAGGTAACCAACGAATCGATGGCACGTTCGTGGCGAGATAAGGTAGGAGAGGAAGAAACCGTTGAAGAAAACGCCTTGAGCGCCGAGTACCATGAGCCTCATAAACCAGCCTGGTTCAGCAAGTTTGAGGAAGGTAAGAAGATGCATGCGTTCGTTGTATGCTTCTTCGAGAAGTGTCTCAATCCAGCCATTGTCACGTTTCATCTTCCTTAAGCTGTGAAGGTGCCGAAGCATTCCGCCAACCATTCCAGGGACGCCTGCCACTGTCTCCAGGAAAACAAAGCGGATAAGCCATTTTCGTTCGTTCATCTGGAAGTGCTTGGATGGTGCTGGTTCGCCTGGTTTTGGGTGTCTATAGCCGGTAGCCAGGTCAGTTCCCCATCGTAGCAGACGTACGGTACCCAGGGCAACCCAGTCCGACCAGTTTTTTGTCTCTCTATGGGCGACTATGATATCTTTCATTTGTTTTTGGGTGAAGCTAAACGTTACGTTAGTTGTCATGTCCTGTTATGAGTATTTTAAGGGAGTTTTGTCTTACACAGGGTGTTCGAATGCCGACTCAGTCTCGACTATTCGTTTTGTTTGTTTTGGTGCAGCAAAGAACTCCTTTAGCCTTGCTGGGGAGGTAATAGAGAAGTTTCGTCCCTGGTCATGGCTATTCTGGCTATAGATTGAAGCCGAGTTTCCTCGCAACCCAATATCCAATATTGAGGGCCTGAAGCCACTGTTTAGGCACTTTCGAAAGAGGAGTCTTGCGCTAGAACCCTGGACGAGGGCTCTGAAGGGGGCAGGTGTTGGTGCGTGCATTGAAGCAACAGCGGATAGTAGAAAACAAAGGCGTAGTGGTAAAAATCAGTAGTAACTGCAGTAATCTTATGCTGGAGAGAAGGATACCAAGGTATCAAATTGGCTTCTTCCAGGAACTGCTGCCCCTTGTTGTTATATATAAGATTCTTCGAGCCCGCAACGAACCAAAGAATAACAAAAAGTGATGATGTCATAAGGAGTAACCTTATTACCTAAGCAGTAACTAGCTCCGAAAAGACCCGCATTGTTCAGCCACTTTAAACGCGCTGCGAAGGGCCGGGGGACCTTTACCGCCAGTTTTTACACAAAAAGCACAGAGAAGAGACAGGCGGCGGTAAAGGTCAGCAATGCTCTTAGCGACAAAGAAAAAGCGAGTAAACGAGGGAAAAGTCGGCAGCTGTGCACTGGAACTTGGGGTGAATATTTCTCGATTGTTATGACTCTTCCTGGCACTTCCGAGAGATCCCGGGCGATTCAGCCAGAGAATGCTATCAATTCGCTAGTTAGCTCAGCCCTCTGGTTCAGCGCCAGAAAATTTCTGCTACTTCAGATGATCCATCGGACATAATCTTCTCATAGCCTTTTGTCTAGCCTCAGATTCGATCGGAGGATACGTACACGTACTCCGTACTCCGTTAAGCTCCCAAATCCTTTTACTGGACAGCCAAAGGTAGCCTCGGTCACTATTCTGTCACAGCCAACCACACTATCTTCGCAGAGTAAAACCTGGGTTTGAAAGTAGGACAAATCCAACTCTCGGGCCGAGTGTCCCTTTTACCGAACAACCTGGAACTTCGTCTCGCCCTCCTTGAGCTCGATATCGGTCTTATCAACTCCGTCTACCCGTGCGTGGCTTGGGCCTGAAGAGATGTCTTTCATCAGCTTGCCAAGGGGCTCCTCTTCTCCCTGAGCCTCGCCCTGGACCTGTTTACGTGGTTAGTCCAGGTGCAATGGTATGTTGTGCACAATTAAGAACGCACAGATCCTTGGGCGGTGTTTCTGCACCAGCCTGTTATCCCATAGCTGTTGGCTCGTCTCTGAGTGAAGTCGCTGAACTGTACGTCAGCTGCAGCAAGGACGATCAAATCTACTATTAAGATTGGCCATACCGGAAACAAACGCCTTTTGGAGTGGACCTGTTAGTTCGTTTGCTCTCGTATCTCAAATTATGTTCAACATACCTTGGACGAGCCCGTAAACCTCGAACGCTATCTAAGGCAATTAATATGTTGTTAGCTGGGATAATTAAGCACATGTAAAACTCCAACTCACTCTCTTAGCCATTATACGTATAGTCAGCGGATCACAGCGTGCGCCTTTTTATACGTTTGACTGGCTGTCTCGAGCTGATAGGAGGTTGGTTCTATCTTGTCGTTGCACTGGGCATCAATATGCAGTCATAGACAGGCACGTGATTTTTAATTTTTAATTTTTTAGTTTATTTTATTTTATGTATTTTTGGCAGAGCAGCCAGTTAACTTCTGGGCGTAGTAACTACGGAGTAAATTATCGACCTTTCGACATTATCCAAATCATACTAACCTCGGCCCTGAAAAGTCATCATAGTAATTAAATATTCAGCTTCTCTGGTGTGTTTTATGGTCCAATTACAAGCGCCATTTTATTAAGTTTGGCCAATAGCGTTAATTTCATTTCAACCAATGATAGCGCGCATTAGCGATAGTGACTGGTTAAGAGGCCCGCCGCAGAACTGCACAAATTGTTGCCTGTTATGATCCTGGTCAGAGCAGCGCCTGAAGTAGCGTCTCCCAGAATATATCATTACGCAGTGAATTTATCATACACAGATATCACGAGTGCAGTAAACTCAACCATATACTGCACTAGTTTCAATTTCGTTTCCACGATCATGTATGTGTTGTTCTACCTTGTGCCTATCAATCGCCCCTTTGCAAGCCAAAATGATATAATTTTTGTGCATGAGAACTAATTAACGGGTCAAGTAACGGCCACTACGTGCGAAATGGGTGAAATCGGAGAGTATTGGGAAGAGAACAGAGCGTACAAGAAACGCAAGTTGGAACGCCGGAAAAATAACCCTCCAAAACAGCGATGCTTCGATTGGATGATTACTAGCGGCATCAGCTATGCCAAAAACCGATCCTCCTTCAAAACATACCGTCATATTAGACCAGTGACACTAGCTTCTGGCACTGGCGCACGTGTTATCGGTGTTGGAAGTGTTGAGTTAAAGGTTCCAAGGTCTCCAGATAACCCAGAGGTTAATACACTCGTACTGGACGATGTTTTACATATCCCTGGTGCCATTTGCAATGGATTTAGCCCCCAGCTACTTGGGGGCTCTACATCTTTTGGAGAACCCCTTCAGGGATACGACGATGATAATCAACCATCTTACTATGCTACTACCTTCTGTGGATTATGGAGACTTGTACTCAACGGAAATCCTGAGGGAGAAACTCAGCTGGCTGAAGCCCGGAAAAATGGTTCAATCTTTACTTTAAGCGTATATATTAACGAGGAAGATGAGGAGCATATATTCGGCAATTAGTCCCAATGCAAATACAGTGGTTGATCTACCTTTCATTCGTTTGATCGACTAGTCAAGTCTGAGACTACATATCTGCTTGCGTCTTTCAACTTCGCATAGATATGCTATGTCCCAGTGCCTGAAGCCGCTACTAGCCTCTCAAGTTCTTATGAGTATACCTACACCCACCCGAGTTACCCTACCCCCATTAGATGGCCGTGCCATTATGGCCCATCATTCAAATTCCCCCCCTTCCTGAATGTGTTGGCCGTGGATTCTCATAGAATACCCATTTCGTTACTCGGCAAATTTTTTGCCAAAAATATATAACTAGCTATCCTCGCCAATCAGCCGGCTTTTCTTTTTGTCTCGACAGTTTGATATTTCTACACGCGGTGACTTGTGAATTTGCCTTCTACATTCACTGCTGTTTGCGCAAGTAGACAATAAACGCTCGAGATGGCGACCTGAGGTTTATACGAGAATAAAGAGGCTGAAAATATTGTTGAAAAGTAGCTGCAACTTTATGAATAGATACACGCCACCCATAACTCAAGCATTACAGGTCAAAAAAAATTGTGTTGCTTGAAACAAGTTGCCATCCTGAGATGGCCTCTGCGGCTGATATAAACTGATGTTGGATAATCGTACTTTTAGTAGGTAGGCCCACCTTTCACTATTTATCCCAGATTCTGTTCATACAGTAAGGCATGCGCGCCTATTCTTTACAGCACACCTTTATCGGCATAGTATTCAAGCGGCTCGGCCCGCAAATTGTGGGGAACGCGCCAAAGATTCCTTCTCGAGTCACCTTTCAACTTGCTGCCTTGAAGTTCATTTAAAAATGAAAGATGAAATAAACATTGGTTATTTTAGGCACTCTTGAAAGAGAAATGGGAGTTTATTGTATCTCATTCACGGTATAGCATTGCTTAATCCTTGAGGTAGGTGACTTCCGTAACCAGTGGACAGATAATCCGTAGTTGTACTTGTATGTGAAGAGCAGGATATGATTCCTTTAGAATAGAAGAATTTTAAACCAAATTAAAGCATAATTAATTTATCGAAGGAAAATTAACTAAATATTTTGGGTGCCCCAGGCAGACGTCAGGCGTGCGAGAAGACAATTCTGACCAGGCGTCACTCCGTAGGCGACAAGATCATGCCTCGTCTTGCCTTTCACTGCGTTCGGATGGCAGCTGAGTAAGCCGGATGTGGGAGTATTGATATACCGAGAAGGTATTACGTAATAAGAACTACGAAAAAAGTTCCAGAAGGAAAAAGGGAAAGTAAAAAGAAAAAAAAACATCGAAAGCCGTTTTGGCCAAAGCGATTTGTTTTTATCCAGAGCTTGAAACTCCTGCGTTAGAGCTTTTTGGTGTTTCTCCATTCGTTTGTTTCAAAACTGTTTGTTTATGTTTCCCCGGTTACCATGGACTTGAACCCCAAATATGACGGCTATGACTTCCCGTTCCAGTCCGCCACTCCACAGGATGGTCACCCCGGACACTTGACCGGTCAACAGATAGCTGCAGTCCAACAGCTACGGATGCTGCTGGAGGCTGAGGGATATACAGAACGTCTTGACACCTTAACATTGGTACGGCAGTACAAAATTTAGTGGGAAAGAAACGGTAAACACTAAGTGATGAACAACACTGGCTAATCAGTACGTGGCGGGATGATAGCTACGATTCCTCCGTGCTCGGAAGTTCGACGTTAATCTGTCGAAGCAGATGTAAGGCTAAGGATATTCTGGTCTGTCTATAGATAGATTAGCTTGGAGAGAACATTCCGCTGACCGCCTACAGGTTCGTTGACTGTGAGAAGTGGCGGAAAGAAATCAAGCTCGACGAGCTCGTCCCTGTCTGGGACTATCCTGAGAAACCCGAGATCTCCAAGTACTATAAGCAATTCTACCATAAAACGGATAAGGTTCGAACCTCGGGACACAGACTAGTTCTCATGGTTAATATCTAACGAACTTTTTCTAGGATGGCCGCCCTATCTATATCGAGACACTTGGCGGCATTGACCTAACAGCCATGTACAAGATTACCACCGCCGAGCGTATGCTTACCAACCTTGCCGTCGAGTACGAACGTGTGTCTGATCCCCGCCTTCCTGCTTGCTCCCGAAAGGCCGGCTCCCTTGTCGAAACCAGCTGTAGCATCATGGATCTCAAAGGCGTTACCCTCACGAAGGTGCCTTCGGTGTATTCCTACGTCCGTCAGGTTTCTGTAGTCTCTCAAAACTACTATCCTGAACGACTAGGGAAATTGTATTTGATTAATGCGCCATGGGGTTTCTCTACTGTCTGGAGTGTGGTCAAGGGCTGGCTTGATCCCGTCACTGTTGGAAAGATTCACATTTTGGGTTCTGGATATAAGACGGAATTGCTTAAGCAAGTTCCTGCCGAGAATCTACCAAAGGAATTCGGCGGCTCCTGTGAATGCGAAGGGGGTTGCATGAACTCTGATGCTGGCCCCTGGCATGACCCACAATGGGTTAGACCACCAAAATGGCAAAAGAAAGAAGAGGGAAATGAGACAGAAACAAAGGAGAATGAGACTGCCACTGCTATTACTTCCGAGAAACAGGATACTTCCGAGACAACTGGCACCGAACCCACTGCGGCAGCTCCTGTTGCCGGGGCTTAGAGGGCTAACATATTTGTTAGAGTTTCGTATATAGATTGTATTATCCAATAGAGACCATATTTCAGGGGATACGGAGATCCGGGCAACCACAAATCTAACCATTGTTATACCTATTATAATGTACTAGGCATACCTTCAATAAAACATAAATTTATTCACAGTGGGTTTTCCGCGCCCTTATTTGACAAGTTATGACGACATATCAGGGAATATTAATTATTACCAGACAGCGATCAGGACCTCTTGTATATCCTGCTTTATCCAACCCACGAAAATCGAAATCTTTATCACTCTAAAGGAAAATTATCAGGAACAATCAAATCAAGCCTTTTAACTGCAGCCTATGATTATTTCGAGTGATGTACGGGATTATATGCGTGTCTCCAACGAAACTGCACGAAATGGGCGTATTTTCCCTCACTTAGCCGAGTAAAAGTACACTGAGTATACGGACTGATCCTAGGACAACTAGCAGATATGTTTATTGGGTATTTGTACCTTACGAAATACTTCTTAGCAATAATGTTCTGCCCCTTTCCAACCTGGCCTTGTTGAAATTTTTAAGTTTGTACTAATGCAAGTCAGTGGAGAAAAGACTTTCTCCTGTGCAACCAGACGCGTCTACGCGGCAACCTTAAAGCTTAAATATCAAGGCACAGGGGTAGGCATGGACTTGGTGATACATGGCTTGAGATGCATGCAGATATGCAGAAACTAGCGAGAACCTGGGATTAAGAGGTGCTAGGAAATAATGCACCAAGAAGCACTCATTTGTTTTTCATATACTCTGCCATCATTCTGACCATTTATGGCAAACCTTACCTGTCAACTGGCCTCGACATTTCCGTACTACCTTGACGATTAAATGGTATGCTAAGTATAGGAAGTTGAAATGTGCACTCAAATTGAGATCGAGTAAAATTATCCAAGCAGTCACTTAATTTTTATCACCTCGTTGTAACACGTTGGATGGGAAACAAAATTTTTCCGTCATAGTAATTTTTTGGGCGGTTGTACTGACGCAGAAACTACCACATAACTTAACACTGTAGCAAGGACTTGTATTTAATTGTCAATTCACCATCATGAATGAACATTTAAGGAACATTATTGAATCGATATTACTGGCGAGTTGCACATAGATGGGATCCTTCGTCGGGAAATCAAAGAAACCATCTCACCTACCTGCAGTCCTTGAGTCCGAGAAGAGTTATAGGTAGATTATCGCATAATTTACTAGTAACAGGAGTACCTGATCTTCATTTTCATCAAAGTTTTGTATAGTTTGAAAACTCATTGCGTGCCCTATGAAAGAAAATGGAAACTTCGTTCCTTGAGGAAAAAAGGTTTGAAGGTAAGAGACCAAACATACCGTAAACAAAACACTTTTTTCAGTTTGTTGAAGATATTAGCTACAAAGTAAGTATCCCCAGAAGATTAAGGTATACTCGAAGCATTATCTCGTTTAGTATTCAGTGTATATTGCTGTCATGATATGATTGGAACTTTTGTCACCGACTATAATCATGTTAATAAATCCTGTTTATGTAGGCGGTTCTTAGCTTTGGAATTTCGGTTTGACATAATTTCATTTTTTAGAGCGTACGTATTTCTAGAAGAACGTAATCTCAAGGATCTAAGGGAGTATTAGTTAGTTAATTACTCCCATGCAAAAGATGAACTAAGAAAGGCTGGTTGTCTGTAGAAGTAAAATTATAAACATTTAGCAAGTGTAGGTTGAATTTGGGTGAATGTTAACTGCCTGGGACTGGCAATGATTTGACCATGTTAAAACAGTATTTTAAGGCAGACTTTTACATCCCATGTATCAAATGCGCGGCCAGACAATCCTCCACTTATACCAATGCACCGCAAGCGGTAAACCCTTTGTGAGAAGCCAACTTGGGCCCAAAGAGTTATCTATTTACTCCTGGCTGTAATCACCAACAGCTGGCCAGGAACCATGCCGAGTTCCTGGCCCTTCAAGTGCAACTAAGTATACACCTGATGGCATAGCAAGACGACACAGCTGACCTAGTGGAACTGAAGGGTATCGGAGGCCTAAATAAGCTATATGGGGCAATCAATCACCGATGTTGGCCTCTTTGCTAGGCTGCCACGAATAAAGCTCACTAGAACAGTTTCATTCGGCCCATAGAGAGTGTTCTTCAAACTTCGGAAAAGATGTCAACCGTCTAGACGCGTTCTAAGCATCCTCTTAGGATTATGCGGGTGCTGTGGAATAATACGACCCCAGATGCGCACCGTCTCCTTGTCGGGACGATAGTTACTCTAGGGGAACCCGATAATCGCCCCCAAATGTTCGTCTAAGGGCATTCTTATGTTTTCGTGTGTTCCTTGTGCGGCAGCAACTGGCGAAAGGGTCCGGAGAGGGCGCTCTCGATACGCCTGAGATAGACCCCCCCGGCCGCGCTCAGAAGCCTTACCGACGATGACAGCATTCAAGGCGACGGTTTCTTCTCGCTGGCCACCAGGTACCATACAGGTTCAATTCGGCTCTGCAATTTGCTCGCCTGTTTCCGGATCGTAGGCAGCCACCGACTCGTTACACGCAAAAGCAGGGACTCGACAGCTTTTGTTTCCTGTCATCAATAGCGCCCATCTACATTTGCCAACGGATACATATATTTCATATCCAACGCGAGCACGAGACGAGCCCTCGGATACTACAGGGAGTTTACTTAATGCACACGACGGATATGAAGTGCTGTCGATCGCCCCGTTTATAAGTCCAAAAATGCGTGGCCAAAGCCTGGCGGCGAGAAGGGGACATCCATCCAGGATGCATGCAGTGTGGCTACAACAATGAATGGCCTTACAGTTCGCCAGGTCGCTCGGCCTCTGATGCATCCGCAATATGGCTATTCCCGGCCTAGGAAGAGAGTAATTTCGCCCTTCTCACAAAGCCTAGTTATTCTGACTATCGGATATCAACAAACTCACTATCGGATTCAACAACAGAAGAATACGGAGGTTGGCCAATAGAGTGGATTGCCCCTGAAACCGCCAACCTGAAACTAAATATTTAGTGACCTGATTACTTTTTTTCGTCTTCCCTCTCCTTCGACAAGGATATGCACTGATGTGTTTGAGATTTTGCCTGTACGTACTATGAACAACTGGCATGGATAGGAGATTGGCCGTCCTTTCTGGCTTTACTCCTTTTGGTGATTTGTTTTGGTCGAGAGAGATTCATCCCGTTGTTCGCCATCACACGCCGTGGAATTGTTGTTTGTTGACAGACAAAGCAAGACAGACAAGAGAGAGAGACGACAAAGACGGAAAATGAGCGAAGCTATTGATATACCGACTGCTGATTCTCAGGGTGTTGCCCGTGAGTTGTCTCGGTCTCCCTCTCTGTCGCCGACGCCAGCGATATCCTCCTGTCCATCGCCGGTCCGCACTTTTTCGACCGTCTCGTCCATTTCGAACTTCTCAGGCGATGCCAGGTCGTCGGTGCTCTCCTCTACCTCGGCGGGCTCCCGCAGGAGAGGCTACATCCGTCCTCAAGGTGCCACGTTTGCAGAGTCGGCGAAGAACCGGGAGAGCGTGATGAGCCTGGGGAGCATCGCCCATCTGCAGTACTACTTTGCTCGGACGGGGCTGCTGGATGGGAAAGGCGCTCAGATGGCCAAAGCGAAGAAGAAGCCTACGGACACTGAAATACCGAAGCTCACGCTGAGCCAGGAAGTACATCTGGACGGGGATCTGGTCCAGAGTCCCATCGAGGCGTTCGGGGAGTTTGGGGGAATGGACGATGACGCTGGCGCATGGGATGAATACGAACATGAACCTCTCATGCTGCCACCGACTGTGAGCACATACAGCATAAAGACGCATTATATACCGCCGCCACCGGATCTGAACGCCCTGAGACATGATCTACAGAATGCCCTGGAGAAGGCGAGAGACGTCTTGACGGCAAGCAAGGACGAACTTGCAGCCCAGAAGCTGGCAGCGAGTGAACTCGCTACCAAGGAGGACGGCAGTAACCTACCTGAGATAGAGGTAGATGAAGACGCGAGTAATAAGAACGACGACGACAACAGCAGCAATCATAATAATAATGACAAGGACGAGCAGAAGGAGACGCCGTCAAAGAAGCAGCCCAAGGGCTGGGATGAGATACAAGGGATGCACATACTCGACCTGGTCACTCTGGCCATACGTGCAGCGCGAATCTACTATACGGCCCACGAACACCCAGAGCGTCTGGCTCAGATCAAGAGTGAAAAGGAAATCAGGGCCGAGCTTCTATCAGTACTCGAGGTTCTAAAGAGATGGGCGTCCCGGTCGTTCGCCGGTGGACTCAGAGATAAGGAGCGGTCGTCCATCCTCGACTGGATCGATGGCATTGGCCGCATGCTCGAGCAAGAACGCAAGATAGAAGCAGGAGAGCGCCACAAGCGCAAGAGCTGGACATGGACAAGCGGCGATTGGACCGGCCACGAGCGTGAGAGGGAGTATCAATTCCTGCAGAACCTGACCCCCCCAGCCGTCACTCCGCTGCCGGCCTGGGATCCCGTCGACAGCAGCGAGGACAGCAAACAGGAGCTGCCCACGCCCTTCCTGGCCCGTCTACGGGACGGCCGGGACCTGGTACGCTTTCACAATGAGGCCGTCAAGTTGTCATACCGGCCCTTTGGTGCGATTAAGACGTTCCACGACGACGTGAACAAGCCATACCGGATGGCAGATAACCTCCGCTTCTGGGTCAAGGCGGCCGAGATACGCTGGGAGCTGCGTCTGGAGGTCGATGTGATGGCAATCGTGACCGGAGACAAGCCGGAGGCCTGGAAAGGCTTCGATGCTGCCATCCTCCAGTGGTGCCGGACGGTGAGGGAGGAAGTAATGCAGGATTGGAGTTCCCGCGAGGAGGAGCCTGCAGTAAAGTCTCCCTCGACTCTGTCTCCATACGGATGATTGCGGGTCTTTTCTTTTCTTCTTCTTCTTATTCTGTTTTCTCTTCTCCGTCTTATTTGTTTCTTTTCTGTCCGGAATGTATATCTGGATGCATATACAATAGTATAATATCAAGGCTAATGTAACGAGACATGAATCCCCATTGGTACCACGTCGTACAGTCCATGTCCCTGTCCATGGATGCCAGGATGCATCTGCAATTGAACTGCCGGTCTTGCACCATCATATGCCTCTGCGGCATCGTCCTCTGGTCATCCCTCTCTACACGGGCGAGTATAAGGGGGCCAGGGTGGTATACACCTACCCACCCCCTGATGTAGTGGTAAATTGGTAGGCAAGCCAGCACGGTGTCGAGCCGGAATAGGACCCATCGCCCCGGGAGAAGAAGCATGCCGAAATGCCAGGAACCCAAGAGCCACAGCGTAAACAGGGAAAAAGGGCGTGTAGAGGCTGCCGTCGTCGCCGTCGTGGGCAGAGTGCAATTTCCAGGGGTTGCTAGCAAATGTTCCAGGAGCGACATCACCAACTTGCTCGCCAACTTCACCAACACCAGCATCAGCCGCAGCGTCAGCACCAGGACAACAGCCACAACAGCATCAGCTACGAGCAGAGACATCTTCGCGGTATCGGTACAAGGGCTAGGACGACATGGCCTGTCGCTGCTGAGCCGGACGAGCGAGCCGCAGTCGAGAGAGACGAGAAGGACGCCAGTATCAGCCACGCCAGCAGCTGGACGGGACGACGTATCAATGCCCCCAGGCGTCTCGGGGCCTGGCAACAGATCTGGCACTGCTGCAGCAGACTCAAGGGGCACTTCAGCGTCGCCGTCGAGCGCTGTTGACTCGATATTTCTTCCCAAGCGGGCGTCTGCTGCCTTTACTGCTGCCCAACGCATCGCTTCCTGGTCACCGTCGACCCGAGATACGCCTGGAGTAGCGCCGGCCTTTGCTGCTGCAACAGCCAGAACAACATACACTGCTACGATAAACACCGAGAGAGACGCGGCTACAGAGCACAAGGGGAGACAGTCCATCCTTCGACGCCTGTCGCCCAGTCTCGCGGCGCGCGTGAAGCTGCTGGACGGGGCTTCAAGCAAGTCTGACACTGCGTCGGCTCGAAGCCAGTCCAAGAGCCCGGTGGGGAAAATACCGGCCTCCCAGCTGCAGGAGCTCGAACGACAGAACGTCGACCTCTCCATCCGGGTGCAGCGGCGCGGACGGGCGTGGAGCGGTGGACTGAGTGCGCCGCACCGGGAGCAGGACTCTGGCCGCACACACTCGCAGACAAGCCCCGTTGAGCCAGAAGCCAACGACGAAGCCGAACGAGACGCAGCAACAGCAACAGCAACAACAGCAGCCGCACCAGTTCTAGTTCCAGTACAAGTCCCGGTACCAGTGGTAGACCATAGGATCCTCCCTACTGTGGAGGAAAAGGACGCGTTTATTGATACTGATATACATTTGAGTACCATGGGGACGGCGGGAATGAGCCACGGGGCGACGATAGATGCTGCCGACTCTGACATCCCTCCGCCGCCGCCGCCGAAGGACACGCCGCCGTTAGGACACTCGAGCACCGGGTCAAACGCTTCAGAGTCGTACTTTAACCCTCTCGGCCTCAACAGACCGGACTCCATATACTCCTTTTCCCGGGCATCTTTCAGCAACCAACTCTCACAGCTCACGTCCATCAGCCTACCACAGCCAGCTGCCCTCGAGGAGAGCATAGCGTCGATATCGAGTGCCCCGGCCGCCGTGCGAGCTCTCAGCGGTGCTGCAGACCAGATTCAGAAATGGACAAACAAAGCGTCGGAGGTGTTGGGGGGACTCGAGGCCGAAGATGACGTCGAATGGGCTGCCGCTGGAGGCAGAGAAGGCCTGGACGATGTTGACAAGGCCGTCTCCAAGTTCGAATGTCTGATCAATGTATATGTCAAAGCGATTGAGGAGGTCCAGGTCCGCGAGGACATTGCAGAGGTTGGCTCCGAATCGCTGAATAACATTGTCACACAGATGGAACAGACCATTCAGAATTGGGGGAAAGTAGGCGCTCTGCTACATGGAGTCAAGGAACAGGTCGAACTGGCAATGGAATGGGAGGAGCTATGGAACGCTGTACTCGGAGACGTCGGCTTAGAGATTGACAACCTGTCGAGAATGATATTTGAAATGGAGGAAAAGAGACACAAGTCCGTCATGGTCATGGAGATGGATAATGAACCAACGACAGGCCTAGATATCAATGAGCTTGAGACCATTGTCGAAGAGACACCGTCAAATATACCTACAAACCCACGGCTTAATTTTGCACCCTTCATGTCTTCTGGTACGCAGACACCAGGAACAGGGAACCAGCAGGATGAATCAAGCTTGCTAGCCTTGTTTGCACGGATGCAGCCCCTTCGGGCATCCCTTGACTTCTTACCCATGAGACTGTCTATGTTCCAGTCCAGAGCCAAAGATATCTTCCCCAGCGCCTGCGAAGAACTTGAAGACCGAAGACTCCGTCTCGAACAGGGTTACAAGAAACTGGAAACAGACTCTGAGGCTCTCAGACGCGAATTGGCTGAGGATAGATGGGTAATCGTGTTTAGAAACGCAGGCAAACAGGCACACAAGATGTGCGAATCTGTCGAAAGGAGCGTCTTGAAGCTGCGTGAAGCCATCGAGGGAGGCATACAACATAACAATCCTACCGCGCTTGCTAAGCGTGCTGAGAACTTTGAAGCAAAGAAAGTGCACTACGGATCGGCTATTGAACGGGTGCTTTCTATCATTCAGAAGGGCATCAATGACAGACTGACTGTCAATGGTGAGATTATCCGGCTTCTTGCCGACCTGACGGCGAGGTTTGATGCGCTGCAGGCCAGTGTACATGCCATGGACGCACTGTTGGACGAGCTCAACAGTCGACAACTACGAGATTCTGTCTCGAGCATTCTTACTCTCGACAGCCCTGCAGGCCGAAGCATCGGTACTCCTGGAAGCTCTCCTGCTTCGTCCGTTATCGTATCAAACGGCAACACCAATGGTAGCACGGCTAACATTAACAACCACACCATGATACAAGATACCAGCAGGCGAAGTAGCGTTGCAGGTGGTGGCAGCACCACCTCTAGGGGTACTGCAGCAAAGCTCAAACGCCATTCTGCTCTGCCTGGCCCAACTTCTACCAGCATTGGACATACACCTCGCAAACCGTCTATTCCGCGAGCAGTCAGCACACCTAAGATAACCACTACCAATCACTCCGGACGTCCCGCATCACGGACAGGATTGGTAGATCCCTTGACTGTCCTCACATATTCAAACTACGTCCCTGACGGTAGACCGCGGTGGAACGCAACATACAACACCAAAGACCTCGTTGTAGGCCACGTCTACAAACCACAAAACCCTCCTCCTGCATCATCATCATCAAACAGAAATCTCCCTGTCCCCATCTCTTCTCGTTCACCTCGCCCATCCCACAGCCAGTCCACTTATTCCTCTGGCCTTCGCAGCCCCCTCAGCCGCGAATCCTCTTCCACCCCCGCTTCTGGGAGACCATCAAGCCGCCTTCACCGTGGCGTAACAACAGACCGTGGCTCCCTGGAGCCCGGTACCAGCCATGCTCATGGAACTGCCCCATCACCATCCCCCTCCCCCTCACCCAGACCATCAGTGTTTGATCCTCCTCCCTACAGCAAATTGCGCAAACAAGCTGCCGTTGCAGCATCATCCGCTTCTTCCACCACTACCACCGCAACAGCAAGGCCGGCATCAAGACTAATGCCCCCTACTCCCATTCGAAGGGCAAAGACGCCCGTACCAAGCGTCCCTGCTCCAACACCAGTGTCTAAGCTAGCTACATCTCCTAAACCAGCACTAGCTACTGCCCCAAGAAGTAGACAGAGTTATGCTGGTGTTCCTAGCTCTCGGACCAGTTTTATGCCAACCAACGATGGCCCCGGGACTAAAAAGTCTGCTGGACCTCCACCTGCTGTTGCCCGTCCAGGGACTTCTCTTGGTCACTCCAGCCGTCGAAGCAGCATGCTTCCTCTCCCTAGAACAGGAGTAGCCGGTCGATCCGGACGTGAGAGTGCCACAGGCACTCGAAAAGACGAAAGACCGCCATGGAGGTAAAGCTGGCCCTTCGTCGGGCAAGCAAAGTAAGAAGCATGATTGAATTCTGGCGCTGGAGCAGAATCCGGAACTGGCAAACGGTTGCAATTGTCCACATTTGTCCTCTTCCCTCCAATTTACTTTTCTATCTCCTTTTAATCATTTCCATGTCCTGCTACTTTTTACCTTTCGATTTGATATCTCCTCTTCTCTCCCACAGTGTTTTGGTCTTCAATTTGGCCGTTTCGTTTCTCTTTCCATTTGCTTGCTTGATAAGGATCCTCTCCGTCAATTTTCCGTTCCTATTCTATTTTCGAGTTAGCCATACTTTCTCTGTTTTTCTCTACTTCCTCTCACCTTCACGTCACTACTAGCGCTCCTCTACCTTTCACCCCATTCATCCTAGCAAACACATCTCCCTATCCGCCTACTACCTCTTTCCCGACCAGACTGTGCTTATCATCTTCGTACTGTTTGATTGACCCAGTCGAACCCATCAAGAGCTCGAGTTCCACTAGTCCAGTGCAGAAGAGTGCTTCATCTCATTTTCATCGATCTACTCTCACACCTGTCTTCTCAAAATGTATCTTGATACTTTCACACAATACCCATTCGGCACTTTTTCTCTCCATCCAATTTGCCTGCCTGCCTTCTTGCTGCCTGCGTACATTAGATCGTGCTGTACTATATTCATAATACTAGTGTAATAAGTGTATATTTCTCGCTCCAAAAAAAACAGAAGAACAGTATTTACAAAGAAGGGGGGGGTGACAAAAAGACAAAGAAAATGCAGCCTGGCCCGTTAGAAGGCCAACGGCCCCGGGCCAGCCAGGTTAGAACCTAAACGCGAGTGCCAGAACCAGAATACCAAGAAAGGATAGATGGGAAAGCATAGGGGGTAGAGGGTAGAAGTGGGCGTGGGTGGGTGTAGGAAAGGGGGAGGAGATCTTTTTTATACGGTTTTTTTCTTTTCTGAATTCTTGTTAACCAAGTCAACCAATCAACTAACCAACCACCCGCCGGCCGACCAGGGGATTTAACCAGAGTGTATATAAGGAGAGGAAATGGGAAAAAGGGGACGAAGAAAGGAAAAACGGGAAGTGGTACAGGGGCGTTAAAAGCATAAACATGAACATAAAGATGAATAAACAGACATAACAAAGGGAGGCGAGGTGTAGTCAGACCGAGAGGAAGCTGTAAACACGTATACGCGAGCAGATTTGAGGAAGCGAGGATAAGCAGTGAAGCGAATCAAGGAGACAGTTAATGGAGCTATAGGTGTAAGTGTATATCAGCAGGCGACTAAGAGAGAGAGCGAAAAAGAAAGAAAGCAAAGAAGACTAACCACCAACCAACTGGTAAGGTATTTGTATAGGTCGTAATGCGTGGTATCCGCGGCAAGATATAGCGTGGCATTAGGGTCGTTAGAAGAAGAATGAAGCATGAGAAAGAAACGCCGGTTAGTCGTTGACAGTTTGTATCTGGCCGTCATCGGAAATCTAGCTGGAAAGCTCTCCACTTGCCGCCTACGACGCCGCACCTGGGACATCCGTGGCCCTGTCTACCGTCATGCTTGCCATTGGCGTGAATGCTCGAGTGGTTGGACATTGTCGTGTTGGTGCTGTTGCTGCGCGCCAGCCTGTTTACGGCAGAGCTACCTCCGGATCGAGGGCTGCTAGTGGGACCAAGGTTGAGAACGGAAATACCCATTGCACCGACAGTGGAGGAAGAAGACGGAGGAGAACCTGCAGAGGAATGCATGGAGAGAGATAGGGCAGGAACACAGTCTCTGCAGACGCCACAGATGCATTCTGTGCAGGCGAAGCAGTCCCGGATAGCTTTTGGACGGGAGCAAGATGCGCAGTAGATGTGGATGTGCAGATCCTTGTCCCTAGAGATGGAGACGTTGGAGGTCGAGCTCGAGGCGGAGGTGGAGGTGAAAGGAGCCGGGTTTGAGAGACGGTGGCGTGGATGGAGCGGGTGGAGCGGGTGGTGAGCATGAGAGTGTGGGTGCGGGTAGATGTTGTGCTGCTGCTGTGGGTAAGAGGTGACCGGCCTGGGAGGGGAAAGATAAGGCTTGGTGACATCCATGCTCGACTCAATAGAGGGGAACGGCTCGAGGTCAGTGTCTCGATCGCGGTGAAAAGGTGGTGGAGTCTGTGACTTTTGCAACGGGGAAGCGGTGTACGGTGTTGGCTGGAGCGGGTGAGAGGTGGCGGCAGCTGGCTGAGAGGTGATGGAGGTGGAGTTTTGGTTGGAGGTTGGCGGCGACTGAAACGCTGGGGGAACCGACGAGCGATGCTTGATGTTTGCCAGTGAATTAAGCGACGGGGAGTGAGGCTGGAACGAAGACGACGAGGTTGGGGGAGGCGACTGGGGCACCGGGGTGATGTCTCGATCGTCAACTTCCGTGGCCGAGGTGGCAGCTTCGATCAGGTCCTCCCATCGCTTGCCCTGGACCCAGGCGGCGGCCGTCTGCGGCTCGGCGGAGAGAGCTTTGCGCTCGTTGAGCGACCGGCGACGGGTGATGTCTCTAAAGTCCTTAAAGTCCTTGGAGCGGTTGCGGTCGTGCTTGGCCTTACGGGCCGAATGCGAGTGCGTAAGCGACCCTTTCCGAGACCGTTGGATCTTCTGGTTGCGGTTGATGGGTGGCAGAGTCGACGAGCGGCCTGGCGGAGAGTGGGTATGATGCGGATGCAGAATGGACGGCAGCAGCTCTCGCTGCCGTGGATGAAAGGAATCCCTCAAGTCACGGATGGGCGGCAGCTCGACCGACC